ACGGGGTCGTGCCGCAGCGTGCTCGAGGGCCATACCGACATCGTCAACGCCGTCGCCTTCTCGCCAGACGGCCAGTATATCCAAACAGATTGCGGTAATATTCCTTTGCACTCGCCTAATACGTCATCGCCCTCGTTCCAACCAGCGCAACTGTCTCATTTCTTTGTACAAGACGAGTGGGTTTCTTCGAGCGAACAGCAGTTGCTATGGCTTCCTTCTGAATATCGACCAACTTGCGCTACAGTCAACAGAAACGCAGTCTTTTTAGGGCATTCTTCAGGTCATACTACGTTCCTTAAATTTCATACATAGGCCTTGTACACACTTTCTTTATCTTATTATATATTTCTTTTCTAATCTCTATTTCATAGAGGGGGCCGGGGAGCAGCAAGTATTTATGTTATTAGAGGGGCATCGAGAATCTTCTATTGTTATGAATGTAACCTTCTATGACCATGTGGCGACAGAAAACGCATGAGACACAGGCGGCGATGCAGCTCATAGACGCATCTAGAAGAGCGCCACATGGTTAGGTACGTTACGACATTTATTATAATACAAATCACTTATCATGTAGCGTATTATTATGTAAGCACGCTAGCTCCCTACGCCAAGAGAATCTTAAGGCTACTTTGCACGGATAAATTCGGAGCGCATGTTCCTAGTGGCTAAGCTTCTTTAAATTCTAGGACTGTCTTCTCTTATAACAGAAGTATTGTTCACGTACTCCGAAACATAAAAAGATGTTAATAGTTGTTGTGCGGCAGGGGTGCGAACCTAAAATCGATAAAGACGTCGTGAACGGACCGATCGACAGCATGACCAAAACCGTTGTATTTTTCATACTGCAGACTAGTTCCTAGAAGAAAAATATCCTAGGAAAAATAAGATATTAACTATATCTTGATAGAGTCGCGAGGAAAAGAGTTAAGATACCTAAACAAGAGGTTCATCTCGTTGCGGGGTGTTTCTCGACCCGCAGTGAGGGACGTTACTTTACCTGTTAGGCCCTGGATGAGCATTGTGCGAGAGTGAATATGTTTGCAGTTACGAAGCTCCCTGAGCTCCGCCACTTGCTCATATACATGGAATCACTGCCGCCTACTAAGCGGCTTGCTGGCTAGCTTACCTCTTTACATATATAGACCCTTCGATACACTCTTCTAGCAATCAACTCAATTCCTCACCGAATTTGTGCTCTCAAAAGTTTCACATAATAGCATACTAGATATTGACCTACTAGGGTTTCGAGGTTACAATTCTGGTCCATATACCGGAAACCGGGAGCGGTGACCATCGCGCGATGATGTTGTCGCTTGGCCTGTCAATAACCTACGAACTTCGTCCTTGAACATTCTCATTCTTGGGAAGAAGATGTCAAATCTAGCAGGGCATATCGAGTCTAGGCACGACTAAATGAAGAAGAGACCAGCGAAGTCAAATCCCTTCGTACGGATGGTAATACATTTGCACAATTTTTCAATGGTGGATCCATGGTGGATCCATGGTGCCAGCTATTGCTTGGATGGAACTATTCAAAGTTGACCAGCAGGGCACCCGTTCACTCACATATTGTCCGAAATATTTCACACCTTGCACTTTCTATCACCCGCTCGCCCGTATGACCTTGAACACCGCTGATAGCTGGGCAACTAATTCTAGAATCAGGTTGCAAGCGCATTGAGTGGCTGTGCACGAAATAGAATGCATAGCATACACCTTTTCATTGCATAACCAGCTGAATACGGCGAAAACGAGAGCACAAAGACACAATGGTCCTCATTGTATTCATTTTGGATATATAAGAGTAAAACTAGGTAACGAGTTTTCACCCCCCCAGTAGTCTGCCAATGAGCTGCTCCACAGCCTTGCCTTGGCAGCGGCCCAGTTTCTCAACGGCGAGGTGAGCGGAGGTGAGCGACAGCAAATGTTGTACAAATGTTGAGACCGGGCTGTTAGGTGACAATATTACTCGGCCCTCGAATTGTGTTCATGTAGCCTATTGCACCGTACCTCTCGTGTATTCTCCTTGAAGAATGAGGACTTGTGAACCTACGCATTCCCTAGAATGGCAGAACTCAAATACAAAATCCAGCCTCCGGGGTGCAACTTAATTCTGACGGCGGACCTCCAAAGGTCTGGAATCAGGCTTTGCACGAAAAAGGCGTCTGCAAACTCTCAGCTCTCTAGCTGCCTCGTGTGATATTTTTCCCACAGTTCGACGCCCACGAGCGAAAATTAAAGTTCCTCACAACTCGTCGTGCGTTTTGGCACCGGAACTTTCCGCCTCGATCTTTATCTCTGGGGCATCGTCACCAAAGACTTGTCCCGATGTCGCCCTCCCTTCAAGAATAGTCATCAACATAGCCTCGACATGGGCGGCAGTAACCTTTCGGGCCTGATTGTACGGAAACACCTGGTCATTCACCGGAGCGTGAACAACCACCGCTGGAAACCTTTCTTCTGAAAGGCCAAAGTTTTTCGCCATGGGACCGTATTCTACTGAATCTGCGACGCCGAATTTGACATATTGCTGGAGCTTCTTAGCGACGGGTGTGAGTTCGTGTCGCATAGTCGTCTGATCTCGTTCTGTGGATGCGAAAATGTAGACTGTGAGTTTACCCGGCTGGAGTTTTGTGAGTTAGAATATCTGTCTTTCGAAGCAAAGGAGCGGGGGATGTGGACTTACAACCATGTACTTGTCAATGTGCTTCTCACTAAACTCTCCAATCAGAGTAGGGGTCGCCATTGCCAGAAACTCCTCTATGTTACTTTCTGTGAAATGCCCGTTCATCACTCTGTTGTCACCGTCCGTATTCTTGTAGCATACAATCGACGGCATGGCAAGTCCTTCCGCGTCTGCACTCGGCATATCGGTAGTGAACCCAAAGACGAGGTCGCGATTGTTCTTCGCAGCTACACTACGAAAGCTTTTAAGGAGTGAGGTTTGGCCTGGGAGGAGGTAGGCGAGGATAACAATGTCATCGATAGTTTTGAACGAGGGAAGCGAGGAGGGTTGAACGTGGGTTACTGTAGGAAGCTCTTGTTTTGTCACATATGATTTAATTCTAATATTTCTTGTTAGACTCATCTTCGTTTGTGAATAAAAGAGGTGGGAAAAGGCACTTACGCGGAACTGGTTCTCCTTCCCCGATATCTGTTTGTTTCATTCCCATGATTCCTGAATAGTCGCACAGCTGGATATGCGTTCACATCGTGTTCTTTGCAAAGTTCTATCTCTTCTCCACAATCTACCGTTACGAAGGGCGTTTTAACGTCCTCAGATGCGAGTTCGAAATTTGTGTTGAAAGAAGAAAGGGATTCGATCGATTTTGAGGTGAACGCTGAGAAGACGAGTTTATTCTCGTTGAGAAGCTTATTGAATGTAGATTTTGAGGCATGTTGTATTAGAACCGCGGAAGCCCAGAATGGCGAAAAGGCGAGTAGCAGCCTGAGGAAGATTAAGGATTTCATAGTTGAGGTGGGCGAAGTTCGATTGCTGCGAAGTGGACGGGAGACAGTAGATAATAAGCGCGACGACAAAAGCCGACCGGAGTTGTTTATCGAGCTAGAAGGCGATCAGAGGTCATTCGATTTAAGAGAACCCCAATCCCAGATGTAGATCAGGCACATCTGCACGTGTCGAACGGTCCTGCAACCCTTGTCGTTTCACATTGGTAACGAAGCGGGCCTGAGGCACAATAACAACCCCACCTGCAGATTGCTTGTATCAGATATCACACGCCATGCAAAAGATTCTTGTTCGCAAAATTTCCATGTAGATTGTCTCAAGTCTGACCGAACTTCCTCGATTGACCGAAATCACGACCATTCCAACCACAGACACCATGCTATTCCTCCAAAGAGTCCTCCCGATTCCGCTGCTGGCTCTGCTCGCAGCGGCATCCATACCGGAAAACTACACTTGCCCGCACCACCTCTACAACATCCAGGTCTTCTCCCAGGACCCGCTGATCATTTACATCCCATCTTTCATCACCGAAACGGAAGCCCAGCACCTCCAAGAGATCAGCCTAGGCAAGTTCCAATCCTCTCAAATCGCCGACCGATCGGGAAAAGAACAAAAGGCCTTCACACGAACCTCGAGATCTACATCTTTGGCCACTGATTCGGTCATACGCTGTATTGAGGAGCGAGCACTTGCATTTCAGGGATATGAGACGCAGAGAGAACAACTAGAGCCGTTGCAGATTGTTGAGTATGAGATGGGCCAGAATTATCGTCCACATACAGATTGGTTTACGAGTCCTTCGCAAACTACCGCGGAGTTTGGTGGGAATCGGATTTCCTCGTTTTTTGTGTACGTTGGTACGTCGGAGTCTATCATCGGGGGCGGTACACAATTTCCGTTTCTTGATGCGCCGAAGGATGAGCGCTGGTGCGGTGTCGTGAATTGTGATGCACCATGGGAAGAGGGAGTGACGTTCCGACCGATTGCAAGGAATGCAGTATTTTGGAGGAATATGAAGGCTGGGACGGACAGCAAGTTGGAGGGTGATAGAAGGACTTTGCACGCGGGGTTACCTGTGCAGAGGGGGTGGAAGTTGGGGATGAATGTTTGGACTAGGGAGGGGGAATTGAATGCTAAGTATAGGAGTGACAATATTGAATGAGATGGTGGAAGTGTAGGAATTGTGTTAAATGGCTATTCATGCATAGATTTTAAGGATAGAGCAATGGGCTATAGAGGTATCTTGCCAATTCCAATCGCTATTGCGCCTAATAGCAAGGCCCAAATCGATATGTGAGAAAAATGTTCAGCGGTGTTGGGAGCAACTTTGGCGGCGACTTGAGTGTTTCCCCCTGATGTCGATGTGCATTGTGCGCCGCATGAGTAGCCACTAGATTATGTTAGTTACAATTCAGCATTATTTTGTACAGGAATGAGGCAAACGTACTCAAGACAACAATTCCCCCCAAGGCTTGCAGCACAACTATACCAACCAATAGGGCAAGATCCGCCTTGTCCGGCTGCGGTTGTTGCAAAAGAAGCTCCTGTGGGGGCTACAATCGTTACACCATTACTGACAATGACGGTAGCACTTGAGGTAGGGATGCAGGTGCCTGTAGTCTGACAGTCTCGACCTACTCTACAACAGCCGCTGGGGTAGTAGGCACTGCAGACGTAGAATCCAGTCGGGCACATGGATGGAAAGGCATCGCTCGAAGTTGGGGTAGCGGAAGTCGTGGCCGGGCCACTTGTTGGTCGGACAGGCGCTGAAGGGGTAACACTGCCGGTTGATGAACGGGTGTCGATACAGGATGTCCCACTGGCACACTGGAGGCCATTCTGGCAGCATCCGCCATTGAGGCTCTGAGGGCAGGAGAACCAACCCGAACTACAGCTAGACGAAGAGCTCGGGACCGGGGTTGATGTTGGAGGTGCCGAGGGGGGTGTTGTTGGCACTACAACGACTGCTGTCGAAGTAGAGCTCGGTGGAGGAGTCGATGGCTGAACATAGGTTATGGATGTGCCAGCGGTAACGCATCCTACATCCAGACAACTGTACCCAGGCAAACAGCAGCCGCCATTAGGACTGCTAGGACAACTTGTATATCCATTCCCGGTATCACAGGAGATGGCTCCGGCACACGTCTGGCCTTTCGGACAGCAAGCCACAGTACCAAAACCATTGTCCGGTATGTTCATGCAAACATCAGAAGCTCCGCAACAGCTATTCGGAGCCCCAATTGATGAACAGTCACTTGTTCCTTCAGGGCATTGGAAACCTCGACTTGACAACAGGTCTCGTGGTGCAAAGCGACGCAGCTGATCGAAGATGCTGCTCTGGAAATGGGGACGCAAGGGAGAAAATGCCTGTATAGTAGAGTTTCTCGACTCTTCCAATTCAGATCTCTTTCCCACTTGTTCTTCATCACCCACAAATATCCAATTGTCAAAGAAGAACATCTCCCCCTCATCACCACTCATTTTCTTTACACCAACTGGCTTCTCTCTCAGCATTCGTTCCTGTATGCTCAATCCTCTCTTCACATGCACTTCATCCTCCGGAAAGTACTTCATATGTTTGGGGAGGTTATGCGGCCATTGTTTTTCTGGGACGACGGGAGCAACACAGAGCAGAAGGATAACAGCGGTCGGAAGGGCGAGGAGGCTGTTTGACAGCTGCATCGGGGCTGACTTCGTATTGAGGCACAAATGCTCTAGATTTCAGTAAAATAGCAAGGTAAAAATATGGTAAGAATGTTGTGAGAGTAAGGACGACTGCTTGGAGTAAGGTGGTTGGGAGATGTCTACTGAGGTCCCGGGCACGAATCGGGAAATTGACGAGGCTGGGACGAGCTGGCGCAACGACCACGTGCCGCATCCATGATCGCAGGGTTCATCCTGGAGTTATATCGGCGCAAATAAAAGCTAGTTTTCCAAGTTGTAAACCGAGGAGGCTGAAGATGAGTCGAGGAGGTAAAGTTAATATTCCATTATGTCATGACAGCTGTTGAAATTCCGCTGGTTCCGAGTCTTGGCATTCTGCCACGTGCAGGCCTCGACCTTTCACATGGTGAAAGCCTCTTTCCACCTCAACAATGCATCACCATATACACTACATTTGGTGGTGGCGCAGTAGTCTCGTAATAACCAACTCCCCTGTCTTTACCCGAGTCACGGGTCAGTGGCCGAGTCACGTGGCATGAGGGATCCTCCGCAGGAGGACCCAGATTTGTATGGGAAAATCCGCCTTCTCCTAACTTTAACGCGACCTACTATCTCTCAATTGCCCCTATTGCTAGGGTTAGCGCAAGAATAAATTAATTTATCTAATTCTATGTTAACGTTAGTATATTTTTAAAGCAAAATCGCACTATAGGTTGCATTAGTTAGATTACCCTAGGCTTGGCACGGGGTGTATAGGCTCCTCGGCCTCTGTACCTCTGCCTCCGACCCTAAGGTTTACTCTCGTTACACCCCCCTATCCTGTATTCACTCTCTGTGACCTGTGTTTCCTGCTCGATACCTCTCACAATTAAAGGGTAGGCGTAGGTTTAGTTGTTAGGATTTATCTACTACTGTTAAGCTAACAACAGCAGGAGGATAAGAACTATAAATCGTTAATGTTCCTAGGGGGCACACTAAAATAGTTTACAAGCAGGAAACACATAAATTTGCGTTGTAGGTTAAGATAGTTTAGGCACGACTTAATTCTGCAGTTATCTGCGTACCAAAATTTACACAGGCGACTAGACCCTCTGGAAGTGTTACGAATGATGATTCGGTCAGGACTCTGGACGTCGCTGCTCTCTTTGATAGGCTATCTCCCGGTATGGATGAAGACGCCCAGGAGCTAAGCGAATCCATATGGGACGATGATGACCTGGGCTATGAAGCCTATCACAACCTGGATACATGATCTGTCTTGGCTAGAAACCACAGATCACCCTGAAGCATATAGTTCCCGCGAATTGCTACTAGAGCAATTCCTAGTCAATCGATCATATTTCCCTGACGCTTGCTTTGCTACAACTAGTATTGGAAATCACTTGTCCATTGCTCCTACCACCCATATCCTTTGTTCGTCACAACGGTTCGACCCTCCAAGCCTGACATAGCACTTGCGTACGGCAGCATCTTAGCCATAGGCATCTCCACCTCGTAACAGGGAGATAAGTGGTCACGTGGTAGAGCCACGAAAATCTCATGAGGCTGGTCATGTTATTACTAGACTAGTAGAGTAGCGGAAGAGTCTGTATTGATGTGGAGCTTCCAGGAGCAGCGGTGATACATAGAGAGATACAGGCACTAATAGATAGTGGCTTGGCCTGGTTCCATTAGACTTAGACAGTCTTAAGATAATTTCAAACCTTACCATTTCCGGCCTGTTTGGTGCACTTTGAAGAGACACAATTCTTCACTGGAACTTGGTTCTGAAGCAACCCTTTATAAGTAATTGAACCCCGACACGCACAACAGTCTCGAATCCTGTCATTGTCCCTGGAACAACACTGAGAACATCATGTTTTGCTCCCAGATGTGAAGTTTATACAAGGTGCGTCACCGCCATAAGAGGAAATAATCTTCTTCCAACAGAAGAGATGAAAGGCGCAACACCAATCCTTCCGTCGGACTATACTGATAGCCGATGTTCCAATCCAGTTCTCTGCAGCAAAGAGTTGATGTATTTTGATGTTTAGACGGTTATGTGGTCCACCTAATCATATGATTACCTAGTAACTACGGGCGGTCCAGCGTCTAGGAAGTTGTAGGAGGAAGGGAGCTGGTAGTATGTTCGTTCTGGTCCGGCTTGAAAATGCGACCTATTGAAGTCGAGAGCAGAGTGGGATGGCCAAAGGACCTATGACATTACCATCGGAGATTTATACAAGGCAACAGCCGCTACTCTTTTCGAACTACCTGGTTATGTCACTAATTTATAAGTAGTCATCATCTAGCGAGTGAAGCGCTGAGACACAGCATTCAAGGAGGCCCAGGTGATCAACCAGTTTTACAACAGCATCTACTGGACAGAGTTGAAATTAATGCTCCACCAAGGCGACCTCCCTATACAGACGGGTGAAGATACACCTATTTGATGATTTTCACCACTCTGTATTAAACTAGATTAAGGTCAGAACTTGGGTTAGGTACTCTATTTTCTCCCATATTCCACATAATGGACGCTTATATTATTCTTAGAAATTTCCGTAGAACGCCTAATTTCTCAATGAGAAGGGACGAAATTGTTTGCACCTTTGAAGGTTTGCTTAACCGCAGTGGTCTAGTGCAATTTTATTCGCGGCATTAGAGCTGACGTCCATATTCTAGTCATCTACTATCCCCTGGCGGTTATCTCTTGACCATGGTTCCATCCATCCAACCCCTTTACAAACTCCACCAAATCTCTCAACATGTCTGCCGAATACCAATGCCCAAGCTCTGAATATTGCTTCCAACTTACATTTACGCCAACCTTTTTCAGAAATTCAGTCGCCTTCTTCCCTAAGTCGCATTGCACCTTCTCATCCTCCGTCCCATGGCCCATGAACACTGGGATATTTTTCACTGTAATTTCTTCACCATATCGGGAGACAGGAGCATTCATTTCCAGTTCTTCTCGAAGCCACTCTACCACTCGTTCAAGATTGCTTTTCTTCTCCTTCCCTTCGTCCTCACTCCTCTCAAATAGGAAATCGTCCCCAGTGTCCTCTTTCCCTTCCTCATCATCGTCTAGTGCCTGCAACATCCCCTTCCGAAAAGGCAGCCAGCCACACATCCCCGCAAAGCCCGCAATACCCTCCGTCCTCCTCTCTGCCTTAGCCTCTCTATCCCACAGCATCAACGTCACTAACCCAACCGCACAACCTTGACTCAATCCCACAAGCACTACATTCCCTCCCCCAACCTCCCTCACCGCCTCTTCCAGCAATCCCTGCAAATATCCCGCACTCTCCCGCAAACCCAGCACACTCAGTCCCTCCCGATACTCCGGCGAATGTGTAGCGATTTCCCACATATCGAACCATTGGTGGGTGAGGCTGCGTTTGTAAACGACGGCGCGCCGCAGTGATGCAGTAGGGAAAATAAATTTAGTGTGTGGGAAATGAGATTGGAAAGGTTGTGATGGAGAGGGGAAGGGAGTGTTTGGGAGTGGGGTTACTGGATGCGAGAGGAAAGGCGAGGCGAATTTAGAGGCTGTGGAGCCGCGACCGTGGAGGATGATCATAGTAGATTTGTGAGTTTGTTTAGGGAGTATTGTTATGGGTTGTGGATAGGCTGATGTTTTAGAGGGGGTTGAAGAAGCCATGAATCGAACCTTGTGCTCCGAAGGTGGTATTAATGATATCGTTCTCCGTGCCTCAGAACGAATAGAATATTGAAAATTCTAGTTAAAGAAGGGTTTAGGCTCTCGATGCTCTTCCGAGAGACCTTGAGCATCGAGGTTTGAAGGATGGCTGCCTAATTACTAAGCTGTTTACGTACCGTGTTTCATCGCACGGCCCCTCGTAACGCACAGTTTTTAGATGCTACCCATTAACTCTTAAGGCTGTACAGCTCTATAGAGCTTATTGTAAGGATGGGGCTCTATAACACTGCGCCAATACAACCAAAAAGGTGCGAATAATCAACCAACAGTTGATTCTGCGTACAGAATAGTATATATACCTGTCGCGCGTAAGGACCCTAGTACAGGCCGCTTCCGGCCTTACGGTGCATTATCGCCCTTGTAAGGACCAGCGGCCTTACACCAGCGGCCTTACACTTATAAAATAAAGAAGTTTTCTAGAGTTACAAGAAAAGCTCGCTAATTACTTAATCTATTATACAAGAAATTTTTTAGGAAGGTTAATCTGCCTGTTATATTAACTTTAGGCTTGTTGAATGGGCTCCATGCTAGCTATGCAAAGCAAAGAGGTTTGCACGGTGTACACATCGCGCGGGGGGGTTGCAGGTAACTGGTGTTGATTCTTCTTGTTCTAATTCTGTGCGAAGGAAAGGGGTATTTATCTGTCTGTGCGTACGACCGTGACACAAGACCATGACACGTGACGCCCAACCGCGTATCCAAATACTGCTATTCGGACAAGGCTAGTATAAGCGCAGCAACCTCCATAACTCACTTATCCTAATATAATCTTCCTTCTTATCCTTATTGCTAGTAATTAGCGTAGAAGCCTTCTTCTTGCCTAGCTAACTAGATGTCCTTCTTAAGTTGCGCAGCAGCTTCTTAGGCAAACTTTGCCTCTTTTTTTTAAGCTGCCTTAACGCGCTGCTCTTAGAGTTAGATTTTTTTTTTGCTACTACCTTTATGCACTTTCTCTTTTTTGGCATACACGCTTTCTCTACCTTCTCTGCCTTTTTAAGCTTTATTTTTTCTCCTTAGTTATCAAGCTTTCTTATTAAGATCTTTTTAAGCTTAAAGATTACATGCTTTATGTACTTTATTTAGTAACTAAAAGACTGCTCTACTTATTATGCAGAATCGCCTGAGGGCCATTGTAACTGGGGATTTAGGCTGGGTGGAAAACAGGGAGAGCCTTCCGCAATCGAACGCCAATGCGGCACTGCCCCCAAAAGCAAGCATTTTGCCTTGCGTTAATAAAGTTATCGTATTTTAGTTGTCCATTTGCACCTCCATCATGTCTACTCCACCAGCAAGTATAATGAATATTTCTCCAGAAACCGGGGTTCACGCTCAAGTACCTTCCCCAGGGTATTCGGCTCAAGCGCCCAACCCTACCGCCAGTAGTTCATCGTCTAAGAACAAATTCAGTGCCAATACTGGGACGTCCAAGTCTCTGAACGGCCTCTCCACTAGCGTTCTGTCTCAAAGTGTCGGAGGCCAGACTATTACACGACCTGCGGAATACGAGACCTTTGTCCATGATTCCGCACAAAATTTCTCTCATCTCAAACCATTGGGCAGCTTCCTTTCTTGGAACTCTGAAGCTGAGGCAGAGATCACACTGGTTAAGTTTAGGAAAGGCCTTGAACCAGTATTCGAGCGCAGCATTCCGGAAACGGATTTGGAAACTTGGCTCGAAAAAGATACTGAGCAACAGCTCTACGTTGTGGAGAACATCTCCCCGAACGTAGTGAGGCTACTTGGTGGCTACTTCAAGATCGACCCTCAATTTTTCGTTGACTACCTCGATATCGTCCTCCTAGACGAGTCTAAAAAAGGAAAGGCCAGAGAGGGCAGAGTGGCAGGTCCGCGCCCTTGGTACCGTTTGGGTGATATCGAGAATCACCTACCTTCACTACGATCTGTAGATGGCACGAAAGACCATGTCTTCATCCGCTTCGTTGGGCCGAGGGAATATCATCCAAAGGTTGATGGTGCAGCAGCAATTGAGTTGCGCGAAAGACTGGACCCCGACCCAAAGTCTGCAAATGTAGAAAGAATCGCCGGTGGCCATAATCCGATCCAGCTTGATGACAGCACAGTTTGGCCGGTGGCTCTGGCTCGTCACTCTGCTGCGGCGTGGTTTAGTAGAAGTCCTCAAGCTACTTCTGGCGACTGGCTAAAGGGTGAGTATTGAGAACTCTATCTCTATCTCAAATTGGATAGGGCGATTGATGGATCGTGGTGACAGGTGTTATTCTTCTCGATCCACCTTTCGAGTCCAGCCAGGCGTCACTCGACAGACAAAGATCCAAGTACCGATCTTTTGCAAATCTTCCTTTACCGGGACAGAAGAAGACTCCGCACGATTTTCGCGACACGTACCTCACGTCGCTCCTTCATTGCTTCCGCGCAAACGAAGCGCTAAAGCAAGCCAATCCTTCGCCAATAGCGGTATTACAGGACGTGTATCGGATCGTAGCTTCGGAATGGATAGCCGTGAACGCATACCTCGAGCGGGATCTAAATGCTATTGAGTGGAAGTTTGAACAAAAGACCCCCGATCTCGACTTGCTCGAGATTCTTAATAAGCTATTCATGCTAAGGCGTCGAACGAGAAAGTACCAAGCACTAGTAAACGATCAGCTGCAGTTGAGGCTTCCTGATCATTGGCAAAACAATTCCGCTAGCGCCCAGGATCTAGTGCGCGCTGCCATGAAGACTGATTTCGAGCAAGTCCAAGATCTCATCCGCGCCAATGATGACCGAATCACTCAAACTACAAATCTCATCACGTCAGTCATGTCCGTTCTCGAGGGACAGAAATCGGTTGCACAGAATAAGAGACTCACATTTCTCACTATCCTGGCGGCGATCTTCGTACCATTTAACGGCGTCGCCGCCATCCTTGGGATGCAGACAACTTTTGGCCCCGGCGGAAAACATTTCTGGGGATTTTGGGCTATTTCTGTTGGAATAGTTACTTGTAGTGTGCTTGTCTATGGTGCCATTCACAACAAATTTCGCCCAAAGAAAATACTTGGACGAGTCGCCCGCGGATAAAACGAACACTAATTATGAGCCTAAATAGTAGTGAAATCTCCATCTGGCTTCCGTGATGACTATAGCAGCAATTCATGTTAGATAGGGCCTATCTACCTAGCAGACAAAGAGTTACTTTTCCAAATTGCTTCTCTGTAACCGTTCTTTTGGATAGTTACTTCCTGTATACTGGGAGTAGTGGCAGGAGGAACAGGAAGTAACATTAATGTGCCAGAAAGTAACAGTCTTGCTGGGGAAGAACAGGCAACTCACAACACTAAGCTTGGCGTATGCATTGAACAATTTTCATTGATTCTATATGCGCCGCCCACCCCTTCGCCCGTCCGCCCACAAACCATCCCACCTCCCTCCAACTCTATGGAATTCCTTTATACTTGGGAGTCGGCAAATACCCCTTTCATGAAGACCATTGATGCACTACACAAAACTTGGATTATATCCCAACATGCAATCCAACATTCAGTGAGTGAAATATTGCGTGCCGTTGGGAGATATATGATAGTTGTACATATAATGTGCAAGGATAGTACCCCATTTAGCACCTAGCCAGCAGTTTTTGTCGTCCCGAACTCGTGAAAGCGGATCGATCCTAGGTTTCGAGAGCCGAATCCCGCAGGATCCTGTAGGATTTCGTTGAGTTCGGCAAGTGTAGCTAGGTATATCCGGTGGGCATGCCTTTTACATGGATGGGACACGGGAAGTGTCCATATGTTTGGTCTAAGTTGAGATTCCAGAATGCAACCAGTGCAGCAACCGTTCGCCTCGAGTACTTGTATCGATGCTACTAACTGTCCAAGCAATAGAGGCTCGCCTATCGCACATGACATATGAACAAGAAGCTGCTAGTACCAAGTACCTGGAGGGCACGGTAACCCCGATAAATAGGGCGAGATACATGACTTTTATCCGCATTTGGAGTACAGTTGCTAGGCCCATTAGGCGGAGGTTACCCAAACATCAACGTATCCGCTTCATTAACCCCTCGCACCGCAGCCCTATAGTTATGGTAATAAGTTTCTTTGTCTAATCGTATCTACTTCTTTGGCGCATAATTCTAAGCACCTATCAATGACATCCGGGGTAGGATTGATGTCCCTAGCAAATTGCTGAGTATACTTTCGCGCACATTCTTCGTATAAAGCCCGGTTGCGTATATACTGCTCCGCAATTTCTGGAACCAGTGGGTCCTCGAGTCCTGGATCCACTAGGAGTGAAGTGAGAGAGATCAACACGGCCTGTAGATGAGAATGAGGACCCCACGCATTGGCGAGAACATCTACGCAAATCTCGCCGCTAGCATTGATGTTAGGATGGTAGACACGGGTGAGAAACCTGAACGATGGGGGCTTGAAGGGATAGCCTTCTGAGACTATGATCAGGAGGTGGAAGATGCCGCCGTGGTATGGTGAACCAGGTGGTCCTTCTATGCTTCCAAAGAGGAATCGCAATTTTCCTGCAATCGAATGCAAGTTGAAATACAGCAGTGGCTCACCCTTTCTGACTATTTCCAATTCCTTGGCCAACCTCTTCCATGTCTTAACAGAAGTACTAGGTGGCCCAGAAGCGAAAACCTCGGGGAAATCAGCGGCCTTTCTATCAAATTCGTCGAGATACAAACGATTTATCAGCCTGCCCACGGATGAGGTATCGATGGGCAGGGTTGGTTGTATTGTGTTCTTGAGGGATGACTGAGCTAGTAAGTTCTCCATAATGCGCATATGTTGAGATGAAGTGGATATAGAAGGAGAAGGTTCGTCAAAGTTTTGAATTGGGGGAAGCGGCATATGGGACTCGAGCGCTGTCTGGTATGATTCGGAGGTGTGTTCGGTGTCGGGGATGGAATAGAGATCGCGATTTTCCCTTCGTGCGCATGCTGAACCTCTTATGCTGCTCAAGTGAACGCTCGCAGTATCAGATACGACATCAACCGAGCCAACACGAGAAGCTTCGATGATCTCAAGTGTTTCAGTGTCAGAAATCGATTCGATTTCGTACTGCACCAGGATCCTTTGTCGTGCGGGAACCCCAAGGTCTTTGGTAAGATATTCCAAGTCTCCAACTAAGTCGCTAGGGTGCTTGACTAAGTCGTCTAGTTTTCTCTTATCTGCCAGAGCCCATTTCGTAGCCTCCTTAAAGCCTGAATGTTTGGTGCTTTTGCGAAGTCGTTCTTTTACAGCAGTCCAAGACCACCGAGCTGCAGTCCCTCGTAGCAGCACATTGGCGGCCTTCTCCGTCGGATCTGTCTCGTACGATTCAATAACGGTAATTCCCGAGTCCAAGACAAGCTTTATACTCCACAGAGTACGCTCGATGTTCGGTTTGAATTGGGCGTCGTCTAGTTGGGGATCGTATCCATTTGGATATCCAAGCCCACATGCTTCGCCCCATTTCGTGAATCGTAGCTGCTGATTACTGAACTTTGTCGTTAGAATGAGTAGGTCTCGCTCTATATTCCGCCCACATTGGATGAGTTCGAAGCATTGCACGCAGGACATGAAGATACCGGGGAGGCTGATAACAACTGCTCCTGCACTGAGGGGGTCTTCCATAGAACCGAAAGGGACATGAGCTATGCAAGCACGATCTGGTACGAAAGATAATGGGTTCTCTGAGGGTTTGGCGAGGAAAGTAAGGAATACGTGCAATGGAATATGGGCAGCTGAACTCGAAGTCTCCTCGGATGGGGAAGTGGTTGTGGCTAAGGTGCAGCCGCCGTCGCCATCGCTTGGCTGGACTGCGCCACCTGTATTAGATACTGGCCAATGAAGACTTACTCCAGTCGAGCCTCCATAGTGCAAGAATCTACAGTTTAACGACAACTACAGTGTTGGAGGAGAGCCAACGTCATTTGAATGCGGCAATTGGAGAAGCCTGAAAGTCCAGATCACCAACAAAGGGACTTTGAGGGGGTTATATGTTAGTGAGTAAGGATGAATCTGCACGCTGCTCAAGTTAGAAGGGTTGGTGGGTGATTGTGTCACCAGATGTGAGAATTCATGCATCGTCGTGGGGGGGATAGGAAGGCGAAATATTCACCGCCAAAAGATTCACAGAGAGGGTTGTGGTGGGTTGGCCTTTCACTCCTACGATCAGCCTATCACCGCGCGATTCTCGCCCCACGCTTGCCCAATTAGCGTGCCAAGCCTAAGTATCGCCCAGAACGAACTCCTCGACCTTTTTTTTGCCGTCCATATTCCATAACCACCACCCTCTTATCCCTCTCAAATAGTTTTCTGGCGGCTACAATGCGATCACCCGTCGCTGTCACGCCCGAGAAGCCGGCCAAGAGCGTCCTGGCAGCCGCGCCGCAGGAAGAGGAGGATGCGAAGAGCTTCGTTGCATCCGACCATGACCGCTTTTTCTGGACATACACCGAGGAGCCGCACCGGACGAGGCGTATGGCTATAATCAAGGCCCACCCCGAGGTACTGTAGCTCCCTATACTCTCAACCCGCTATACTAACCATTGTTTCGCCTAGGTTACGAAACTATGTGGTCCCGAGCCTCTGACTAAGTACCTTGTTGTCTTCGTCGTTTCCCTTCAGGTACTCTGCGGGTTCCTTCTTCGAGACACGCCCATTATATCATGGCCATTCTTCCTCACAGCATACGTCATCGGAGCTACAGCGAACCAGAATCTCTTCCTCGCGATCCATGAAATATCACACAACCTGGCGTTCCGGAGTCCACTCGCAAATAGGGTGTTTGCGGTATTCGCAAATCTGCCAATTGGCATACCTTATAGTGCATCATTCAGGGTGAGTATCTTGCGTTGGACTTGAAAGCGGCGAAGCTAACTGGAGTAGCCTTATCACCTCACACATCACAAATCTCTTGGCGTTGACGGCCTCGATACCGATCTCCCTACTCCTCTGGAAGCCATCTTCCTTGATTCTGTCCTAGGGAAAGCCTTCTTCTGTACTTTCCAAATCCTTTTCTATGCTATCCGCCCCATGTTTGTTTATAATCTCCCTATCACGAAGACCCACCTGTTCAACATTGCCGCCCAATTTGCTTTTGACTATGCGTTGGTCAAGTTTTTCGGGGGGCATGCATTAGCATACATGATCATGAGTTCCTTCTTGGCAGGATCCCTACATCCCTGTGCTGCTCATTTCATCGCCGAGCACTATGTCTTCGAGAAGCAACCCGCCGCAGCAAGAGACCCATCCAACAAGGTCCCTCTTCCAGAGACCTTTTCCTACTACGGACCACTGAATATCCTAACATACAATGTTGGCCTCCATAATGAGCACCACGACTTTCCTGCTGTGCCCTGGACAAGACTACACGCGCTTAATCGCATTGCACATGAGTTTTACGATGAGCTACCAGCTCATAAGAGCTGGGTATATGTGATTTGGCAATTCATCTGGGACAAGGACGTTAGTCTGTGGTGTCGCGTTAAGAGGAGCGAAGGTGGGCGGAGGGTCGGTGGAGGCGGTGGCTGGAATGAGGAAGAGCTGGGTGCGAATGAGAAGAAGGGTCCCATTCCCGGAGTTAGATAGACGGAAAATTGTGCAAGAATATTGATTTGGCCTTTGGAAAGGATCGCGCACCGCGTTTGCATTTCCTAGGATATAGATGTGTGATGGGAATGCTAACGCGGGTCTAGGGATATATCACTTCTCTCCATGTCCATCGTTTCGGTTATCTTCATCGCCTCCGAATACGCTCACACGAGCTTTAGTTTTGAAAGCATGAACTTCAATTCATGGCTCCTAGCGTATATAAAACCCGTCTCCACTCGCGCTGAATGCTTGTCTCCTCGCGTTCAACAGAGCGCACGGAAAGGCAACAACAAAATTAGCGGCCCGTGATGGACACGGAGCTCTGGATTACCCAAAAGCGAAATGAAATATATTGTTCCTTGCGTTGACCGCTCAACGCATATATAATGTCTCTCTGCAGATTTCAAACCACGTATTAGGACCACGATGGAACGGTGGTTTGCCCTTGGTCGACAACCTTGCTCTAGATCAGAAGATGTATATTCACTCCAATGTAGGATTCGTCAGCAAAATGGGCCTGGCGTCTCTTGCCTCAACATCTATATAGGCTTGATCCTCGGCATGCCAGGCTCTACCTTCATACTTCCACTCAAGCTCGAAACTGGACAAAAACTGAACTCCTTGAAAAAGAAGCATCGGTAGCAATGCATGGAGTCTTACCTTCTGGATCCGAATTTGAATTCAAATCTCGAACTTGCACTTCGCATTTACTATGGCGATACTAATCGACTCGACACCGCAGTTATGGTGCTGTCTTCCTGGATTTGGCGACTTGGCTAACTTCTCAGGGAAAAAGAAAAGTAGCTAGCCATAAATCATGCTTGGAGACTGCCCCCGAGTCTGGGGTCCCCAGCAGCGGTACTCCCACGTCCATTCTCTACAAGAGACTTTCTTGCTCCACGCCACAATTGACTTCCCGACTGGATCAAAAACCCATCACAATGGCTATTATATAAAGCTTGTGCTCGGTCTGAAAGCATAAAACCGCAGATCTAAGTACTTCTTCGTCAATAGCAGAAGGCACGATCCCAGTGAAATGGTCTTTCTGTGGAAGGAATCAGGGCTTCCAACGGGCCGTACTACGGTCCGTACAAAGTGAACCATAACGATCACATGTTCAGTACGAACGTACTAAGTTCGTGAGCCGTACCGTACGTTTAATGATGCCCTAGGTACGGTACGTAGTACGGATTGTATTACCCTTTTAGAAAGTTTGTATAGGGGTTCTGGAGGGGTAGGGGGGCTCTGGCGAGCAGGAGGCCTGCAGACGCTTAAATCTCTTTCTAAGAGTTTTAATCTATCTATCTGCAGTCTGTTGTCTTAAAAATGCCTATTACAGACTATTTTATATTACAGAGGTATCTATCTACACCTCTTACCTCCTTACAGGCCTTATCTAGTTAATTAGATCCCTCTATTATTAGTCTTGTAAGTTGCAGAAGTTAAAAGCCCTCTACACTGCGTCTCCTGCCTTATCCTGTAATAGTACACAGTTTATAGCTAAAGATTAATTACAGTAGTCCCTAGAGGACTATAATCACGTTGTAAAGCAATTATACGCTATTAAAGGTGTAAGCTTATAGCGCAGGTATAACGCTCCTAGAGGAGTAGGGCAAGGTAATCCGCCTCTAGCTCTACTGTTAGTGTTATAAGTAGACCTATCTATTTTATAGTTAATTAGACCTTAATCTTGCGTCTTTAGAGACCTATAGTCCTAGCTGTTTTAGCTAGAGTACAGCGTACTTTAATTAAATTGTACTACTTGTATAGATCACGTGAGCTGTAACAGTTACAATACGTACACCTACCTCTCCTCCTCCCTACTGTACAAACGTACACAAAATCTCACCTGTACAGGCCTTAGAATCGCCCAATCGTACAGTACTACGCCTCGTTGGAAGCCCTGGAGGGAATTCATGGTAAAGGTTCTACACGGCCTTCCTGGATTCGGCCACGTATCTGCCTCTTTGGTTTCGGACAAAATCAGAAGGTTATGCAAAAACATGTGGAGCGCGCTCAACATTCCCAACTTTTCAACCAGCGGGTCAATATGTGCAGCCTTTTCCGCGCCGTTCGTCTCGAAGTAAAATACGATGAAAATCCTCGCACTAGAGTCTATCGAGAGAAGTCCTTCGGCGTAGCTATTTAGACCTGCTTGCTTTTTGAAATACAATTAAACTGTCAGGCTGCATGACTTCGTTTGGATTAAATTACCATTGATCTTTTGGTATGGAGAGTCCGCGCTCTTGAGTCGATCTATCCATCCTTATTCCTCAGCACAAGATGGTTTATTACCATGATCATATCGGCTCTAGTTGACTATAAGTTCCTCTGAAGGTTTATGCAGGGTTTCCACATACTTGGTTATTCTTACCTGTGTGGGTCTACGTTGTTTCCCAGGGATATTAAAATAAGAAGCTTCGTGTTCGTGCGTTAGACATATATCCGGAATTGAAAACAACCGATTGCCTTTGGCCTGCCTACAATCTACTACAAGATCTAAGGATTTTCCCCTATGGAATTCGACAGAACACCGTAGTAACCGCAAATCCCTTACTAAAAAAGAAAACACCTGTGATAGTTCCATTTCCCGAAAACTCAGGCCATTCTCAGGAATGAATGCTCCTCAGTTTTGGGATCGCTCCCTCAGAGCATCACTATTCCAGCTCGAAATTTGGCGTGGGGTTTTTAAATATGGGCCGCATTCCAAAGCGCTAAGTAACGTCCATATTTCCATTCTTAGGGCAAAAGATTGAAAAGGCACCACTATTATCCCCATGTCACGATGAAATCAAATACCAAACTTACTCAATCGATGGTGGGCTTAGTGTGATTCTAAAAATATTCAATAACACTAGAATAAACAGCCGTATGGAAATCAAGGCGCTGTACTAGAATCGGAATCGAGGAGATCCAGATGCCATGAAGAGCTTCTCAGCAACGAACATAAAGGCGAGGCTATGCAATCGCTCCTGTTAGAGATGCAAAATCAAAGTTATAGCAAGATTATGAGATGCGGCTCCTTTGGAGCGATAGCACGCTTCCTAGCGATACCAGAAAAGCTTAGCAAAAACTCATTGCAAAAAGAAATCTTCTAAGGAAATATTCTATGCTGACGGCTGGATCTGGGGGCTCGGGCCTTGCCTGCTTGAACTAAACAACTCCCGACATCGGCACTTGACTATACTTAAAAATACACACCAGGTTGAAGGATTCTTTAAACCGAAATGCAACCTAGATTTATTCCAGGGTCTTTCCTAATTCCCTCTTCCCTTCCGTATATCGAAAACGAGAAGGACTTCGTGCTATGCATCTCATGGTTAGACAGATCAAGGTAAACAGCAGTGGTCAGTCTTTAGGACTATGCTATTTTCCTCAAAAATGCCGAGGGTTGAAACGCATTTTTCTGTTACCACAAAAGGAGATACAACTCCTTGATGCTCTTTTGGCGCCGAAGCCCGCGCTTTACACCCGGGGTAGATCTCCGCATGAGTATTCCAGAACTAAAACGCGAAACAGCTCGACAAATGGCTGGAACGACGCCTGCAAATTCACCGTCCTCACAGACTGGAAACGTCACCGAGCATTTCCCTCAACTCACTGGGGAAATAAATATATTATATCTTCTCTGAGCCTCGAAATGAGTCAAGCCTTCATTGCGCGTCTCCTTTTCGATTGTCCAACCTTTTTTTCTAGAGGAATATAAATGCCTAGCGCCGTATTGACCAAAAGGCTCAGCGACAAGACCTACTTCTTAGAGCCGACGAGGAAGACACTATCTTTCAGGGGACGATATGGCCCTGTCATGGCTAATTTTTTTTTGTCCTGCAATCTATGAGCCCCAAACTAGCTTTCGTTCCTAGAAAATTGTTTCCTCAGATTGTTGTGGGCACCAAGATTTAGAAACTCTCACGCTTGTTGACCCATGTTTATGGTGTATTTCGCAACCCGGCTCTTCAACATGGCAAAACATTCGAAACGATGATTCGAACCAACCGCGGTCTGGTTAGCTTGGGCCTTCTTTGGGCCTGAGGAAGTATCAATCTGACTTTCTTGAATCCGTTCCATTCTACACAATGGATTAAATACATTATCTCTCTTCTGCGGACGCGATTGCTTTTCCTTTGACTTAAAACCCTCAAGTCTATCGTATGACCTGGCACTTCATAGACTTTGCTAAGCTCTCTCTCGAAATGTGCAGCAAGGCTGTTTCTTCGTTGATTTGAATTGACGACTAGTATTCCCACAATATTCTAGAACAACAAGACGCGGCAAGCGACTAAGCAGAAGGTAAAACCATTAACGTAACGGCAGTGTATCAGGGGGGAGGGGAGGGGTGGAAGTAGATCATCAAGTGACTAGAGATCGGAGATCTCTGTTACTGCAAACAAGAACTGCTTTCCTTTCACCTTCATATCGTGTGCTAAACTCTGCGCCTGTGCCGAACATCAAATATACGTTAGTGTCTACAAAAAATCACACATTCGGAAATGGAGAGGGATAATGCTATAGAGAGCATTCTTAGCGGAGACGGTGGCACTGCCTGTCTTTAGGCCCAAACTCCGTATTCGAGCAATAAACAGAAGTGGAATTTGAACCTCCCTCACTACAGGGCTGGGGTGACAAGTATATCGAGAAATCAATAGGACCCGCTCTGAGTCAATAAAGTTTCAATAATTATAATTTTAAATTATCTACAATTCCTTTACATAGAGCCTGAAGCCGTCTAGAATGTACGCGTGAAATAGAATATCTGAGCACGGCCTCAGGCTTGCGGATGCAGCGTTGGGCAGAAACTTGGTGAATGGAAACAAAAGAGGCTGAAGGTTCCTCTTCGTCCTTCTGAAACTACTCTTTAAATAGCAGACAGGTCTATGTGGGTGCTGGAACTGGGCTTATGGGGAGTGGGTTGATAGAAATCTCGACCAGCGGGTTGAAGATACGAGCGATCACCACCTGGTAAGAAAAATGTTGATACATTCAAGACGTACGTGCTTCAAGACGTATAACTGCGGGCATTTATTTTTCTACAATAATAATCATCGTCACCCCGGCTCATTCCCGATACATGAGTGATTCAGAACCCTATGGTCCATGACGGAATCGAATGATTTTCGAGGCCTCGGCTGCTCATCTGCTATTTCAAATCAGCATAAAGATGATAACGGTTACATTTACATTCGAAGACCGTTGAGCCCATCTCCACAGACACCGGCCTCTGGCCATGATCTCAAACCCTCTAGCTTTACAGCAGGATCGGAGCCATAGTGTTTATGAAGCTATTGGGAGCACCAGAGCCACGAGGGACTGAGTTGATGGCTAAAATAGTGTACTTAGGGGTATACATGCAAAGAAAAGGGGTGGGTCTCGGAAAAATGCGACTATCGTGTTGTGCGTGACTACTGCAAGCAATATCGCTCGTATTTGCGACATAGAATTTAAGGCACTGAAGAAGATTTTGAAGAGGAATCTTGGATTTTCGACCCTGGCGGGTAATTCCGCTATATGCTGGACATAGAAGCTAGAACAACACACTCATAGATGAGATAAACTAGGGCTTTATGAACCCATCTCAGAGCCCACAGATTTCCTTGACCAAATACTGGTCCAAGTGCCGGGTTTCAGGTTCCCCATGAAGGGTGTTATTCAGGGCTTTGTTGCGCTACGAGAGAATGAAGTCAGAGTGTTGCTGAAAGAAGGAGAAAGAAGCCAGCTTTTAAAATGAACAATTGTATCACCCATTTAGGGTAAGGGGTTTTGGCCTTTCAGGTAATGAGGTGGAGTCCCGTATGGAAAAGAAGGTCTTATGAATAGCCAATCCCACAATTATTCTTTGTTCCCGACATCAACTGAACTTAATCCCAGATCAACCAGTCCACACAGGAGGGCCAGGAGGAACATATTTAAGCAAGCCTCCACTGATTACACCAGGTGTGAGTAGTGTCAAATCCATTTCTGGTGGGATTTGAATTCCTACCCCATCATGATTAGTCAATGCTCAATTGAAATTGGCGGGGGTAGTACCTGGATCACTAATGTTGTATGCTCCAGGAAACTTGACAAATCTGGTCGGTGTTCCTAGACGTCTAGTATAAGCACTAACACGTGGAGAAGTACTGGATATGAAAGTGGATAAGAAACGAGAAGAGCATACCACCTCCAGGCCCAACAACCTTCACATGAGCGCAGTTGACATACCACTGACTCGTATTGAAGAGTCGGTACGGCTGGAACTGTTCGATTCGGAGGAGGTATTTTCCCGGTGGAGTGGTTTTTGGGATGGAGAAATTCCACTGTAGCATCGAAAAAGTTAGTCTAAAGCTGAGGTAGCTCTGGATTTTTATAAAAGCGACGCTCGGGAAGGAGTTATTGGAAAAGATATTACCCCATTCTTCCCTTTGAGCTTCCAAGCAGTATCACTCTTCGGCCCAATATATCCAACCTTGAACCAATCCCCTTTTCCATCATAATGCTCTAAATCATCGTTTGGGGCCCGAGACATGAATGCTTGGGCCGGTCCGTCGTGGAAGATGAGATCTTGGGTGGGTTGCTGCGTAAACCAGTGTGTCAGATATAGTCACGACAAGCTGTCGACCGGAGCTCTGCTCACTTTAATAATCTCCGCAAGCTTAAACCCTACCTCACTTCCTGCAATCACAGTCGCCGTCTCCGTATTCGCAGCCGCCCTCTCAGCCGAGCGACCGCATACCATGTTTGGAGAATAGATGTCGAAGAAGGGAACACGTTTGGCGTATTGTGGTATATTGGTTAGGTTTTCATAATCAGGTGCACCAGCTACATCACTAAGAAAATTTAGTCTAGCCCAGAGATATAGTACAGAAACAGGGTGTCGATACCGGACGTATTTCCATTCAGGCGCGATAGTGCCGTTGACGACGAAGTGCGCGAATGTTCCTAGGGACTAAGGCTAGTCTGAGCTGATGGAAGGAAGAGGAGGGACGTACCATGTGCCCAAACACCGTGTATGGAGAGAGACAGGAAGGCCAGTACAACGAGGATCTCCATCGTGGTAGTAAGTGCATATAGCTATGGACGTTGCGAATTGATCTTCCGCAAAGGCAACAACGGGGCTATATAGAACGCCTAGACGTGTCTCACTGTAATACTTACTACTGCGTCTAAATTATGCTTTCGAAATAGCCGTATATTAAACCCTGCGGAGAAGTAGCATGCGGGTGCTTGGAGGAGTCGGTTAAACCAGCGGGGCGTATGCGTAATAGAAGGCATGACCAGACTCTCGGGATAACACATCGTGAATATTGGATGTCTAAACCCCGTTTAACACGATTAGTTATTTAAATACAATGGGACATGAGTAAGGGAAAGGAAGTAAGAGGCCAGTCCTTAGGAATAACGTACTGAGAACTTGGCGACTCGTCCTCGCCCGTCACAGTCCCACCATGATCGTCACTCCCGCAGCTATGGATTTAGTGCTGGCTTCTCCCAGCCAAATAATATAGAGCAATTGAACCTACACAAAACATACTCGATCACTTGATAACATCTTTAGTGAATAGAGAATACAGTAAAGCGACACTGATGCAGTAGTTGACATCTCGTGCAAGAGCCAATATGAGAACGCAAGCACACATTTGTCCAAACGTATACTTGGAGAGATGATAAATCTGTGCACCTCTGGCGACCTTGTTGGAGTGTATAACGCCGGTATCCCTCCAACAGATCTCCATACCTTCACACTTACCTTGGTGCCGATTACAGTCAATAAAAATCGGAACCAGTCAATGTATGTGTGCCGGGTAAGGAGAGAGATCAAAGCATAACGATAGATTGGATCCTGAGTATGGACCACCTAAAGGCTCCTGGAAGCCTTTACAGCTGTGTTTGGAAAGATGAAGAAAAGTCCACAAGATCTATGACACTCACTACCGGCTGTCAATGTTCACCGTCTCTACCAACGAGCGAGCGAGACTGGGTCGCTTCCCTAGAAACCGGCAGGTCTGGAGATGCTAAACCCGTCTTTTGCGAATTTAGCAATTATTCATTTGAAATTCCAGAAATGAGAAAGCAATTTAGTTTTCCTCCCCGCACCACTCACAGATGCCTGAGGAGTCTCGTTAAATTTAGAATCATGGGAGCGAATCCATGGGGATGGCAATTCAGAATTTTATAATCCCCCAGTCTCTAACATGCTCCTATCCAGTGGCTTAAACCAACCCAGCCCACACGGTTGAGTCCATTAATAATTTGGAAGGCATTTTATAGATGCTTAGATATAGCTATAAGTCGAGTTTTGTGTCGTTTTAGTCCAGTCCAGAAGAGCATATGCGTGAAACTTGTGGCTGAACTTTTTAGAAACAGACATGATTGTGTTGCGGTACACTTTTCCGAGAGGCTCGTACACACCATGTTTGCTATTTCACAGGTGTTAAGTCCCTAGTAGTAGTCAGAGTGATTTGTGAGGACTACAACCTAGGGCCGGAGCGTTTATATACCCGCCTCTCGGAGGAGGAAAGATAGTCAAACTTATCGCGAAGGATCCCAAGACTCAGTGCTCGGTCAATGCTCGTGGAGGCCACGCATAGACCTTTATTCGGACATTGGAAAGAATTTCTTCACTGCGAAATGTGCCTAAGTTGGATAGACCCTAAAACTCAAAGCAAGACGTCTCCAATATGGAGGGTTAGAGTGCTCATAAAATCCCACCTACTTCGCTTAATGGTAGTGGAGGGGCTCTGGAGACATACGGCTATTAACCCAAGTGTGTGTAAACTAAGCTGACGAGAGGTCCAAGATGACGGGTAGGTGGGGCGTTGGGGATATTGAGGGTAGGGACGAGCGGGGTCCATCATGATCACCACACCCACCAAGGCAGTAGTGAGCAACGCTGAAAGAAATTGACGAAGGGCAGGCTTAGAACAAGACAGTTTGGACAGATAGATGTTCTTCCCATGAAACAACTACAAAGAATATACAGTGCTAGTAGATACTTCCCTCGTCTACCTCACGGATGCAAAGCTGGCCCCCCCGACGCAGGTTGAGCCTCTTTCAATTCCGACACAGCTGGCTGGACCTCCTCTAGAGCTTCTTCCAGTTCCGGAGCACTCAGCTCATCCTGCGGGCCGGAGAACATCTGCGCGCGAGTTTGCTGCTCATCCTCGATCTGCCGCTCAGCCCAGGCCTTCCAGCTCTCCCATGTTCTGTCTTCCAATTCCATACCAATCTCTAGTGGGCCCTTGCCAAAGTATGCGCCGGTGGATAAAGCTTCTTCTTTAGCCACCCGTTGCCGGATTTCTTCGAGGTGTCGGTGCTGGTAGAATTCGCGACGAGCGACGTCGTAAGCTTTGGCTTTGGGATATTGTTTATGCTTCATGAGCCACATTTGGCGCTGGACGACACTGTAGCATACATATCAGTATTATACCAGTATTATATCAGTTTTCGGCCGCGCTGTGGATAGGCATGCCAACCCACCTCTCGCCATCCAACTGCTTCCCCGGCTGCACAATTTTACTCCAGTCATAGCCCTTCGCATCATTCCCACTATCCTCGACTAATATCCTCGGCCTCGCTAATTCCCACGGGTGGTCTCCGAAGAACTCGGACCGTAGCTTGTCTTCTGGGTGGTGGATTGGGAGGGGTTGGAACATGCGGCTTGGCTTCTTTCCGCCTTTCGGCCGCGGGGCGCGGAGAATGGGCCGCGCGAGAGTTTCTGAGGGCGGGATATTGCCAATGGTGTCGTACCAGCACGGGAGGGAGGCATTGCGTTTGGTATCGAAGAGGGCTTTAGCGGTTTGGCGGACGCGGAGGGGACGGAAGTCGTAGCGGCCCATTGTGGGCGGAGAGGGTTGTTGCAGCGCAGTATATGGCGCGCGTTATAGAGTTAGTATATTCCCCAATACGATTGAAGAGTATTCAGACACTAGGGAAGCCGCAATGAGATGTGGTTGTGCTGTCGAGGCTCTCACCAGGTCGCAGAGAAGCGCCGGAGTGCGGAACTTGCCGATGAAGAAAAGTTCCCAGGCCATAGATCGCATCGAATCGCCTCGCCATCAAGCTTCACCCCTCCACAAACGCCACTGCTCTCAGTCGGACCTGGTCAATGGGTCTTTTCTGATCCCTTGGATTCCTTTTGTAAATGGAAACCCGTCGCACGACCTCTCGTTGACACAATGATCTCCATCTCATGTCCCTTTTCCACACCCTCGAGAGGACGACCAACACAGTTGTCTCCAACGTAGGGCGACCGATATTGACTTTTCTATGTCCCTCCTTGTTGTCGCGCCCCTTCCGACGCATGTTCCGCCCATCCGCCGCAGATAGACGGCCGAGAATATCGCTGCCATCCACCGAACTCATGGACACTCTCTTCATCCAGGCATTGGCGTGTGCGGGATCCTGCGAGCAACATGCAAGGCAGATATCGACTATGCGAAAAATCATACCATTCGCATCAAAACACCATAAGATCCGACGGAAGAGCACGTTCAATGACGATCGGCGAGAATTCCAATCCTCCCGTTCCGAACGTCGCCCTTTCAATAGATTCAAGAAGTTTGCGGAGAGGGAATTGAAGGCATTAGTGGACTACTATGGCATTCAATTAGATTCCGGCCCGGAAGGAGACCAGTTCGTGGATGATGGGCCGCTTATATGGAACATTGGGGACGAGCACCAGCCCTGGCCTGTGCGTGAAGAACTTCACAAGGCATACATTGAGAAATTGGTGGAACTGTTGGTGGATGAAGAAACCCCGCACAAAGAGGTCTACTCCACTTATAAATTGCTTCCATCTCCCGGCGTGGTCTATCTCGACATCAAAACAATCCGCGCCCTTCTCCACCATCTCTCCATCGTAGAGCGAGCGGACCAACTCTCCATGCAGCGTTTTCTTTCTATATTAGACGACATGAAAGATGCACACATCCACATCATCCGCTCGGAATGGACCTCTGCTATTTACTTTGCAGGACGCTTCATGGGCAAGGTATCCGAAGACGAAGTCGAATCGTCACTCTTCATCTGGCGGGAAATGGAGAAACGCGCCGGCCTAAAAGGCGGCACTGTCACCATGAGCGTTCTCTTCGACATCTGCGTTAAGGCTGGAAAGTATACTTTAGCCGAAGCCTTCCTAAAAGAGATCCAGGCCCGGAAGCTCAAGATCCATCGGCACTTTCGTGTGAGTCTGATATATTACTATGGCGTTCTGCAGAACGGGAACGGTGTTCGAAAAACATACCAGGACCTCGTCTCTGCGGGCGACATTGTAGACACCGTCGTCATGAACGCCGTCATAGCAGCCCTGTTCCGAGCCGGGGAGCCCGCAGCCGCCGAACACGTCTTCGAACGCATGAAGCGCTTGCATGCGACCAAAAAAAACCCGAAACCGCCTCCTCGGCGCTGGCGTGATGCCCGCAAATTCGGTCTCGATCTTACATACAACGGCAGACGTTTTCACGAGCAAAAAGACGCCGAAGCACTCAAAAACGCCCAGGACTTCGCCCCTATAGCTCCAGATACACGAACCTATGGTCTCCTGATTCGACACTATGCAGCCATAGCCGGCAACATCGACCGTGTAACCGAACTCCTCAATGAAATGCATTTAAACAGCATCCCACCTGACGGCACCATCTTCATTGTCATCCTCTATGGGTTTTCCTCCTTCGGGGGCGTACGCTACTCCTCCTGGACCCGCGACCGTCTCGAATCCCTATGGCAACAGTATCTCCAAGCCACGCAAATCGGCGCTCAGAGAACATGGATTAGTTCGATGGCGGTCGTTGCCGCGTTGAAGGCGTTTAAGAAGTGTACGGATAGCGAGAGGACGCTGAAAGCTTGGGAAGAGGTGAGGAGGGTTTGGGATCCAACGCCTGAGGAAGTGGAGATGTGTTTGAAGGCGTTGAGAAGGCTGGTTCCAGAACAAGGGTTCTTTGAGGGGAATGTGCGCAGGTGAAGATGTGGTGTTTTGATTGTGTGTATACGTGTACAATAACAAGTAAAAATTTAGGTAGCAATGATTGGTAGAGAACATTGATGCATATAGATGCCTTTGGAGGAGAACATCCATATACTACAATGCCATTATTTACTGCACACTTGCTTACAGGTGTTCCTAGCTGCTTCCCTGTTTGGAACCTATCCACGCTCGCCCCTTCCAGCTTCCTCGCCATTTCCAGCTTCCACTGCACCTTTCTCTTCTCTGCCCTCCACCCTCTAGGCCTTACCCCGTCATCATAGCCCATCCTATCCGTTTCAATTCTATTAGTGTCGCCTATAGATATTAAACACACACAAGATCAACTCAGGAAGGTTGCAGAAAAACCCCAATCCTGGTTCGGTAGGGATCTCCCGATGGAACTGTGCAGCGGTCAGGACCTAAGATGGCTCGGAGCCTAAGTCCATGCAGGCCGCGTGTAAACTCTTTCCTTTCTTTTTAGGAGGGAAGGGGTCGGAGGAAAGAATCTGGGAGAATTGCATTATACAGCCCTTCAAATCACGGTCTCGAGGTTTGTCCCACCAATGTTAAGGTAGTAGTGATTGTCAGCCTGCATCACGAAATAGGGTTCAGGCGGTCCTCAGCTGAGGGTTGGTGAACTATAAGTCAACACCACATTACATTCATCCAAAATTTCAATTGGAAGAATTCTCATTATCATTCAGCTGCGGCCGTACCAGAATCTCAGTACAAGATATTTTACTTTAATGTCATTATTTGGTGTGGAGGTGGTTTACTCATGTCCATATGCACACCAGGTGTTGAGTATGGAATCTGGCAAGAGGCAAGATGCGGAGACATCATTGTGCCGAGGCATTTCTTAATTATTCCTCAAAATATAATCGTATACGGCGTTGACAACCCAATTCCGGGGCGCGTGAACCAGCGATGTGGAGAAGTTGATTAGTGAACTGGATGATTAGTATTCGGTCCCAGGGCATCCACGAGGCCGTCATCAAGTTTGCCGGTATAAAGGAGAAGTTGAATTTAAACTTAAAGCCACAACACAAGCGAAACAACGTCTAAAGGTAACTCTAAGCATATCAGCAAACCAGCAAACCAGTAAAATACCAGCTCGTTCTACATCAAACACTACGCAATGCCTCTCTGGATAATCTACCATCCACCCACCACCTTCACCACCCCCTCCACCAAATCCGCCCTCTCACAGGCCATAACCAAAATCTATACCGCTGCCAACCTCCCCGCCTTCTACGTAAACGTCCTCTTCATCCCCATCGAACCCAACTCCTACTACATTGGTGGCGTCTCCCGCCCCTCCGCGTCCGCGAAACCCTGGATCCGCATCACGATCCAGAATATCGCTCGCACGTTGCCGAACGAGGAAGTGCGGGACAAGTTCTTGGGTAGGATTGATGAGGCACTGAAGCCGTTTATTGAAGACCAAGGGTATGATTGGGAGTACAGCGTTGAGGAGACTAGGAGGGATTTGTGGAAGATGAATGGGCTTGTACCGCCGATGCCGGGGACGAAGGCTGAGGCGAAGTGGGCTGAGGAGAATAGGGCTGTTAAGTTCGAGAAGGAGGAGGGGGGCCTGGGAGAGGGGCAGGTATGGGGTGGGAAGTGAATGGGAAAAACAGGGGAAGGAGGTAGAAATGTTTGTAGAGAGAGGGAGGTTGCGGAGGGAATTGTATGGTACTATTCTATCATTTTGAGCGGTTCTAGGTGTTAGAGATGGAAATTATGTTAGAATTATTGGCCAGCCTCCAACTTACTCTTATTTTTGCCCCTCAACTGCATCCCTAAGGACACTCTCCAAATCCTCCTCTTCAAGGCCCAATAGGCCATTTGCAAAGCCTTCCTTCCCTCTCCAATCACTACTCACAATGCCCCAAGGACTAACGACTTCCTCAGTCGCCTCCTTATCACCCGCCAACATCCTCCGTCTCGCCTCTGGAATCAATACTTTAGTATCCTGTTGTATCCTCTCCCACTTCTCGCCCGTGAGCCTCTCGAGAATAGCGAGAACAGCAAGCTGAGTTGTCGAATGACTGTGAATATACAACAGCTGGTTCTCTGTTTCCTTCGGCCTTTCCAGGACCCTCACAACCGCCTTTCCAATAAACCCCAAATTCGAAGCCGAAAACGTGACATCCCCACCATCCAAGAGATAAGCCTTCCTCGCCCTCACATCAAATTTCATCAATCGTGTCGCCATCCCATAGTCAAAGAAATGCCCGGTCACAAGACTCGTCCACGTCATCTTTCCCATACCTTCTTCCCTCTCTTTCCCACAAACCTCCTGCAAAAACTCTCGCACGCGCTTCTTGCCTTCCATAAGCGGGAGCAGCTGATTCGTAGCTTCATCTGCAGAATCACAGCTCCCGAATTCCGCGGGCATGACGCGTTGCACGCCGGCGTTGAAGGCGGCTTCAATGAGGCGTTTTTGTTCGGAGACGTACGAACCTGCGATTGTCATTACAAGCGCATCAATGGCGTGTGAGCGGAAGAGGGTGGTGAGGGTTGGGACATTGAGATCATCCGGTATGGTAATTGTGCTGGTGTTTGGGTATGTGGATTTTGAGGATGCGCGGTTGAGAACGAAGACTTCGAATGGGGAGGATTGGAGGGCATGGAGGACGGATGGACCCAGGGTGCCGGCGGCCCCGATTAGGGCGACGTTTTTAATTGGCATTCTGGCTTAGGGGGGTGGATTGAATCGGGACTAGAAAGAGCTCGTAGGTGGGATACTTTGTGCTGGAATCTTAGGTTTACGCTAAGTTGTAACGGATCCGAGGGGTGCGAAGTGAGAAGGTTTGGGAAGGAGAGGTGGAGTCGTGGTGAGCGAAACCGATTTCGGTGGCGCAAGGATTGAGATTTAGGAGAACCTTTTCACTCGACTTGAAGAAGGGCAAAATTAGTGGTCTCTATACAAACAGTCATCAAAGGGTGCTGATAACAGACGGAGAGTTCTCGGAGTTAGGCTCGGAGTTGGGAGTTTCTCGGATTGGAGGTAAAGCTTTTGACTTCTCGAGTGATCGAAGTGCCCGAGTCACCTCTTTACCTGCAAGTATTAATTCTAAGCCCTGCGGTTTTTCCTTTGACGACTGCTCTTATAATTTGTGGAACTGAGCGGGTTGAAGGAGCGCGAGGTGATTTATAGATGCTTAACTAATTAGGGCTGGCGAGATTGCAGAAGCACGTGACCTTAAGACTCAGCCGTAGAGTACGCTGTTTATTGCTGCACCAAGCGTACAGGGAGCTATTTCAATGATGTAATTGTGGATATATGCATTTGGCGATATGGGTGTCTCCTGGTTTACAAGCAGCGAATTTCCAAGCATCCCCTAACGCTATTGACCTTATCCATTCTTCACAGCCAGTTGCGCCGACCTTTCTCTTTAAGTATCAGCTTCAAAACAGCAAGAATTCTATCCTCTTCTTCGGCCGTAAACCACTGTTTCCGAGGAATAAAATCTTTAGCATCAAGAAGCGCACCATTAACTATCCGGGCAAGCGTAGATAGACTTCCATCGTTGTCGTATATGTGGTGGATCACATCGCGCGAAATCGAACCCTTCAACCCTCCTATAGCGGCATTAAGAAGAGCTATGCGGGAGATGGTGTCTGCGATCCTCTCGATCTCGCGGAGATCTTCTACCTCTTTCACCGATATCAGCCTGATAGGGAACTCTGACCTAGCATTTAATGCCAGTGCAATTTTTGAGAAAATATCTAAGTAATCCGATGGACTATCGTATTTTGGAAGTGGATCTTTTGTGGCGGCGAGCTTGGTCAACAGTGTCTGGAGGGCGTTGAGATGCTGGCACGGTTCTGAGTCCTGGCCATCGCAGTGCAGTTGAAGTCGTTTCTTGAGTGCAATGGCGGTAGATTCTAATGAGTCGCAATCAAGCTCTAGGACAATTTCGTCGCGAAGATCTCGTACTCTTCTTTTTCCGGGGTTTTCTTCCTCTTCTAAATCCTCGTCTTCATCGTCGTGATAAAAGCATTCTGGCCCATGAGTTACCCGGGCAGACATATTCGCGCTAATTGAATGAACCAAAGCACTTCTGGTTGAACACGTGAGTAGATGTCTCGTGCTTTGCGAAGATTACGACTTACATGCCCTGATTAGCACCCGGATCCGAGCCGCTCCCCCCGTGAAAACTCCGAGTTGCATTAACGGCTGATTGTTTCCAGCTCCGATTTGATGTGATAGACAAACGAGGCGATCCATACCCAAGAACAAGGCCAATTCTCCGTGACGAGTTCGTGCCAAGGAACGCTCTCCACGCCATGGACCCAGTTAGTATTTAGATATTATCCAGAAGCAAGGTCGAAACGTGTCTTATATATAGGTGCGTGTTAAAATTTGTAAGTTCGGAACAGAGCCTCGCGAAAATCAAGGTGGGTGCCTGAGTGGCTTGTGCATCGTGCAGCTGTGGCTGTGGCGTAGCCTCCTTGGATGTTCTGGGTAACTTAAATACATAGGATTGTTTTGATTCTGTGAAAATCTTGTAGTTGAACGACGGAGGCGTTTAGCGAGCGCAAAGGGGAAGATCAAGATGCGCTCGAACCTCCAGGATGAAGCCGTGGGGAAGTAACGATACCTGTTACGTCAGGATGAAACTTCCGGCCGTGCACAAGCGCTTGAGATAAGTGATCAACCTCCATGGGCGACAACGGCGAATCCTGCCACATTCTCGGTCACATCTCTCCGGAATACCAACTATGCCTGTTTGCTTTCACTGGTGACAAAAGGTCCTTCGACTATAGGATTTTCATGCCAGATAATTGGCAGCTTAGACTAGACAAGCTATTACGCCTTCAATTCGTTCAAAATCATTTGATATTGATGTATCTCTAGCCGACCAGCAACAACATCTTGTATTAACGACTTCCATCACTATGTTTCCGTGCCTTGAGACCGCTACCTTTCTCAATCAATCTTTGAAAGAGTCATCTTAGATTGAACGAGCTCCCAAAGACTGTAGGAAAACTGATCGTCCATCCTCGGACTCCAAACGAACTCCCGAAAACAATTCCTCAGCTCTTCAACCTCCGCCAATCCCAACTCAAGCATCAACACCGATATCCTCTTTGCGTACCATTCCTGGTTAACCGAAGCTATTCCACCAACCCACAAGATCCAAAGAAGCATTCTCCGCTGATGAGTATCGGTCATATCGCCATAGAGAGACTCTAGAGATTTGAGAATCGGCATAAGCCGTTTTTGCAGACCCATGAGGGTCGCAGATAGAGGCCGAAAGTCGCGGAAATTGCAGGACATACAGATGGTGAGGGCTAGGCGGGCTGAATCGTATAAGAGGGCCTGGGGCTCAGGCGGGAATGGAGATGGAACTTTGATGTTAAAGAGGCGGTGTTCTACGGCTACAATTAAGTCTGTTAGAGATAATACGGAGGATATTGTGGTCGAAGGATCCTTAAGGAGTCTGAGCTGGGTAGATGCTAGTGGAGTGATTATTCCCATCATTGTCCTTATTTCGCGGCCGAGGGACGCGGTGTCGATAGTGGGAGGCGCAGGTTGTAAGATACTTGGAGGCAATTCAGCAACAAGCCTATTAGAGCGGATATCAGGGGCACTCAGGTTGGGTCGCGAGTCTGATATTGTAGCTCTTATTGAATCTCCACTAAAGATAGGTGAGAGGTCTTCGAAAATAGCAAGGTCCATTACTTACACTAGTAGAAGCATCGCTAGCACGCCTTGCCATCCGAGGTTACTCAATCCACCTCTCATTCTTATCATATCCTGAAGCGCTTGGGTATGTGCCATGTCAGACTGAGTGTCACCGGTAATGTTCTAAGGTGCAATGATCTAGTTAGCATACTGACTTCTCACTCCGAATCGCTCTCAACCTAGAGCTTAGCTTACCCCAGAAGCCGCCAAAAATCCAACCATAGCAACTGACGAATCACTGATTGCATTCTGCGGAGACCTGAGACGTTCGTTCAAAATACGAACCGTCTCTCCGTGATGATAAAGAGTTGGTGCGCTCCAGAGCTTACCGCTTAGCGCATCTGTATGAAGTCCGGCATGGAACAAGACCGTGGAGAGCAGGCCTGAATCCTCTAATATTTGTCGAGCAAGGAAATAGTTGATGGAGATTCTGCTAAGATTGCTTCCAACGGGTTGGAGTTTCGGGGCAATCCTATGGACGACTGTGATGCGTTAGCCGGATATGGTTCAATAGAGATTTCCCCTTCTAGTGGACCGACTAAGGGGTTCTGTCAATAAGAGACATCCTAGCAGAAGGCCAAAAGTTTCAGCACCATCTACTCTACCTTGCCGATTTTACCGAACCATATTGTGACCAGATGGCCTACAAGTCCTCCATACCGGCAAACGAGGCAAAAAGGCTCGGCGCTTTCCATGGGCGAAAAATAATAATAATAAAGGTGGACATACAATGGTGAAACAGTTGCTGAGAGTCATGGTGGTCTGGCAGCACCGTCGAAGTAAAAGGATCGAATCCGAGTCCTGGCCCCTTCAACGACATGATCTCCCAAGACCTGTCAAAACACCCCCGTAGCACGACCTCTTGGTCATGGTGTGCCTGTTGCTCCCGGTTCCTGTTTGCCATAGCATCTGCATCCCGGTGCGTGCTTGCATGCTCGGTTCCGCTTTGTGCTTGTTTCTGTTTCTCAAACTCCTTCATCCTAGCCAATCGTTCGCTTCGCCGAAAGTCCCGCATAGCATTCTCTCGTATAATTCTCCGGGATTGTTCATCATCGGCTTTCCCGCCTCCATTAGTAGAGACGAATTGCCAATTTTTCGAAGACATCTTTTTCAACGATCATGTTGCAAGAGGATATCGGGAAAGATGAAAGAAATACTCAACGGAAGTAGCATCCAATTTGAGTCTTCTTTTTCTTTGCCTGATTCGAACGGACCTTTTTGGGCGCGGGAACATGGCTCACTGGAAAGATGCAGAATGATGTGCAATGAAAGAGTAGGTGAGGCTGTGTTGAGGTCGGGTTTAGGTCATCCAACGACGTTTAGCCCCATAAGCGCTAACCACGAGATTGGCTATGCAAGGATTAATCGACTGCCGTTTCCAGTCACTGATCCTCTTGGCTCGCCTATTTTAACGTCCAAGGATGACGAGGCGGTCAACTTTGATTTCCCAACTGTTCAATAGTTCCCTTTCAAAGCTCGATCCCAGCCTCACAAACTTTCTCACCTCCGAATAACGCTGTTCGGCTGAAGTAGCAACCGGGACTACTGCGCCCTATATCTTTCGTCCGCAGTGGCTGTGGACGAGAAATTTGATTGATATAATTTCTCATTGGCTTACATGTCTCCTTGCTATACTATGGACTGGCCTTTTCAGACATTGCCAAGACGAGCATTACGTCTGAATGGAAAGCGATAGGAAGCACAGCTTCATCCCGCAAAACTGAATGGCCCTAGTCGGCTCACCGCACAGATACTTTGGTGGATATGCCCACAAAGGAGCGATGTCGTTGGAACTCAGCCTTATTCTAGTTCGGTAATACTGTTAGTCCGCATTAGATACATCCTGGTATCCAATTTCATCAGTCTCGATAGTCGTATAAAAGCTGGTCTTTCCCTCTGAAACTGACATCTCTCATCATCATCTTTAGCTACTTCTAATCGTCCCACCACCCCTTTTCCTGTTACTTCGATTCATCTCCAAGTCATCAATTCAGTCACTATATCTCACCCGCAATGAAACCTATTCATATCTCTCTGCTCTTGTCTCTGATAGCAGGCGCAAATGCAAAATACATCCTAGGCTCAGAACCAATATGCAAGGAAATCAAGCTATCGATCACAGCGACCGCTGAGAACTGGGCCCTTCCGGGTTTCCCAAACACCACCGATCCGAAAGCAATTGGCACTTACTTGGGGTCTTTCAATGCTAGCACATTGCCGAAGAAGAATGTCTCGGGGACTTACAACATTGCTGGGACATACTGTGTGCTTGCAAATAAAATGCCAGAGCGAGAAGGTTCAATTCAATTACTCTTGCACGGGCTGGCATACACGAAGGTGAGTCTTGCACAGATGTTCTCATTCCTCATCGCATCTCGCGAAGCAACTAAATAGAGAGTCAAATCGATCCTCGAAGTTTCTGATAAGAATCTTATAACAATTCAGCGCTAACCTGAAGCTAGGAGTACTGGAACGGGATCAAGTACCCCAACACCACCTTCCCCGGAGAGTTCTCTTGGGTACACCACGCTACCGCTCAGGGCTACTCTACGCTTGCTATTGACAACCTGGGAAATGGGGACTCGGACTTTCCAGATCCCATCAATACCGTCCAGCTGCCTTTGCAATTAGAAGTCATCCGCGAAATCATCAAAGGCCTGCGATCCCAATCCTTCTCTTGCATACAAGCCAAATACAACAAAGTCATCTTCGTAACGCACTCCTATGGGTCCCTGGTAGGTCGCGCAATGGCACAGGACTACCCCAACCCCGCCGACGGAGCCGACGCATACATCCTCACAGCATCGTCTACAAACCTCGTCGGAATTAAGGCCGCTGGCGCAAATTTTCGGCCTCGCGCTGCCAGCATCCAAAACCCCAAAAGATTTGGCCATCTCCCTCCAGCATACGTCCATATGGATCCAACTGCGCTCCGGGAGATTGTGTACTCACTCAAAGGCGAGTACGACCCCGGAATGCTGGCCTGGGATATGATGCAACCCCACTCCTTTGCTATTGGTGAACTCGCTACATTCAAGAAAAATGACACATCCGAATTCGCTGGACCGGTCATGTACTTGACGGGAAGGATCGATGCGATTGTCTGCGATGCGGCCGGAAATACGACGATCTCGATCCCAAATTGCGGTGTACGGAGGTCTTCAAACCCGGGATTGAGTGTTGAGAGGTTTCCCAGGGCGAAGCCGTTTGGGGTATATGTCCCAGATCAGACGGGCCATAATTTGAACCTCGGATACTCTGCCCCCGAGACCTTTGGTGCTGTGAATCAGTTTTTGGATCTTGCAGGATTCTAGAGGGGATGGAACTTGGCTTGATTATAGAATTTTAGCTAGCCAGTAATGATATCAGAAGTGGTCTCTACAATTCCAGACTATCGCATCTCGTCCAATACTATCTAGTACTGAATCTTTTTCGTTCATGTAAGCTTAATCCTCATAATGTATTCTATCACCTTAGTCACATAGACCGGAAGGGAAGAAAATGCTATACCTAATCCAGCAGGAACATAGCGAGTCTGTCAACAAGGATTCACACGGTAAACCCATCCTAGGGGTCCCGAGTGCTGTACGTTAGAGTTAGGCCGATCGCCTGTTTCACCCTTTGTCAAGTTTTCTTGTGGTGAGGAGCGAGGACAGAAGAGACCGGGCCGAGCTCTCATTCACCCCCAAAATTTCCGCTCCTTTTTGAATGCTCTTCGTTATCTAGAACTTCTTTTCTATCGGAGGAGTACTCGTCGTAAGCAACGGATATAATGGGTCTTGCAGAGTCCTTGAAGATCCAAAAAAATCCTTTCGCGCTATATTTAGAGACTTGGTGGAATTGGGGAGCCGTGTGTTCTCCTCCTGATATCCGCCGCCGATGAGAGTGTGTCTCCGAGACGCTGAAGGTCCTCAACATTGACCTCTGGAAGCTGAGGTTTGGTTTGGAGAGCAGTTTTGAGATTGAGCAATGTCTACTCGGTAGTTGAATTTGCATTGGGGAGTTCTGCCTTGGAACTGAGAAGGATTTGGGATGGCCGTTCATGATGGCCGTTCGTGATGCTTGTATTTATTTCGGTGTAGCAGTTAAACAAGCTGGATGGGGCACATTAAAGACTCTCATTTTTCGTTGATGTGAGGGATTTTCAGCGGAATACGCTTGCTAAGGGACTTCCTTTCCTTGGTGAGGGATTGGGGAATGGCTGTCAAGCACAGCGCACAGAAAATATTTGAAGTGCTGTGGTTCAGCGCAGCAGAAAGCTTGAGTGAGCAAACGATGGTACAGCACTGACACTATATCCTTCCTCTGCTATTTTTCTCCTCCTTTTCTCTTTTTTTCTGATAATACTAACTTATTAACTTTACTAAACACTTTTACTACCAAACTCATGCAAACTAACTTAACTCTTAACTAGTTATCTGAAGTTCTAAATTCAAAATTCGAGGTGCAGCGCGGAGCAGAATGAGGTCCCAGCTTCGAGCTTCACACAAATCAACTCATCGGCCGGTGCTGCACGTCCCTCCCCCTCTCCTTGAATCGGTATAAATCTAAGATCGACTAGCATTTGACATTAGTGCCCTGGAAGGTCTAGCTATCTTAAATATCTGTCGTCGTTTTTAACTTCCCTATTCGGCGAAACTTACTCTGGTGGCGGACAAGGGTTATGAAGGCGGGGATGCCTCGGCTTGTTGCACATGCACTCCACTTGCCGAGTCGAGTTTTGTTGTTCCAGTTAAGCCGATTTGAATGCGAGGGTGATGAGCATTTAAATGGACTCTCCGCCTTACACTTCACTATACGTTAGTTACACTGATCTGTCATGACTTCACCATGCTTTGGCAGCACACTTCCATGGGCGGAACCGAGCTGGTAAGGAAATGTAGACAGTGAAAGGTTGGGTGCAGAGGGCATTAACGAAGAATAGGTATACTGGGCGTCCTTCTCCATACTACAAAGAGAGTCATCGTCGGCTGAGAGATGCTGTAAGGCAGTGGTGTGACGAGGTGAGCCAAGGCCCGTTTCTCCATGCATCAGGTAGTCAGCTTTAGAATTATGGCTTTCCAATCTAATATATCTTTCTACTCTGTTAGAATTTACCTCGCCCCTTTGCCCTTAATTATGTGTACGCATTCTAACCATTTCCAAGCACGTCGCCCCCTACAATGAAGAGTGGGTTGAAGAAGGCGCTATCCCCGCATCGCTCTATTCCGAGTGCGCAAAAGCTGGCCTGCTCATTCCCATCGCGGCCGGGAAATCCATCCCGAAAGAATGGTCTCACTATCCTATTATCGGCGGCATTAAGGCAGAGGAATGGGATGGCTTCCACGACCTCGTTCTCTGGGATGAACTTGTTCGTGGCGGCAGCATTGCTAGCTTGTTCATCGGACTGACTGTCGGTGCGCCTCCACTCCGGCAATTTGCTAGCAAGCAACTGCAGGACAAGATCTTCCCTGAGATTCTGTCTGGAGAGAAGAGGATCTGTCTCGCCGTGACCGAGCCTGCTTGCGGGAGCGATGTTCGCAACCTGACCACAACGGCCGAGAGAACACCGGACGGAAAATATTTTATGGTGAACGGCGAAAAGAAATGGATTACCAATGGCATGTTTTCCGACTACTTCATGACTGCAGTGCGAACTGGTGGTCCCGGTGCTGAAGGAATTTCTATGTTGCTGATTCCTCGCTCTGAGGGTCTCCGCACGCGCCCTGTTTCCGTTATTGCTGGGCCGCTGTCTGCAACCACCTATGTCACCTTCGAAGACGTTAAGGTTCCTGCAGAATACCTAATTGGAGCCGAAGGCGCCGGGTTCAGGCAAACAATGGTAAACTTTAACCACGAGAGGTTGTGGATAGTTTTCCAGGGGTTGAGAGGATGTCGAACCGCGGTTCACGATGCGTTTCAATGGGCGCTAAAACGGGAGGCTTTTGGCAAGAAATTGATAGAACAGCCCGTCGTTCGATACAAATTTGGAAACATGGGGCGACAGATTGAAGCACTGCAGGCTTGGACAGAGCAGGTTGTCTACGAGCTGGAGCATTTGAGTGACAAGGATGGCGCTAGACTGCTTGGTGGAGTTACGGCGTTGCTCAAGGTTGAGGGCGGACTTGTATGCAAGTACGTTGCGGAAGAATGCTTGAAGATTATGGGAGGGTTAGTATTCCATTCTTGCATACTCTCATCTGGAAGCTCTTCTGAACATCATAGGCTGGGTCTTACGAAGACGGGACAAGGAGCCCGAATCGAAGCGTTCTATCGCAGCACACCAAGCTTAGTGGTTCCGGGTAAGTTTGCATCCTGCTGGGTCGTGCAGTCTATTGAACATCAACAGGCGGTTCCGAAGACGTGTTGATTGATCTTGGGGTGAGGGAGGCCTTGAAGCTGAGCCTCCAGGATGAAAAGGAAAAGGCGAAACTTTAATACCATTGCGCCAATATCGCTCATGGCGCCAAAAGGACTGGATATGGTGCTTCGCCGAGCCCTTGTGCTGTTTTGCTAAGTGCTGGTTATATGCGGGGCAACCCTCTAAAGGGATAAGAGAAGGAGGAAGCCCAATCATCGGTCAATACGAAAAAGCAAAGTGATACCTAAAATGCCCTTCTGCATCGTGAGCACCTCATGTACGGATCCGTAGTGTTTCAAAATAAAAGAAATAGGAGGAAGGGGACGCTAGTAATCGAGCCGGAACGATTGCATCTCTCAAATAACGCTGTTCATTTCCCAAAGCATCGCGAATCGAGAAGTGGAGACCATTGTCACTGCCATTTTTGCTTGACGATGTCGGATTCTTACGGAATGCATGGATGACTAAGGGGTCGCGGCTTCTTTGCCGGGCTGAATCCGACGAGTGGTCAGACCTTGACTTCCAAAAGTCACGCCATCTCATCCACGATTCCCCGTTTGCCAGAGCTTTTTCAAAAAGGCGCTCACTATGGATGTCTCATCACTGAATGAAGGCCAGTCGTATATAAGAGCTGGTCTCGTGCCCTCCACCCTCTCACACTTCCTACCCTGATTCTTCTTCCATCGTGGAGATTGCACAGCCGAAATCAGCGTGAAGATCGTATTCGGACGCTGCCAACACTGGAAGTGTCCACCCGTTCGGTTGTCTTCTGAGCTATCACAATGACTCCCCTTCAGCGCCGGCCGATGCAGCACATCGATCGCAAGGACCTCTACATTAACCTTGAGGCGCGAATCCAGTATTTGCACTCATTCCTCGACTTCAGCTCCAGTAAGTACTCAGTCCTGCATGGATTCCCATGCTTTCGTGTGACCCTCGCTCACCTCGCCTAGATGACATTGAGGCTCTCATCACTGGTAGCAAGTACATCAAAGCGCTAATCCCCGCAATCGTAAACATTGTCTACAAGAAGCTCCTCCAATATGACATCACGACCCGGGCGTTCGAGACTCGCTCTACCTCGTACGAAGGACCTGTCGACCCGAATCTTACCGAGAACTCACCACAAATTCTTCACCGGAAGATGTTCCTGCGTGGCTACCTGAATAAGCTATGCAGCGATCCAAGTAGAATGGAGTTCTGGGAATACTTGGACAAGGTTGGGATGATGCACGTCGGCCAAGCACGAATTCACCCACTTCATATCGAGTATGTCCATATTGGAGCGACGTTGGCCTTCATCCAAGACGTGCTCACCGAAGCCATTCTCTCGCACCCACGACTGAGACTGGACCGGAAGATTGCGCTCGTGAAGGCTTTGGGCAAGGTCATCTGGATCCAAAACGATCTCTTCGCAAAATGGTACGTCCGCGATGGAGACGAGTTTGCAGACGAGGTCATCATTCCCGAGATCGAGCGTGAGGGGTACTTACATGGAAAGAAAATTCTACACGATGGCAGTGAGAGCGAGAGCGAAGCGGAGTCTGCGGAGTCTTCAGGAGGGTGTCCGTTTAAAGGAATGGCAGTGAACACGAATGGTGGAGATGTTGCTGGGATGACAAGAAACATGGGCAGGATGAACGTGCGAGAGAATGGAAATGGTGGATCGAATGCCGAAGCCTCTCGGAGCAATATTGCGTCACCTGCACAACCTGCTACCCCAACTCCCACGCCTGCATCGCCAAGCCCGAAACCGTTTGTTTCCAGCGCGATCCCGCGACCTACCGGCGGCAGCCCATAGACTCATTGCGACATGCTCATTCCCGTCCTTAAGCTACGGCCAATGATTGAATTCATGGGTTTCCGTGTTCTTTGGAGGTCAGACAAGGCATCTGCCTTGCCATATGGGTTGTTTCCATCGCGACTTTACACTGGGGTTCACAAAAGGTGCACTGTTCTACTTTTCCCTTTCCAAGACTCTCAGGTTAGTCGGGAGTAATTATCAACATGATCTTAATCTAAGTTATGTTGCCCTCACATGCTGCATCTTGTCACCTAACGTGGAACAGGACAGCAGTAATTTAGGACAGAAATTTGCATCCAATCGACAATCCACATCATTCTAGCAAGCAGTGTAGTAGAGAAACTCTGCCTTAATTATGTTCCACATCAAAAAAATAATATGCTGTACGTCTTGCGTTGCGTCGTGTGGTAGCAGCCCACATCTTGCTTACAAATTCGAACGGTAGATACTACGGGACATAACTGGTTGTTGGGAACCAGAGCCAAATCACATGACCGCACACGACGAACATCGTCATGGTGTTGAGGAATTGATGATGTTTCAGCCTAGGTGGCGGCTTCGTCGAGAAGTGGAGCCGACCGGATGGCCCAGAAGCTGGTGGAACCGTCGGCGGCTTGGCCCCGATGGCTGCCGAGGGGCAACCAAACTTGGAAAACTTGTGCAGGAGGTCCCAGTCTTGCTCAACAAGGGTGGACGAGCGGAACCGTGCTGATACGCCGCCCTGGCGACGTTTGGTATGCGCCGCACCTCGCTGCTTGGAGGGGTTTCGCTGCGGCGTCCAGCTGTCTCGTCGTGTCCGGGCATGACATGATCTTCGCGAGACGGTTTGACTTGTTGACTTGTCTCTCAACGTTTGCTGTGATGGGGGCGCCGGCTAAGGGTATCCTTGGTTGCTGGCGCGGCCACCGGTTGCCTGGTGGGCGCACGCACAAAGGAAGTTCTGCACTCTCTGTGGTCCCCGGGCTGCTCCGTATCTTTGAAATAAATGAAAACAAAAGCAGCCATAGCGACGATGATGTTATGCTGCCAAGATGCATTCCGTCGCCCTTCGAGAATTAGGAATCGCATAACATAACGGGAGGATGCAGACTAACGGCCTATCAGACCGCCTGCTGACACCCACTCGTCTACTTGGCACGGAAGCCCTGCTCGTCGCTGCCTCGTCGTGCCCAGTGCGTAAGATTTATCGCTATTTCGGGCTAGCCAGCTGTGCCGCTGCGCCGGGTCGCATCTCTCAGAGAAGCGGCCTGCCCCCCCCCCGACTCTCGTCGCCTCTTCACTCCCACCACAACACCATCGCTCCATCACCACCACCTCTGCACCTCTCCCACCCACCACAACGCCTGTCAACGGCCCCAGCTGCGCTGCACTCCTGCTGCACGCCCTTCTCTGTTAGACTCACCATTTTACAATTCGCATTTTCCGCTGCAGGTCGCTTTTTGGCCCTTATCTCGTGCGTAGGCGATCGTTCGCGACACCTTGCACCTCACTAATTTTCTACCACGTCACCACCTCTCCCTTTTTTTTTCTTCTTCCGCTCCTTTGCGCACCCTTTTCCCACTACATATTTTAATTATTTCCACGTTTAACGACTCTTTTCCTTCGAGCGAACGTTGCCGAGCCATATCTGTGCTCCGACGTCACCTTTTCGTGTGATAAGACTCTGTAACCCGATGCGCCCGACTCTTGCCACGACAGATGAGCGCTGCGTCTACTAGGCTTCCACTTCTCTCGCAATGCAGTCCATGTTTCGCCTCCCTTGGAGCACCGAGGCCCCAGGGGACAAAATCATGGAGAAGGCTACCCTTCATAAGTCAAGACCACTGCCCGTTGTTGAGATCCCAACCTTCGTGAACAAGCTTAAGAGGAAGAGGACCGATAGTCCCGAGCCCGCGTCCCCGCACCATGCGCACGTCGTGAAGAGGCGGAAAAGCGTGTTGGGTGAAGTGAAGCCTGCTGGGGTTGGGATTGGAAGTGCGGACCGTGTTCATGTTGTTGACGGATTGGTGACTGAATCTTCGAAGCCCGTGGACCCTTTAGTACAGACTCCGAAAGCTGCTCCCCCTGAGATATTGGAATCGCGACCCAAAGCGCAGCCCTCGAAAAAGGAAGGCGCAAACAAGCCCAAGATTCCTAAATCTCAGAGGCCTACTGCTAAACCTGAACCTCCATCTGCCGACAACCCCACGCCTGCTATGAAATCGGACCTCACCCGCGCGCAGCAGGCGATTGAGGCCCAGTTCAACTACGAGATTCTATTGAAGCACAACGAACTTCGCCTGATCGAGCAAGAGCTAGCCAAGTGTCAAGTCGCGTTGGAGCAGCTGAGGCGTTGTTCGCTCATTCCGTATCCGGGTAGTCAAGGGCTATCTGAAAATGTTAGCGGTGGTGTTGGCGCTGCCCTTCAACCACCTCTCGGCTATACGGAACCCGAGTATGCAGCACCTTGGGGAGTCACCGATGGACCCTACACCCGCCATTATGCCAAGTGGTTAATCCCGGACCCCAAATTTGATTCCATGCCAGAGCGGATGCTCGCTCAACAGTCTCAGGGTTACTTTGGTGTAGGAGAGGGCCGTGCTACCCGTGGAAGCTTTGCAGAGTTTGGCTCCACTGGCAAGGCCCGCACGTCTCGAACTTCAACTGGAACGCTGAAGCTTCAGGCGCTTGGTGAAACTCCAGCACCTGCACCCAAGATTGATCCACTACTCCATAAGCGATCTACCGATGGCCAATGGGTCCGGTTGTACTGCGCACAGTGTGGCCACAGCAACTTCTCCAACACGCAAGGATTTCTTAACCATTGTCGTATCAAGCACAATCAAGTTTTCAAGAGCCACGACCAGGCAGCAATCGCATGCGGCATCCCCGTCGATATCAATGAAGTGGGCAACCCTGTTTCGGCCACCGAACCTCCGTCAACAACCGTAACGACCCCAGCAGCGACATTCCCGCCACCAACGACACCTGGTTTCGTTCATCCGCTTGTTCGGACGAATCCAACGGAACTTGCCAAGGAAGTTCATCGGGATTTTAACAAATCAACCCGTGATGAGTCGAAACAGAGTGCGCCGGTGCCGAAGCCAGGATTCACTGGGGCTCCAGCAATGCCGTACATGAATTCGCTACTCCAGAAACGTGGCTTTGGTGGCGACTTGAAGCGGATGGTCGATACAGTGCGGACGAAGATTGATCTCGACTCGATAGAGACATCGGACGATGAACTCGCCGACTCGGCTGTTCAGACCCCGACCACGGCCAAGCCAACATCATTGCCACTGGCGCGTCTTCCTGTCGGCGCTCCAAACATGACCCCAGCCAGCAAAGCTCCATCAGCACGGCCAGGCAGCAAGAAGAGCCAACCAAACGGTCACGCGCGACATCCTATTTCCTTCCCTTCGCGAGTTAGCGTTAACGGATCAAGCCACGTCAGTGGACACCACTTGCCAGCCTCACCGGTAGATCTCAGCCCCAATACTGTTGAGTCTAACCCTGGCTTAGTGAGCGACCATGATGACGACGACGAAGAGGATGGATATGACGCCCACAGTCAGCCAGATCTTGTCATGAACGATGATGTTGTTGTCGAGGACGCCAGTGATGTCGAAGGTGTTGAGGAGAGGACTGGATCGCGCAAGGGGCTTGGGGGTTGCTTCGAGAAAGGAGAGGGGAGTCGCAAGCATTAGATGGGGAGCGAGTTAAGTCGGGCTCTCTGTCATTTCTGAAAAGATTGTGTCTTTGTTATTCCTGTTTTCATATCTGTCCTCGAACTCCCACCTATGCTCTAGAAACATTTCCCTATCTCGACCCTTCCATATGTCTCTCTCCTCGGCGGCTGGTTTTGGTTTCTTAGGGGATATACAGGTACCAGCAATGGACGGGCGGGTGGCCTGCCTGCAGGCTGGATGAGAACCGGTCTCATCCCTTTTCCGAGAACATCACGAGAAATCTGTTTGACATCTCTTCTCTCATGTGCGCCTGAACCACGGGTGTTCAATAGGCGCTGGGTACGTCTGTGTGTATTATTGTTTGTATGGTTTTGGAATGTCATGGTAGTCATTAGTAGACTGGGTTGCGGGAAGTTGGGGTTTGGAGGTTTGGGGGATTTAGGTTAGGGGACAAAAATTAGTGGGCGGGGTGCCTGCTGTTTGTATATACTTTTAATGATAGCTATGGATTGGATTGGATTCGAATTTGGATACGTGTGTTCATTAAAGTTGTGTAACTTGTTTCAGTTGTGTTTAATGTGGTCATTGTGTAGCTTCGACTCCTGACAAGTTGAGTGCGGCCTGGGGGCCTTTTGTGACGAATGAAGCTGTAATATTCCGACCATGATTCTTGCTGATAATATGAATCAGAATTCCTGCCACAATCCCTTCACCTCCCAATCATACGCCGAACGCCATGCTTGTTGAAGACTGTTGTGTCGAAAGTCGATTGCCTTGACACGATACACACATTAGTGATCTCCCCTTCTTCGTTTATCCGTCACCATTGCCCCATGAACTTCGAGGCCTAGAATTAAGTTCTGTTAGCTTGTATCCACGACATTCTCAACCATATGGTGTCCTAGTGTTGGAAGGACGCATTCCCGCCACGTACTGCTTCACTTCCCAACACCCCATTCAATGAAAACCGTATACATACCGCCATAACAACACAGGCCAAACTAACATACGGACTCAATCTCTCCCCAACACGCGCGCATTTCCAGAATACAGATACGACGTAGTTGTCTTTGTTACGGTCCATGATGCCCGGAAACACGTAGTGTGCGTAGGTAGAAGTGCAGATGGTGAGGAGGATTACGAGGAGCAGGGATTGGAAGTTAAATAGTGCGGTCTGGAGGGGGGTAGGTTAGCTAGGATGATGAAGGGGAAGGGGAAAAGATGTACCATGATGGACACTAATGGTCGCGGAAGTCGTGATGGGTTGAACGTGGCAAAGACAGTCGGTGTGGTAGTGCGCGAATGCGTGAGGAATCTTAGGAGTGTAGAGATAGTGGGAGATGTGCGCTAGACTAGATTTGAGATGCGCACAAGGCGTCGTAGACTGCTAGCCTTGATGTCGAAGCTGTGCCGGTGTCAACTTCGTCGGAATAAGGAAAATCGTTCACTCCGGTTCCATCTCTGAAGGTCTGTGCGGCCCGTCAATCGCCCGCAGATGCAGCTATGACGGCTAGTCCCGATTGACCGTATTCATTGATTCATTCTTTCTATTCAGGGACATTTACTTTTCTATTGTGTTTATAGCGCATGAGGTCTTTCCTTCAGCGCTACCTCCTTTCACTCTAGTCCCCAACACACATCAGGGCGCCGTTACTGCACGCAACCAACCACGACAACAGGTGCCTCCCCATCACAAACCATCGACCGACCAGCGAACTGCGACAACGCCCGAACATCCTCCTGTATTAAATCTCATACACCCAAGGGAAACAGGGCCTGACTCTGGACGAGTCGGAGCGGAGGATACACGGGCAGAATGACAGAACCGCGAATGAGGTTGCGGCAGAAAGGACAGCAGTTTCCGACGCAGGATTGTGAGTTGATTTTTTTTGTGAATAGATGATAATAGAGAAGTGGGGTGGGGAATTTTATTTTCACTTCCACTTTAGGGAGTGTAGAGTGCTCGCGCTTTGTGGCTTCTTTTCATTCTTGTCTCCGACTTTCATCTTGTTACCCGCAATTCAAGCACCTTCGATACCGTACTACTACTCGTTGCACTTCCTCCGCGACTCTACGACCCACCACAACTCCTCCCACTATCTTCCTCATCTCTCCACCCTTCCTCCGTTGTACCCCACCATGGATCCCACGGTTGAATCCAACCACACAAACCGAAGCAAAGTCGGGAAGAATTCACATCTGACAAATCGACAGTAGAGCAGTTCCTCATCGCGTTTGGCGATGACGATCGTCCATTGCAGGAAACGGTTAAATGTCTTGATGAAATTGTTACAGAGTACGTTTTCCCTAATCCCACCTCCCCTCTCTTTCTCGCGCCTACCACACTCACATCCTCACGCCTCCCCAACACAGCTACAAAAGAAACTCTGCACAGAAAGAAACTAGTTGTTGACGTCCCTGGTGTCACAGCTTCATCATAGAATCCTGCCACGAAGCTGCCTCAATCGCGCACCACGCACGCCGCGCCAAAATCAAAGTGGACGACTTCAAATTCATGCTACGCCGGGATCCGACAAAACTAGGTCGAGTGAGTGAGTTGTTGGAAGCGGATAAGGAGTTGAAAAGAAAGAGGAAAGCGTTTGATACGGATGAGGGGGCAGTCGCGAAGGAAAATGTTGTTGGGAAGGATGGTGCCACTGCTGGTGCTGCTGGTGTTGGTGCTGGAGTTGGTGGGGCGACTGATGGGGCAGAGGGGAAGAAGGGGGATGGGGGTGGCGGCAAAGAGAAGGAGAGAGAGGAGGGTGAGAGGAGGAAGAAAAAGAAAAAGAGGAATAAGGAGGGGAGGGATGGTGGTGGAGGAGGTACGGGTGGTGATGATGCGAGTACTGTGCGGAGCGGTTGATAGTTGAGGTTATATTGTACCAATAAGAGTGGGTTGCATTGGTCACGGGACAGCACTACCAGGCGTTTATGGCTTGGGTCAGAGGAGGCATTATTGGCGTTGAAAGGGTCGGTGAACCGCGAAAGGTATTATACATGTACAGCAACTTCCGAACTCTCACTGTGTGTGGTAGCTTCATGTCGTTCTGTGAAGTCCACCTACTGATTCTCTAGACATGAGGTGCAGGAACAGATGATGGGTATCCTAGGCCACAGATTGACCTGGAGAAAGGGAGAGAGAGAGAGATGCAAGTATTTTTATAATACAACACACTGGGCGTGTATTTCTGATAGCAACGCTCACACAAATAGTCTTTGGGGACTACTACACACCTTCGGTGATTCCAAGAATTCACATGCAGCCACATGATCGAACATGCACTTATACTAGCATCCAGCCAGGGTGCACTCAGAAACCCCAATCCCCACCTAAACAAAATCAAAAACATCCCCCACCTCCCTAACCATCCTCCCCACCCTAGTGCTCCCAACCACCCGCTCCAACTCTAACCCATCCCACCTCGAAAACAACACCCTAACCGCCGCCCCCATCCCCATCGTCACCTCCCCCCTCTCAATCTCCTTTCCAATCCACCCCACCACCTCTTCATAAAACCGTGGATTCTCTGGAACCCCATAAAACCACACCCTCTTAACCCCCCTTATCTGATAGCGATGGAAATGATGCGCGCGGCCTGTATATAAAAGGAGAGAATGTCTCCCAGACATGAAATGCGAACGTGCTTTACGGATATCAGTGAGATCGGTGTATTCCGATATCGAGGCATACGAAAGAGGAGAGTCGACGAGGGAGTTGCGGACGCGGACGAAGTCAAGGTAAGATGGGATGAAGAGGATGACACCAAGCCCTCCCTTCGCGGGTTTGGGGAGTTGGAGAATGGCGGGGAGGACGGTTGTTTGGAAGAATTTGAAACGAGCATCGGGGTCGGATGTATGAGCGGGGGAGTCGAAGCGCGTGAAGGTTTGCGGAATGGAGAGATGTGCTAGGGTGGAGATGGCGCCGTGAGGGTAGATGGGGGTGTATTTAAGACGGCCGGAGATGTTTTTCATGGCTTTATTGTATAGCGCGTTTATTTTGGGGGTTAGGTATGCGGAGAGGACTATGGTCTGTCGGTAGTTTGCGGCGTGGCCGTCGAGATACCAGTTCCGGACGCGAGAGAAGTCGCAGCCGTGTGCCTCGCGTGGTTGTAGGTTGAGGTGGGAGAAGACGTATTCTGCGTGTTCCCAGTTTTGCATGAGCGTTGCGTCGGCTTGGTCCATGATCACTATTTCGATGGAGCTGAGGAAGTCGTAGTCTTTCTTCTTGGGATCGCCGGATTCGATGGCGCGGCGGAGGCCGAGGGTGGAGGCGATGATGATGTCGGAGTTGTAGAATTTAGAGTAGAGCTTTAGGGTCTTGCGGGTGAATTTCAGGCCGATTCGGAATTCGTTTTCGTCGTTGCCTTCGAAGAGTTCTCGGAAATCTTCGGGCTTGTTGTCAGAGAATTTGTCCTCTTCCAAAGAGAAGCTGTCGAGAAACCGCTTTTTGTTCTCTTGTTGCTCAAACTCGCAGAGTTGGGTGATGGCGTTTACGACTCGTACACAAGCCTGCTTTGTCTCAAGCAGGAAAAGTACTTTTGGACGAGTGAAACCCTGGTCCCGATACTCAACGCTCTCGTTCTCCGGTTCACGGGACAGCTTTGCGTTGTTCTTGATAACGCGATCGCGGGTCTTGAATATGTGGTTCAAGGCGTGGAGACATGTTATATGGCGGAGGCGGGGAGCGTTCTGGACAGTCCGACCGCAGAAGAGCACGTCATGGTAGTCGAAGATGCGCGGAACAATAGCCTGTTCGAGGGTGGAGAATTGGCCGATGATGTTTTGCGCATTTGACACCAGTCGAGACTTCAGCTTCACATCTCTAACCGTCTTCGCCTTCAGGTTGGATGCCGCTTTCTGTTCTGTCCCCGGTACCTGCAGTGTGCACTTTCCCTCGCCGTCAACATCCACCTTCTCTGGCATCCACGCATTCGCCTCGATAGCCTTCAGTCTCCTCGCCAAGTCTTTTTCATCCACGATTGCGAAATGCTGTTCGAAGGGGTCTGAAGCATCCCCTTCGTCCTCATCTTCGATCTCACCCACCTGAACCTCGATTAATCGTTCATCGCCCTCGGCACCTTCATCACCTTCAGCTTCTCCCGCTTCGTCTGCGTTATGCTGTTCCTGTTGCCCATACTCTTTATCTTCAGAGAGAGTAGAGATATGGTTCAGCTTCCGCCTCTTCCTCCGTGGATTGTCCTTTGCCGCGACCTGGTGAAAGGACTGCAGCAACGAGTGGAAGGCGCTCGCTGGAGGTTGCAAGTTTTCGTCTTCTGCGGAATATTCTGACGTCGCCACGGACTCGTTGTCGGATTCAGGGAACTCGGGAACATCCAAGTGTCTTTTCAGTGTCAGCCACCCCTGATCTCTCCCCAATTGGAGACGGATAATCCACTTACTCTTCTGCAACAGCTTCTTCAACCCTCGCAGTAGAAAACACCCCTTCCCTACCATCTCTCGAGCGCATATCACCTCGCACTCTCCCTCTCTCCCTCCCGCTCCCCCGTCCCTTCCCCATTCCTCTCCCCATTCCTCTCCCCTTTCCTCGAAAGCTTCCTCGTCCACGAAAAGGTGCCATGTCGCGATAAATAAAAATTGTTATTGCCCAGAACCTAATTCCTCCTGCTCAAAAAAATATCCCATCCAGTGGCCCGAGCTCAAAAATTTAACGAGAGGGTCCGCACGCGCCAAGATTTTCTTCCTCCCAATATACCACTCCCGCGCCCCGCCAACCCGCTCCCACGCCCACGCCCTCACCACCACCGCTCGCTTTTTGCACCGTCAGACCCGCCTGTCTGTCTGGACGCCTACCATGTCGCAAAAAGATTCTTTTCTACATCTCGCGCGGCCTCTAGGACCCGCCCCAGTTGGCACACAACCCTCGACAGCCCCGCTGAGCGTCGTGATCCAACCCCCAGTACGTCCACGGCCACAGCCCTCCCAAACCACCCTGAATAATACCCTCCTGATGAAATGAGCGTGAACAGGCCATCTTCTCCATCCTCGACCATTCTCTCCGCCGCCCCTCAGACCAAGACCGCGTAATCGGCACCCTCCTCGGCACCCGCAGTGAAGATGGCACCGAAGTCGAGATCCGTAACTGCTACGCCGTGCCCCACACCGAAACTGCCGAACAGGTCGAAGTAGACATGGACTACCAAAAGCAAATGCTGGCTCTCCATCTGCGCGCGAATCCACGAGAAGTCTTGGTAGGCTGGTACGCCACGAGTAACGAACTCAACACGTTCAGCGCACTTATTCAGAATTTCTACGGGCAGCAGGGCGATGGTACGTGGCCGTACCCGGCGGTCCACTTGACGGTCAGTACGGTGCCGGGACAGGAGATTGAGGCACGCACGTATATATCCGCACCAATTGGTGTCACGGCGGAGCGTGCAGCAGACAGTTGTTTATTCATTCCCGTACCATATGAAATCAAGTACGGAGAGGCGGAGAAGTCTGGGTTGGAGCTTATTTCTAGCGCTAAAGACCGCGAGGATCGGAGTCAGGGGATTATCACGGATTTGGAGAGTTTGGAGCGCGCTGTGCAGCATGTGCTGGATATGTTGGAACGCGTCAGCAATTATGTGAATAATGTGCTGGATGAGGAAGCGACGCCGAGTTCGGCCTTGGGCCAGTTCCTGATGAATGCGCTGAGTTTGGCGCCGAAGGTTGATGCTGCAGATATTGAGAGAGATTTGTATGCGCACACCCCCCCCTCTTGGTTCCTTCTTTGGGTATATGCAAGTAGAGCTAATGCGATGGATTGCAGCAACAACCACATCCAAGACGTCCTTGTAGTATCCTACCTCGCCAACACCATCCGCATACAAATCGACCTATCAAACCGTCTCGCCACCGCCGCCCTCACTCTCGGTACTGGAGACGCCTTGACCGGCGAAGGAGGCGGTGGGCATCGTGAAGGAGGGGGTGACCGAGGGGGTAGAGGAGGTGGAAGAGGTGGAAAAGGGAGACAAGCTAGGACGGTTGAAGCTTGAACGGGATTCTCTCCACATTTGACGACGTAGGTGGGTGGAAGTGTTGGGATGCGGGAACGAGGTTGCATGAGAGAGACTAGAACGAGGGCATGAGTGTTATCAGAAGGTAAGATGCGCTGCTCTTGGTGCGAGCAGGACAGTACCCCAGGCGGGATGGGATAAAAGGCGCGCCACGGGCATAAAGAGAGAGAGAGTGCGCGTGACATGATTTTAGGCCCTGGAAAGGCTGGCTCTGTATGAGTAGTACCCATTCCACGCTTGACATAGATATCGGGCGCTGAGCCATTGCCCGCTGTACCCGAATTTGTGTGCCCGCCCAGGCAAATTCCACTTCAATCCCAAATGCTCCCGTAGAGAAGGATAAGCCAAGAAGATAATTCGCATGCTAACGCTGTTGACACTTAAAGGTCTTGTTCGCCAGACGCTCGAATTGTCAACGACTCTCCGGGTGTCAGTTCGTCACTAGTGTTCGGTTTGTCGCAGAAACTTGGATGAATTTTACGAAGACCTACCGTAGCTGCACCGCAGTTGCCTCCTGGGATGTAGGAATGAAAATTCGGGGCCGTGTTTTGATCACCACCGCTGTTGGGGGTTTTAGGGCACTTGTTCAAATAGACCTACATAGGCCAATATGTGTTTCATTGTTGGGTCTAGACCATTGGGAAGCACGGAACAACGTGCAAGCAACGGTGCTCCCGCAGCGAGACAGACCTGGAAACAAACCTCTGCCAAGGGGAGGAGAACAGCTGGCAAAATGCACTAGAAATGGTACCTAGACGTGGACCACGTACCTGTGTTGTCCTCGGGATTGACTCTGAGAAGGTCGGCTTGGCCATCTGGAGAATATCAATAAGCCTTTGGAGAGGCGCTGATATCTATTGCCCAAGCTAATATCCGGCATCTAGAAATCTTTCGTAAACTGTAAATTCAGGAAAAGTGTTGGACGAATCATAATCCATGAAGTATCCGCTTAATCTTTGGTCTATATCATTATAGAGCTTGCCCATTGGTCTCCATTCACAGATGCCTCCCTTCAATCGACCTCGATCTTCCTCTACTCTCTGGCCTAGATTATACCAGACGTGAGTTTTTCCAGTAGACTTGTCGACCCAAAGAAAATCGCTTCTAAGTGAGCTTAGCAGGGTTCGTTTGAAAGAAAAGAAAGCCTCGCCTCCCATCTCCTATTGTTATAGCTGTGCATTAGCGTAATGATCAAATTACCGGCGCAGTCATGCTTTTTTTCCCAGTGACCTGTTCATGTCATCAGTTACTTAGACATGGCCCATACTCTTTGAAGGCAAACTTACATCCAAAAATCTGTGATTTGCCCTATCTTTGTTCTCAGAGAACTTTATTTGTCCTATCGGTCGAGCAGCGCTTCCAACGAGGCGTATTACCGTACGATTGGGCAATTTTGAGGCCTGTGCGGGTGAGATTTGGTGTACGTTCGTACGACAAGGAGGAGGAGAGATAGGTGTACGTATCGTAACTGGTACAGCTCTCGTGATCTGTACAAGTAGTACGATTCAATTAAAGTACGCCGTACTCTAGTTAAAACAGCTAAGGCTATAGGTCTCTAGAGACGCAGCATTAAGATCTAATTAGCTATAAAATAACTAATTCTCCCTAGTAACAAAAGCAGAGAGGTCTAAAAGCTTACTGCTTACTACCTTGTGCTGTAGAAATTAAAGGCCAGTTAACCTAATGCTCCCTTAGTAGGTGCTGACCACCTTTGCAGCGCCTTGACAGCCTTACTCATGACACTAACAGCAGAGCTAGAGGCAAATTACCTTGCCCTGCTCCTCTAGGAGCGCTAAATCCGTCCCATGAGCCCACGCCTTTAACGGCATGCGATTGCCTTGCAACATTGTCCCCGCGAAACTCTCACCCAATCAGAGCCCTAGAAAACTCCTGGATGCTTCCTGCAGGCCTATTGATCCGCACTACGTACCGTACCTAGGGCATCATTAAACGTACGGTGCGGCTCACGAACTCGGTACGTCCGTACTGAACACGTGACCATTACGGTTCACTTTGTACCGACCGTAGTACGGCCTGTTGGAAGCCCTGCGGTCGAGTGCCCTCTTTGTAATTCATGATAGCTGTCAAGTGCTTGGTAATTACCTATCGACAAAGTTGCATACTCATGTACTTTCAGTTCGTCCATTGCAATCCATGCAGCTGTAGTCGACTCTGAAATATGTCAGTCCATGTGCCCATTGAACCTCTTCCACGCCATCTGCCGAAGTTCGCTCGAAATCCCGGACCGCGCATTTCGGCCGGGATGTATCTAAATATAAGTACCTTCTCAAGTGCCACGGACTTTGCGCCGCATTCCACAAAATGAGGATTTGGGGCGTACGCCCAACGGAGCCGCACCGGCGCTGAAGGCGGCGTTGGAATTCTTATGATATATGCTCACCACAACACCACGCGCTCAACTGGGCCGCACTAGCACTGAGGGCAGTGCTTGAAACTTTCATAATATATGCCGGCCATCTTGCTGTCAAGATGTGTCCGTTCATCTCAAACTCTGCTCATCTCAAACTCTGCTCATTGCCCGCTCCAACATGCGGTTCAAGATTGATGGACTCGTTGCAACTATTACCGTCTTTTCCCTACCCTACTTCATAGGCAGTGGCCTAGCTTCCACTTCGAATGAGTTCAACCTGCCTCAAGGCATTCGGGGTGGCAGTACTAATGGCCTCTTCAATTTCGCCTCTGATCTACATCGTCGCCAGAGTACTGACCCTGAATGGCTTCGGATAATGCCTTTGGGAGCATCGATTGTCGCAGGTGTTGCATCTTCTCCTAGTGATGGCTTTCGCAAGCCCTTGCGTGATCATTTGAGATCCATCGGGTACAAGGTCAATATGGTCGGAAGCCAGTAAGAGAACATTTCCCGGTATCCTCTCCGATAACACAATTAGGTAACAAGAAACCTTGCCAGATTCAACATGGATGGCAGCATGCGAGATGGTGATCATGAAGGGCATCCGGGACATCGCATCGATCAGATCGTCAATGACATTGATCTGTCCAACGATACTAAGCCGAATCTCTATCTTATCAATGCTGGCACTAACGACTGTCAACAAAACTACTTGGAGATGAGGGGCACCATCAACCGCCTACGCGGTCTGGTAGAAAAAGCTTGGGATATGTCGACGAGAGCAACGATAATCCTTTCAACTCTCCTTCCGTCAGACAATGAGGATCAGGTTCCCGGTGCCAACGAACGCGTTAGTCAACTTAATATTGAAATACGAGAGTGTAAGTTCCCTATTGATGCAATGACCCATGTACAGAGTTATTACGCATCAGACACTGAGTGCTAGCTAATGGAATCTATGTATAGTAGCTTCGTTTTTGAATAGGACTGGTAGCAGGATCGAACTTGCAGAAATGAACGATGGTGAGTACAATACTATCTCATGGCGACGCGTGCAGTTTTTTTCCAGACACAATTTGACTGACTGTACAGGCTTCATTACCAACGCCGACTTGAGCTGTGACGGAATCCATCCCACCAATGCTGGGTACCGAAAGATGGCTGTCGTTTGGAACGCCGCAATCGCCAAAGCACAGGCAGCCCACTTTTTGCAAGACCCAGAAGACAATGGTATACCGGATGGTACGCCTAATAATAGAAACTAGATCGCGGGCAGGCAGATGGGCCTTACTGGACCTAGAAAGGCTACGGCTCCTTCGACAATAGCCCGTATCGCTATAACGGCACCAAGATAGGGGGCTACATTCCCTACGCTTCTTTCCAATAAATATGATAGACTTGAGAAAAGAATCGCGTTTGCTCAGATTATCAATGTGGGTAGAAATCTATATCCTGAGGGAGCATTTGAAGACATGTTGTATTGGGTCAGGGACACTCAAGGGAAAATGGTGATTAGGATCATGGTTTTTAGCGAGGACGGGAATACTATAAGCATTTGAAAGAATATCTACCTTTTGGCTGTCCTTCTGATGATGGTAGGTAGGCCGATGTAACTTTTATGCCCTCTAGGGTGGCCGTGTATTTTTTACCGCAAGAATAAACTTCTCTCACTTTTAGATGAATGGTGAGCACATACCAATCTCTGGAAAAGGGTTTGTAAATAAAAGATTTATGCAATCACTAACGAAAAAAAGGCGGTTTCCTTGACGACTACGTTTGTGTTCACGTGGACGCAAAGTTACATGTAGGCGTGAACACCGGCACAGGTTCTAACGGAGAAATTGTCTTTAAAGAAGTCGGATTTCCTGTCTCAGCTCATGCTGGCTTTGAAGACAGACATGCCCACTTTAGGTAAGGACCATGATGTTTATCAAAATTTTCCATCCGCTGCTGCTTACCTTTGACCAAATCGATATTGGCGGGGATGGAAGAACAAGTACGTTCTCGCTATTCCGGAAGTTCTCGAAGATACACCAGATATGTCTTCTGTACAAGGAATCTGGGTTACTTTGTGCCGGTTGGATGTCCTAGTTGCAGAGATACGTAGTGACTACCCTCACTAGATTATTGTTTGATCATCAGTCGCAATGGATACACCCGCTGCTAGCGTAAGAGCGAACTCAGTGACTCAGCAGGATGTTAGCAAGGCCTTCCGTGATGTTTCCTCCCTAAGGGAAGGGAGATCCGTCGAACGGGATTTGTTGATATCAATGGTGATGGCCGATCCGAATAGATTGTAAGAAGAGTTCCGAGCGAAATGTGATTACATCAACTAATCAATCATTAGTGGGTCGATGACAAAGGCGATACCGACGCCTACACCAATATGAGAGGTCTAGAATCCAAATATAGAGAGAAATTTAGCCTTATGCCAAATTGGCTTCATGCCTAGGCTTTCCATGGTGGCATGGACGCTGAGTGAGTGCGCGATAAGATACATTTCGCCCGCATTTTGACTAAGGACGGGAAGGGAAGGCGTGACTATGTGTGGGTTAAGATGATACCTGTGGAAACACTACATTTGGCGATACCGCATCCCAATTTAATGTTTGGCGGAATCATAATTCAGGAGGTACTCAACGGAAAAGTGACAAGGACAGATATACTATTGATATAGTAGTCGCATTCCGGAGTCACCCCGAAGAGCTTTTTTGCTAACGGACTCGTAAATGACAGTCCAGCGATGGGCTAGCTTTCATCTCCTTCTAGCTTACCAAGTGATAAGTGGTGTTCTTGCAGCAAAGATGATTACCTACAGATCCGGCCCAACGTCGACATCGATATGTGGGAAAATATGGCCAGTCCTCTACAATGAGTGGATAGGCCTAGCTACAGACACAAGATCTGAAACATTTGCTAACTATACCCCCAAGAACAGGCGAGGAATCATTACCAGCATCGTGCCAGTGGATCCGAGATTCGTGCATATCTGTGACTATGTAACATAGACGCCACACCGTTACTTGAGGGCTCCGATTTTATGCTGACACTCATAGGGCGGTGACAGCAAACTAGAAATCCTAAAAGTGAATCGAGATAATAGCGCCTTCACAGTATTTCCCAATACATACAAAGGGTCTAGTCAAATTATATTCGGCAAACCGTTTACTATGGGTACTCTGAACCACAGGCGCGAGAAGCAGGGATGGACTACCGAAATATTTGATCTCGTCGTACAGTTTGCAGACTTAAGGGAGATACCGAGCGCCACATTGAGCGACAGGTTCAGGAGTCGGTTGCAACTGAGGCCGGAGCTGAGACTCAGACTGAGCGACATTCGACCGCAGAGACCACTGAGGCACCACCTGAGACTGACGCTGAGGGCGAGAAGATAGACGGTGTAACTATCACGAAAAACGAGGCCCGCTCCGAGACTGAGTCCCACAAATCCTACCAAGCAACCATCGAGGACGACTTCGAAGACCTAGGTACTGAGACCGCTTCCACTATCTCTGGGACCTACACGCCTCCCACTACCACCGAGGCTCCGGTTGAACAGTAGCAGAAGTCAGAATTTTCCGCTCAGCAAGAGCAATAGCAGGAGCATACTGAGGAGAGCCCTCAATTTCTTTCGAACGGTCTTTCCGCTTCCCAGCCAAGATTGATGCAGAGAATGTGAGGGCTAAGCTTCAGGATGGAGCGCTTTCTATTAGTGTTCCCAGAGGCAGGCTCAGGGGATCAAGAATATTACCATTAAATAAGTGGCTATTTGGGAGAGAAAGAGACCCAGAGAAGTAATTACGGGAAATTAATCAATGGGAGTGATAGATATGGAGGATTTGTAACTGTACTGGATTGATAATGGATTGAAGTGTACGATACTTAGATATCGGTAATGTGCGCTACATTCCTGTTGTCCCACCTAATCTGAGAGTACTAGATAATGAAAGGCTATTCACAATCAGAAGCTGCCGAAAACCTGTTACTACAAATCTAGTCATGTGGAGGGACTGGAAGGTAAAATCGATACCCTCGCATTCACGACCACGAAGACGGCAAATATCTATTTCAGCGTTCTTTCGCCATGCGTAGCCCTCTAAGCACCACCTCCTGCCATGCCTGGTTGCATCATGATCTGTTGCTGCATTTGTAGTTGTATTTGTTGCTGAATCTGTTGCTGAATCTGTTGCTGAATCTGTTGCTGGATCTGTTGCTGGACCTGTTGCTGGACTTGTTGCTGGACTTGTTGCTGGACCTGTTGCTGGACCTGTTGCTGAACCTGCATTTGAATTTGCTGTTGTTGCATTACCTGCTGCATTGCCTGCGCACTGGCCCGTGCTGATTCCAACCATCGCATCAGCATCTCTACTGGGGGCGGCGTCAAAAGCGTATCCTTGTGATACTTTGTCTTCGTGTTATCCGCGAACCATGGATAATCCGCCGCGCGCGCAACAAGTATGCATTGAGTAAGCATACGTAGGAAATCTTGACAGTTGTTCCAGAGAAGGTTGTATTTGCCGAAGGATTTGAAGGCTTCTTCGCACGCTGAATCGACTTGATCTTTGGACATTCGCGTCCAGCCAATCAGGCAGACAAAGTAGCCGTCCTGCTCTGGCATCTTCATTTCCGATTGTAAGGCCTCACGCTGTTCTTGGTCGATCGTGAACGGCTTGCTGAAGAACGTAAATTCCCCCGTCGGTTTTCCCTGGCTCCCTGCCGGGTTCTCCTCAACATTCCTGCTGCGCCGCAACTCATATTTTGTTCCGTGTGTAAGAAGGACCCAGTGTCGCAGTCTTCCATTCGCCACATAGCGCGAAAACCACACCTTCTCCCCCTTAGTCGTGTCTTGTTCTTCCCGTCGCCGCAAATCAGCGCCCTCTCGCAATTTCGCTTCACGCTTTTCCATGTATTTCCGCATGCGCTTTGAATTCATCATTTTTTGGCCGCGCTTAGATTCGGCGAACTTCTTAGCTTGTTCTTCGCGCTTCTTGCGCTGTTTGAGTGCGAATTCGGGGCTTGCAGCCTCGATCAGTTTGCCGATGAACCCGAGGCTGGACATTTTCGTGGATGATAGAGAGTATTGTTAGAGTGGCAGTGGAGAATCAGCAGTGGAAGAGGACAGGTAATGACGAGGTCTGACTTTTGACAGGTGGGTGAAACAGCAGTTGGGGGCCAAATACTTTCCAGTTCAGCGGACGGAGTCTAGAGAACCCACTTTTAAGCCAGAACCAATCACAGAGTCGACCGTGCCAGAATCACATCAGTATTACATGTCATTACATTTCAGAATTCTGCCTGACTGATTTCTGGAACGTCTCAGGGGAGTCCAAGAAATGTAGAGCGGTGACTTTAACCCCTTGTTTAGCTTTTCAAGAAGCACCTACGCACCCAGTAGCACTATTGAGCAAGGCGAAATATGGATGTACGAGATTTCCGCATTATCTAAGATGACCGGAGCTCAGACCTAGTAGTGCAGAAACTCCTGCAAAGCCTTCTGCAAAGCTTTCACCAGCCTTCTTTAATTTGAATCATTAATATGCAGTTGATTTATAGCAACGAAGAGGTATGACAGGCTTTGTATTTCATTCAGCAATGGGGTAACGTGTGCCCGATTGCTTCACCAATATTTCTTATCTCACGGGTCAGACGCTCCTCTGAGGTTTATCTAACGCGGTGGCTATTGAGGCCACGTCTTTAGAACCGTCTGCGGAGCGTCTAAGGAGAAATAGAGTAATTTTGTATGTATCTCTTGTAAAGAAGAAGGTTGTGGTACAGTGTATTGAGTTGTAATGGGCTGGTGCCCATGTGTATCAGCCAGAGATTAGCTGGCAGCGTTAGGAAGGGCGTGAAGCAAACTGCAACAAACTGGAGTAATTACAGCAACATGGAGCAAACTGTGGTATCCATCGTTTGTATTGCAAGAGGTACTAAGCTAGTTAGGTGTCGCGGTATAAAACCTAGTTCCGTAGCGAGGACACAGTTATTCCTCTTCATCGACTGTTATTAGGCAATTGCCAGCTGCGCCGAGCCATTACATTAGTGATGCGAGTGAGTTTTGTCCCTTCACTAGTTAATAGTCCCCTGTAGTGGTTAGGGCAGTGCTTTAATGCTTCTTGTCTTTTCTATTTTAGCGAATTTGCGTTGCTACTTTTAGGTAGAGAAACCATTGCTAGTGCCAACATTACCACTTCCTCCACTACTACCACTACTGCCAATACTGATTTCACAGCTGATTTCGTTGCCTAAGTTCGTGTTAGTCATTCTAAAACGCTTTTCTAAGCAAGTTGTCGCATACAATTATCCGCCTATATATATCCTTCTGCTGTGCTAGCTGGGAGGTTGACCTTTTGGCGACGCAACACATGTTAAATCTATAACTTTAGTTCTATGCGGCACGATTGCAACATTTCCTCTACTCTCTAGCTGCGTAGTTAATCTAGGCCTAAACCTGGAGCACTATTAATATTCCAGTATACGTATCATTCCTATACAATACCCTCTTTAAGGTATGACGTTAAAATAATTACTTTAGCTTAGAAGACATGTTATTGTAAGGCATATACTATTCTACATAGGAATCAAGTGTAGGTTGATTGTTCATATCTTTTTCGTTGTGATGGTGGGCTCCGTCTTTTTTTATAGCGCATGTAAGTAATTATTGTAAATACGAACTAGATAGCTTAATGGCAAGGTGTAGCCTATATTTACCTAACCTATGTTTCTAGAGCATGCTCCTCTAAAACGCGGTACGGGTCTTGTCAGAGTGGGTTTCGAGGGCTATGGTTTGGTACGCCTTCCTGATATTCTTTGCTATTGCTTTGCGTTCGACGTTGAGGATCTTGTAGTGATTCAGCATCGTTACTGATGAAATAGAGAGGAAGAGGTTGAAAGGGAAACATTAGCCCGGTGCATGATTTATTTGCGGCCGTGGAGGTGAAGGTGACAGGTATTATTCTAAGACTTGGCTTGCTTTCGATGTGGTTGCGCGCTCCACAGGTTTCTTGACTCACATTGCCCTTTGTCTCACTTCGCTGAATGCTACTAGACGGCAAAAAGAATGCCCTCATATACCTTATTTTGAGGCTTTACAATGTATGTTTACTTCTAAGGCATTCCTCATCGCCTTAGCTATGATGATCCCGCTCTTTTGACTTTGACTTTTGAAATGACTCAACCTCAAGGCTCCTCAGAACATACAGTTCCTCTTCTCCACGACTGGGCTGCTCCAATCTTGCACCCAATACTTGGAGATCGTTTGTACTGGCGGAGCTCTTCGTTGACGTGCTCTTTTCCGAGCCGAGGAAAGTCGATATGGTGGATAAGGGCATCGAAAGGAAAGTAAATGCTGCGGTAATCTGCTTCTGTTTCGCTTGAAGCAGTTTGGGTAGAGTGAGCGCACATGCGACGATGAAACCAAGTGCAATCTCGGCCTCTGACCAAAGCCCAATCCATAGACCATTTAGGGACACGTCAGCCTCCGAAAGCTTAGGTGCAATCTTAACGGTGAAAAAGATTCGCATAACCGAAGCACCGCAAGCCCTAAGTAGCCGGGATAGCGCCTGTAAGTCTCACTACGTCACTTGAAAAGGGAAGGATGGCTTACAATAGGCCCGTCCCGAAAAGCAGGGAGACTGAGATTTTCTTTCCGATCGGCACCCGTAGCTTCCAGAGAGAGGAGGTTGGAAGAAGCAGAATGATAACGTCGGAAACCATATTGAATATCCCTGAGCTGATCACAATCGGGCTATGATCATGACAATGCCCGCCAGGAGTAAATTTGTTCCAAATCATGGGCCGCGGAGAACAGTAGAAGATCGTCCAGAACATTACGATGGTGTAGAAGATGAAGCATGCGAGGATCATAGTCCATGCGCCAAAGAACATGGTGGGATTGACCGTGCGGTTTGGCGCAAACATCTTGAGGTACTGGACGAGGATGGCCATCTTGACGGCAAATATGGCAGGGCAGTATACTATCTCTGCAATATTCATGTACTGAGTCACTAGTTAACAGTATGTGAGGCAGCAGGGCTTGAGAACCCACATGAAGCTGCTCATAGAGCTGTCCAAGTGTGATTTGCCACTGATGCACGCCAGCGCCATATTTGACCATGAGGTATCCGAGAGCTACTTCAGCGACGATGAGAGGCTGTTTATATCTTGGTCAGTTCGTTCCATGTTTTCGGGGCATTGAAAAGCGTACATATCCGGCGAAAATCAAATCTATTGCTTGATTAGAAGAGAGTTGTATAGAGAGAGAAGAGGATAGACTTACAGTCAGCAGCATCGAGCATCTTGACGACTGCGAACTTCGTATATACTCGAATCATCAAGAAGATCCCCGGAACCGCAATGCAGAGGATGGCAGTCACAAGGTACCATACCTGCGCTGAAGAGTCTAACGTCATACGGGTATTTGCACCCGCTGGAGCAGCCAGAGCAGGTCTCGTGAGAAGGATATCAACAGGTACACCACCATATGTCTGCACAGGAGCCATGGAATAGAGGCCTAGGAACGACCGAAGTCGGTTGGGATAAAGTTGGAACCAGCGGGCATCCTAAGCAGCTGTGCAGAAGGAGCGAGCGTAAAAGGAATAAGCTCTTAAGGGGGAGCGGATCCGTTCCCATTTTCCCATTTCAAGTCCGTGTCGCACATGGCGCTCTCGTGGCGCGACATATTCTCCGGGCGGGACAAGTGGTCCTCGTCAGCCCTAAGGCTGACTTGTCAGACTTCAAACTTGAGTGTTGAACGCCGAGAAGTAAGGCAGACTTGGCATTGAAGGGAGAGATAAGATTAGTAGCAGGTTGCCAAATAAAACAAGATCGAAATGACAGGCGGTATCGAAATGCGGTGCGACTTGTCTGGGAACGTCATTGGACCCGTGAGTTTGGGGGCCCAGAAGGACGTTGTTTTAAGGTGGGAGCTTGGATGGTTCGGCGCTAATCGATACGCTTCAATTGGAGCGGCCTGATTCTCAAACGGGGTGGGATGATCACGGCGTTGGACACAGCCGCACTCCATATATCAATTATATTACTCACACACATGGTAGTGGGGGCATGTTGTCTGCAGATCTGGTTTCACTTTGAACTGAATACAAAAGCACTCGTGAATAATTCATGAATATGTATGAAATCACGTGATTATGTCAATCATTCCCTCAAATGTTACCAGTACAGATGCTACCTAAGAAAGCTCACTGCTGTTCTTGAGGCCTAAATTTAATTAAGACAATTGAAACTGGTTCTATCCATTTTCTGAAAAGGGATGCACTGAACGATTTGTAGCTTGTAAGTGTGGTCCGGTTTGGTCAGGGATGAAGATATTGACCAATTGATAATAACTATCAGTCGGAGTGGGCTGGATGACCTAAACGGGTTAATGAACAGAACTGAATGGTATTTTCCTCCAAGTTCAACCTTATGATGGAAAATGGGTATTTTTGACGGAGAGCATAAATTGGTACTGCTCCGGACTTCATTGAGCCCTACCTTGCTGTCATTAATATCGGGTTGTCATAATTTGCGGAGAGGTAGATTGTAAGTTTCTTTTCTCTTCCTGCTATCAGAGGGTGTGATGCAGGGTTTGCGATTTGGTCGTAAAATGTGAGTTTAGTGCGCGGAAGATCTCGAGTCAGGTTTTTTCATTGTGAAGGGCCTTATTCGCGACTCCTTAAGAATAACGTCCTTGAAAAATTACAGCTAGAGCTAAATATACAAACCCGCATGGGATTAGAAGGCAAGAATTGTCTTCAGCGTCCCTCCTTCGCCAGCGCTGCCAACAGGAAGTAATACGTATACGTACTACGTGAACGTAGCTGTTACGTGAGCAGTAAAAAAGTAGTAACTTTGTAAAACGTTACTTACAGCTAAGAGGACTATAGTTACGAGCTGTAGTACGTTTTACAATGTCTATTTTTATAAAGATTTACTTAGTAGTTATATAATACCTGATTACATGTCACGGTTATGTTATAGCTATCCAACCCCTGAGTACCCTAAGGATTTGGCACGGGGTATATAGGCTCCTCGGCCTCCGTACCTCTGCCTCTGACACTTAAGGTTTACTCTCTCTCTCTTGTGGCTCTGCCATACACCCTCTATCCTGCATTCCCTCTCTATGCGTCGTGCTTCCTGCTCGATACCTCTCACATTAAACATCTAGAGGCAACACATTAAAGTTATGTTTTTAATTAGGTAAACCTCTGTTATTTATAGAAAATTATTAGAATTTGAACAGCAGAATCAAGTCATAGTCCGCTTCTTGTACCCCACTACTAAAACACCTCGAGCAGCAGGATACTCGAGCTCCTAAGTCATAATATGTTTAGATAAGTCTCTACGCAATCATTTAGTTTGATTCCTGATAGTGAAGCATCCTAAAAAGGCGGTAAGGAACTTTTATCTCACTTCGGTTCTAGTTACCAGTATCAATAGTATATCTCTTGATCTTATATATTTAGTGACGCCACGATCTTTCTTATCCTCAGGATGCACTTTACAAGGACTTAAAGAAAAGGGAGACATATTCGAATAGTTCCATTGGCGGTGCGCACTCGTATGTTTTGTACATGGTATTTGCTAAGGCATCGAATCATCCAGGATCTCACCTTCCTAGCTCGCGCCAGTACACCCACGCAACTTCTTATATGATACATGAATTAATATCTAAATCTCTTATCATGCCAAAAAACCCCACATAGAGCACATACATCCAGCCCATAAAGCAAAGGGTTTATTCCAAGTCGTCTCAGCTGTTCTGGTGGATGCAGGCCCATCCTTTCTAGGTAGGGGAACTTATGGATGGTGAGGATATACTGTCGCTTAAAGGGATTTCTCTAGACCCCCGTTTTCATCCCCTTCTTACTATAGGTTCTCTGCGAGAGTGATCTATACAAACATCGGGTGAAGGCTGGGAACTCTCAACACTCAAAATCCGCGATATCTACAGTACTTTTCTCCATAGTCAAGCTTCTACACGTCGGCTTCCCCAGTGAAGCGACCGACGCCCATTCCCCCCACAGAAGTTCTTATGGTTCTCATCTGCTCAATCTTCAGCACCACCGTCCATATCCAACACCGCGTTAAGGCGATCCGGGGAGCAACCATTCACCTCGCTTACATAACTTCCAGCCCTCCTGGTCAGCTTATTTATGCATCCACCCACTCCTGTTTCACTAGGGGTAAAAGCTGTTTGTTTATATCTGCTGTATAGAAATGGATAATCCTAACAAGGCAGTTATCAAGGTGCTTTACGTGATTGTGAGCTTTCTGTTCTTGAAGAGTTATTTAACCCTGCTAACTTCCTCAAGAACTTCATGGGATTATCGTCCCATCACAGATAATTCAAGGCTCTACCGAACATCGGCCCGAGGCCTAGCATACCCGCATCCCGGATAGATATGTCCGAGATCAATGGGCGTACTCTATGTCACGCTTGGCTAGTCTTTCCTTCCCCGCATTTGCATGAGACTCTTCGATGTGTGCTTGCATGTCAAAATGCATGCGTCTGAGAAAAGAATTCCGGACGCGCGACGAGGTAAGGGTTGCGCGGCCGAGAAAGGCACTGGACTAGTGGCGACCGGGTACTTATTGTTATTATCTTTACGAACGACCACCAAACCTGTGTTTCTTCCTAGAATCCTGCTTCTACTCTACAATGTCCCCCATATCCACATCACGGAATTACTCCATCGCCACCATTCCCGCGGACGGCATTGGCCCTGAAGTAATCTCCGCTGGTGTCTGCGTCCTAGAAAAGCTCTCCTCCCTCTCTGGCACTTTCTCCCTCTCCTTCCACTCATACGACTGGAGTTCCGAGACCTACAAAAAGACAGGCGCCTATATTCCTCACGACGGGCTAGATAAACTCAAGCAGCACGATGCCATTTTATTTGGCGCTGTCGGCGCACCGGATGTGCCAGATCATATATCGCTGTGGGGTTTACGGTTGTCGATTTGCCAGCCTCTGCAACAATACGCTAATGTAAGGCCTACGAAGATCTTCCGCGGTACTAGCTCACCGCTTCGTAATGTTTCACCCGGAGACCTAGATTGGGTCATCATCCGCGAGAACTCTGAAGGAGAGTATGCCGGACAAGGCGGACGGTCACATCGGGGGCAGCTGTGGGAAACGGCCACAGAAGTCGCGGTATTCACGCGGCATGCAATAGAAAGGATTATGAGGTTTGCGTTTGAAACAGCGAAGAAGAGAGGGAGAGGGAAAGGTGGGAAGGGGAAATTAACGGTTGTGACTAAGAGCAATGCGCAGAGGAACGGAATGGTACTTTGGGATGAAGTCGCCGTGGAAGTGGGGAAAGAGTTCCCTGGGGTGGAGGTTGATAAGATGCTTGTTGATGCGATGACTTGTCGAATGGTATTGGATCCGAAGTCGATTGATACTATTGTTGCTACGAATTTGGTGAGTCCCCCCAGGCTTAAAGATCATGATTTAAAGCAAACTGGGAAAGAAAGCTGACAGAACAGCAGCATGCAGACATCCTTTCCGACCTCGCCGCTTCCCTCGCAGGCTCCATTGGTATAGCACCAACATCCAACCTCGATCCTACTCGAGCAAATCCCTCTATGTTTGAACCTATCCACGGCTCTGCTTTCGATATTACAGGAAAAGGTGTAGCTAACCCCGTTGCCACGTTCTGGACTGCTGCCGAAATGTTAACGTGGCTGGGCGAGGAAGAAGGCGCAGCACGGTTGATGGAAGCCGTCGAGAACGTTACGGAGAGCGGTGTGTGTACTCGTGATTTGGGGGGGAAAGCAGGGACGAAGGAGGTTACAGAGGCTGTTTGTTCGGAACTGGAGAAGCTTTTTGCAGATAAGGAGCAGGCTTGGCTCGCGTAGGCATAGTTATTTAGTACTGTATCGAATCACGCAGCGAGGCAGAGAAATCCGAAACAGCCTTCATAGCGCGCAACTCATCATCCGCCTATAGATATATGATGCTGGAGTTGTTATCTCTTGGGGCTTACTTCTGCATAGATAAAGTTCTTCATAAGTTTCCCGCGAGAAGGACCTCCTCTTCGTCCCTGATGTTAAATCGTGAGGAAAACCCCCTAGCCCAACCAATGCCTTCGAACTCTACTGTGTCCTTCCGCCGAATGCCTTGATCCTCGAGAAAGTCACGGAGAGCTATTGGCTCTTTGCTGGAGACGTTGATCATGTCATGATGTCCTCCCACGGGGGCAGGCTCCGGGTGCTTCAGCGTCTCGGCCCATTCGCCTTTAAAGCCCTGGAGGAGTTCTATCAAAGTTGACCTGATATTACCAATAGGCCTCGGAGCATTGTAGAATGACCCCTTTTAACAGTGTCTGGAAGAATCTTCACAAGACGTGGTATCTTGCTCATTTGGTCCTCAGATTTCTTCACATAACTCTCTCGTTATGGAATTCCGTCGTTGGGCGCCGGCGTGAAGACAATACTGTCCGTACCCAATACTGTCCATACCCAAGTCGTCGACTATTACTAAGATGTCGCCATATATCACTGCCACTCTAGCAACCAGCTCACGAAGCGTCCCACCAACACAGTTCGCAATAGCTCTGAAGAAGTCTCCAGCAACCCAGCCATGCTCATATCCACGCCATTTAGTCTGATGACCACCTGATGACTTCAAGTTGCGGGGCATGTGAAAGAACCGCTTCAATGCCCTGCACATCGCAAGTACCGAATGCAAGCTCCAGCCTTTTTAACATCGAGTAACCCTGAGACCGGCGCCCCGTTCAAGGAAACTCACTACCGGTATTTTCCATCGAACACGGCAATACATCTGGTCCCATATATCTCCCCAAATTTTGGTAGAGGCATGAACGGCTCTAGTGTTTGCAACCCAAGGCATCCTTCATAGCGTGCGTTCTGAAACGGCATGAAAGTCTCCAACCTAGCTAACGGCCATCGTTCTAGGCCTAGCTTTGATTCCAACCTTGGCATTGTCGTGACCCACGCATATAGGACGACCGCTTTAAGCACGACGTGTGCACATACTTGGTTCCCGCCGTAGTCGACGCCTCTGGGAAAGGCTGCCGCCGAGACGGCGATCCTAGTTTCTTTAGATTATGCAGGAATAAGAGAAAAGTGATGAGCGTAAGGGGACCGTCATATTTTCCGGAGGTCGAAGTCCCACGGTTTTCGAGAATAATCTCGTTCCAGTAACCGTCAAAACCATCGTGCCCCCTTCTAGCTAGTGCCTACCCTGTTTCTCTATAATCTCTTTCGTGTATGGCAATTGCGTTACAGTGGGGCTCCGGCTACGTGGTTCCTTGCCAAGTGGGGGAGATCCTTGGGAAGAGGTGTCCGAGTTCTTTCGATTGTTCATCAAGACAAGTAGGTCGTCGGACCCACAGGTCCAGGCTTTCAATATAGTCGCTAACTATAGGATTACGTGATACTTCGTACAGCAGGGGAGGGGGGCCACCTTAATACGATACAGTATGGGAGGTTATTTCCAACTAGTAATATATGCATTGTGGCACCTGATGACTTCGCATGAGCCTCCCTTGTCAATGTCTTACGAAAACCCTTCTATAGAGTTGTCGAGCCCGATCTAGACTAAGTCCAGATAGTTGTGACCGATTCAGCACGCCCACCCGCGCAGCCCCCAGCTAAGCTAGCTCCTGTGGCGGAAACCTTCATCTCCATTCTCCACGTTCTTTCAAACTAGGGCTGCTATTGCAAGAAAGGCATTGGCACAAAAGCCGGGATATAGGAGTAGATATGCATTTACGAAGGCCCCATGTCTAACCATCAGGAAATGCGGGGGAAAAGAAGGAATGGGGAAGTGGGTAACGGCGAGGAATCGGGCCGATGGGGAAAGACCGATGTCAACCAAGGTTTGGAGGATGAATTTGGGAAAACTTTTGGCTGCTACAGGCTAGGCGCATATCTTAATATCAAAGTCAAGCGCCCATAGAAAGTTAGAGGCAAGATTGCTAAGGAGGATTATGCTAACAACATGGCTCGAAAATGTCCGGAAAGGAAGGCCAACACCATGACTGGATGCAACATTTACCTTGAATCGAAGATCAAGCATGAGAAGGTTGACTTAGAGCTGAATGCGGTTCGTAATGCGGTTCGTGGTGTTGTTCGATTTCGCATAGATCTCGGGGCTGCATCTGGGCTGCATCCGGCTTGCAGGGGCATGAAATAAGGATGTGTAATTCCTGGCATGAGCAAGCTTGCCCCATGGGAGAGTTGTGAGGGATGCGACATTGTGAACCGTGGAACTAGCACAGCCTTCGACGCTTTTTCACTCGAGCTACCCGTGCTGGTAATTATTAAATGGCAGGATGGTGGGCGACTGGAACGTTGGTAATGTCATGGCGCCTGCAGCTTGTGGTAGCGAGCCCAGGGGTGGAAGTTGCACCGCGGATTCGGTGGAAGAGGAAGAGGCGGTGTGCAATTAACGAGGGCAATGTCACTGTGACATCTTAAAATAGAATATATGGGATACTGAAGCTCTATTACTACTACAACCATCATCGAAGACCTCCAAGCTTAACCTCGCGCGATGCAAGACACTGCAGACTGCAATTTTCACTGCTTTACTCAAATGTCGCGGCGGGCGGCCCTTCCTTTAGCGGCACCTCGGAGCATTTTTGGAGCCAGTGCACCTGTCCGTTCGATGATCGCGAGTTCTACCTTGTCGCCGTGTTCTTCCTGAATGGCATAGCTCGCTGTACCCACCTCATACATCTTCTATTTGTCTTTCTTCAAGTGCAAATACAATACCAATGCTGCTAAAAGCGACACGACTGACAGTACAAGACTGAACATATACGCCATGATGTATCTTGGACCATCGTTGCTTAGGTATAAGTATTGTGGCTAGACCAGAGTCGTATTACCTGAAACGTTTTTCATAGTGGGAGCAAAGGCGGGATTCTATTGGGAGCGAGCGGCTATGTTGGCCACTCAGGCACTCGAAACCTGGAAACATCCATATGCCCCTGGAAGCATGAGGAAGATCGCGAAGTATCGAGCCCTGCTAATTAGATGCCCACACCTGTACGGTCCATTCAAATCACATAATTGTCTCAAACGTCGTTGCTAAGTGCATTGCGAAGAAGCGGAGGCTGAAGGAGATGACTAAAGCGAATAAGAGGATTACAGCCCAAGCTGTAGCAGCAGCTCGGGATCAACTTCGGTGCCTTGCTACTTGTCTACCAGAAGCACCGGTTCGACCTTCTATCGAGGATTACCCTAGTTTAGGGAACTTCCCGATTGGGAACAATCAGCCTGAGGTTCGCTGGTCAAATAATTTCGGAATCAACCCGTTTTCGGCGGCTCCACCTGCTAGTTGAGAACTTCCGCCGGAACTGGACGGCGGTAGGCGACAAGTGGCTCAAGGAGCTAGTCCTAGTCTTTTGCCCAGAGCGTCCCTCTTAGCCGTTAATTTCACCCAAAAGATTCAGGAAAACCGTGGCCGGGGAGAGATAGGTTGTCAAGATAGATACGTTTTTACAACACGGACTAGCGAGGGTTTAGGCGCACTCAATGGACGACACTGACTAAAATCATATACGCCTGAATAATTTGCAAGGATGCATAGGATGAGATGCTCCGCTCACCGAGTTGCCCTGACTCAAGTCATGGCGATAGGTGAAAAGCAGGACAGCGGCCAGAAGAAAATTATGGTCTCATCTATGCCCCGTGAAGAGACGAGTTTTCCTCATGATGTTGCTCTAATTGCACTGGACCAAGTCACGAACTTAGACTTCGCCGATCACCCCCAAGACTCCAACCAAACTAGGTTCTTCTAAGAGCTATACAAAAACGAATCGGGATACTTTAAGTTCGGTGATGAAGATCAGGGCGCAGCGGTTCAGGCTGCTTTACCTACAGGCCGTCGATTTGTTCCGCTGAATCATAATGGCCAAATGGCTAGATGCTTATTGGTGGGACGAATTAGGGATGGGAGAGAGTAGTCCTTTGATTCTGAGCTATTTTGGTCTGAGAATCTTGGAAATGAAACTTGAAGGTGACTGGACGAAGTGTATGGTAGGAAAGTGCGCAGTACCATCACAGCAAAGTGAAGGAGATGTTTCGGCCTTTCGAGGCCTTTGAAAAAAAATCGAGGAGATAGTAAGCATGGCCACATGACACAAAAGTGAAGGTTATAACCGGAGCAAATAGGCCACACTGACTCCATGACGTCATTCTCTCCATATTTCACCTCAACGCATCCTTGAGCACACGGTCAAGATATCCATAGATCAAACCACAACAGTAGACTTCCGACTCCATATGCTCACGCACATAAGTAATTCAATTCCAACCACTGTTCTACGAACGGGGGATGAAATTGCGAGCGAGACTACAAGCAATTCGGTGAACCCACCAAGACAGTAGAGGAAACTAAGCGCACAAAACCTTCCCCGAGCGAGCAAACATAAAATAGCATCCGGCAAATCTGGCTGTGGTGAGAACTCGAAACTGCTGCTTCGCTCTCGGTTTGGAGAAGGGTGTTCATATTGCTCACCCGCATGAGAACTTCTTCACTAGATGGGCACGGCGGTCTACATCCTCAAATATTCTACTCTGAGGACCTGTGCTAGGAACTAAATTCAGAGACTATTAAAAAGAAAGTGGAATAATGTTAATGGGATATTAAGATATGTTATGGAGGACTCCTAATAAAGCTGCTCTCTGGCGAATCTCCTTGCTGCCCTGAGGGGATCTCACGATCCACTTTCCTATATCGTATTTCGGACATCCCTTTCTATTGATCTCCTCAACACCGCATCTCCTTTCATTCGGCACCGCAAACATTAACTACACCGGACACTAGAACGTGCATGTGGAAATGATCGTCCTTGCAGCCCGACGTTGGCTGATCTGCATTCGAGCATGGTTGCACGTGGTGGTGTGAGCTCCAAGTGTTCAGCTGGACAAGGGTGGGGGCTCGTTTTTCGATCGCCGAGAACGGGGTTGCAGGGATTGGCGAGGCTTGACGGACTTTGGCGTGGATCAATCAAAAGTGGCTTTGGACGTACTCTTCGAGCGATTGAATGGTTTCTATGAGTTGGCGCGGAGCATTTGGTATATTTCAAGGCATAAGGAGTCTATTTGAATTGCCTATTTTCGGGCATGTCAGTCACGTCAAGCTCTGCACTTGCTTGTTAGTATTCACACACTGACATAATTTGAGCCCCATCCGAAGCATCAGCTCATCTAATGGCAGTAAATGATCAGTCTATGAGCTTCTCTCTTCGCTTCGGATACAACACCACTTTCAGGCAGAGGGTGCCTCTTCAGCTGGGCAAGGGCGTTTTCCTTCCCGACCCGGAGAACAAACTTTGCCGAGAATATGTAAAGAGAGACCTCGTCCGACGACTATTTGCGCTTGTCGGGAAGCCGATATGGAATGCCAGACGTGTGACGTTTCATGTGCCAGGAGATATTGCATCGGGGTCCGCAAAACCTAATCACAATGCCTTGGCTCAATATATATAAAATTCTCTTAACAGCCAGTGAGTATGTAAAATTAGAAGATTAACCTTGAACTACTCAGCAGTCAACGTTTTCGTTACTAAAAAGTCACAAGTCACCGTCATTGGCGGCTCACCTGTTTCACGCGTTGAAACACTTCAGCCTCAGTTCCTGCAACAAAACATATCAAACTGCCAACCACGTGGCCAGTATCTCGTATTTCGCTCCGTCGTGTTTGACCGGTCAACCAAAGCTCAATGTAGCCTCAGCCGATGTGCCTTCTAAATCGGGAAGATCTGGGGAAAGCCCTGCGGGAGGCTTGGTGGGGTCCGAATCTCGCTCCGTTCTTGGCAACGCCACCATGGCATGCTTCGCATCGTGACAAGTTGGAAGGCCTCGTACACGATTAATGTTGAAGCACACCAACAATATAGAATGCGTTTCGCTCAAGATCAAGTTGTTACGGATTCCGAGATATACGAAATACGAAATGCGAAGATACTTGGAGCTTCTAATTCGAGCGTACGATTATTGATGTGACAGCAGTGGGAACTTGAGAGTGGTGTGAAAATGGAAAGCTGGACCGTAGACCAATATGAGGGTTGGTCCTTAGCAAAGGAAGGAAGACGCTCACCTCAAATATAAATTTGAACGTGTTCGCTCCCAGATTCAAGCCGTCTTCAACACCTTCAACACAAGATCAACAACAGCAGCCTCTCCTTCCAACAATTTCATTGAGCTGGAGTCTCAATCGCCACTCTAATCAATCAACATGAAGTTTCTTCCAATCCTCGCTACCCTTTTCATCGCCGCCCAGGCCGAAATCACCTTCTTCAATCCCGAGAAGAACGTAACCTGTACTGGTCATGAAAACGGAGACATCACCTGCGAAGCTGGTCAGCAAACTGATGCCCAAGTGGTATGTACTTTTCTCATTCCCTTTATTTCTCCCAACTCGCCAAATCCTGACTAACCGGTTTCAGATTTCTCTCGAGCAAGCAGTTACTCCAGCTATTCGCGGTCGCTCAGCTAATCCTCTCGACAAGCGTGTGTCTTGCGGTATCTCGGACACTGCTTGCTTTGCCCACTGCTTTGCTATCGGCTACTGCAACTCCCATTGCGACGATCAGGGCATTTGCAGATGCTACTGCTACGACAAGTCTCCATGGCCACTTGTCTGCACCAAGACCACTTGCTCTTAGATCAGTAATCAAGAGTTAAGATTTGCTTTGGTATTTTTGGGGAGGAATAAACAAACATTCAAAGGGGATGAATTTGGGGATTTCGGAAATATAGTCTGCAGTTGTTCCATGATTCTCGCGTGGTTCTAAGTCATGGTCTGGCAACTTCTTCTCCGAAGTGTTGCATAGCACATGTACTTGGACACAATTTTTGTGTATCATTAGTAATTCACGACCTTTTTACCCAAGAGAAGGAGTACTGCTCTTGTTGATCGTCCTCCGCTGCTTCCAAATGAGAGATCCCAATCCTGACAGAGCACCCCTATCGTCACAAGGTATCTTGGGCATCTCCTAAGCCAAATGAGTTTAACTTCTCGCGATGAACTAAGCACTAATATTCCTCATGGGGGATCTGAATGATTGGCGGCAGAGGATAAGAGGTGAGGTTACAGAAAGTGACATGCATGACGCCTTTCCTTCTTAGTATTTAGATCTAGTTATGACGTGCAATTGGAGATTTCAGATTTCTTCCGAGGGCAGTACTTCACTTCTTATCCTACTCTCCTCACATCAAAATTACCATCACGTCATATAACCGCTGACTACCACGTTTCCCCAGTTATGACCAGCCCTTTACATGATCATCGCATCGGGATCTGGTGTATGGCACGACGATGAATCGTCACCTGCAGGACTGCACACGAACCAGTAACAAGTCCAACCCTTCGCAATATTCTAAAACCATCAGTCACCATGTCAAGCCATTGGTGTCAGATAATGCATATTTGCAAAGCTAGAATTTAGGTATTCCGATGTAAACAAAGTCAGGATTACTAATGTCCCAAAATCACAGACTAGGGGGAAAAGCTGGAACGTCCATCAAATGCAAATAGCAGTATTCGACCTCAATATCTCCACGGAATGAACGCTAATGTCATGTCCGCAGAGACAACTCATTCAGGGAGGTTGCAACACATCTTGGGCTGTCTCCTAGTATGTGAACGTTCATATTCATCTCATCCTTTGGACGGAACTAGAATTTTCTCCTGGAAAATTACTTCTACCATTGAAGGGAGCTGTGGGGTCTTTCATTTTTCTGTAGTGGTTCCGTCACTGAAGACTAGGGATCGAAACAGCATGCTATTGTTCATCTGGATCAATTCTTCAAATATTGGATTGCCATTAGCTAGTGTCGCATCTTCGAATTTGATAAGGGAGTTCGACATAACTCATTGGAAGCATACAGTGTGCATTGAGAAATTATTCTGTATTATTCTGTACCAAATCACTAATATGGTAGGCTAGAATACATGTACTACTTGGGAGATTCGGTGGTACTTCTCATCGTCGAGAGCCAGCTAACCAACTACCCAGGGCACCACCATCGAGATAGAGGCCCCCACCCCCCCAAACTCACGGAGGGCTGGTCTGAGTGATTCTATAGTTATGTAACGGTGAAGGTAGAGGTTTGTGGGCCAAAACGTGCGCTATCAAGACCGGCCGACTGTCACTCGAGACGTCACTCTGAGAATTGCTTTATGACGGAATATCGGTCTCGATATCTCTTTGGAATAAAGGGTTCGAGCACCAGTCAGCGTAAACATTCTCCTTGTTACCTTCCTCTAGTGACTGCAATTTCGTCGTTCTTGGTTTTGGTTGAGCCTGCTTCTTCTGCTCCGTGTGGGAAAGCTTTGCCGGAGCAGATTAGGCAAGCTTTGCCTTCTTCCTACCTGCCTGATCAATGTACTGGAGATCCTCCAGGAGTTCATATATTGTGTCTGTTTCCTCCATATATCGGTCCAATCGTTCTTCTACATCTGACTCGGGATCGGACGTCACTTCGTAGTCGGAGTCTTCATCGTCATATAAATGGTCGCGCAGGGCGCATTTCCTTTGTACCATCTCATCTGCCAAATCCTTTCGTTGTCGACGTTTCGCAGACTTGACCACCGAGGTTGTACCCCAATCCATTGGAGCAAAGCCGTACTGATATAGATAGGACCCCATCATTGACTGGAGGTCTGATCGTCCCAAAGGATCAGGTTTGAAGAAGTGTTGACTATACCTATCTTGCTTTGTATCGTACGAGACGAACAGGATGTCCTCCTGGAATCGTTGCACCAAATCCGCACAACCGGTGTGGGCTTCAGTATATGGGATTAGAGTGATGTCGAAGACCTTTTCTCGGAGAGTCGATGGGCTGATCTCAATGGCGGAAGCGGCGGGTGGGGTTGGCCAAAGGCCGAGGGCGCGCAATTTGACTGCAAATGAGATATATGCATGTTCGGCGCAGAACTGTTTGTCGCGACTATGGCAACAAGTGTAATTCCTGTGCCAAAAATTTTCGTCCATGTACTGCGCCGCAACGCCTAGTATGTTTTCCACGAGGTGTTCACGCGACTCCGCAGCGAATTCTGACTTCATTTAGCATTCACTCAAGGCTAGATGAAGCCACACTAACTGATCAAATTTTGTACATGGCCTTCGAATGCGCTGAGCCTCAACTCAGTCTTCGTACTTTTGCAGACAAAATACTGCATATGTGCCTCAAAGAGCTGGTTGAAGCGGAAAACCCATGCAATATACAGCCAGTGAACGTTACCAATGTCAAGGGCCCTCGGTAAGAATCGTTCGATCCATCGGCCAATGGAGTCGATGAGAAGGCCTTCAGTTCCGAACTTCTCGCAGTGTACAGCAAGTTCGTAAATGGTTCTGAAATCAATTGCCGATGGCAACAGATCGAACCGCAAGTGCATGAAGAGTAGAGTAATTCCGACGGCTTCCGGGCAGTCGTCGGGCATGTAGATGGCTTGAGGTTTCGAAGTATCGGAGCCGTTACTTGATATTCTAGCTATGGTGAAGGATTCTTGCGCTTCCGCTTCGAGTCCTGCTTTAGTTTCATGTTCAGGAGCTTGCGCATCTTGGGTATATGTTTCAGGGCTGGCATTGCTGACATTGTTGGCTTCGTCTAACTCGTTAGCTTCATGATCCAAAACAGCAGCAGAAACATCGTTCTGGTCATTGAATGCATTTCGAGCACGCTCTTGAGCTTGATCTGCCATCAATTTTGGTTCTCCGTTGCTCGGGTTACGGAGTGCATGTGCAACGCGTTCACCTACACTTCCCATCTTTTTGTGCACATCGTCGCCATCCCAGTCAAGGAAAGTCTTTGTATACCAGCCACCATAGCCTGAGCGCATTTGTTGGGAGGTGGCCTCCTCGTGTTGAGCCTCAATGTTCGCCTGAAGTATTTGGTCCGCATCGTCGAGATGGAATGAAGGATCGGTGCCTCGGCCTTTACTTGGGCTACCGACCTGAGGCGATACAGTGCTCTCTGCAATACTAGCACCAGGTTCGGATCCTAGACCGGTTTCTTCGTTCTCTACTTTAGCGACGGATGGGGCGTTCTGGCATGCCTCTTCGTTATACTGGGATGGAGGGGGAGCGACATCTTGATCTCCTCGGTTCTGTTGATCGGGCAAGATGGATTTCTGTCCATCGAGAAATGACCTCCACTTTGTATATTCTCTTAAGCGAGATGACTTGACTTGGAATCGCGCGAAGCCAGTTGATTGATCACCCGCGACGATCATGATATCGCCCTTGGGATCAAGGACCAGTAGCTCGTCATCACCCTCGTCGTCGCCCACCTCACTTCTGTCATCATCTCCATCGCCGCTCATTTCGCTTCCGTCGTCACCATGATCCGTGTTCAAGGCAACTAGTTCGTCCTGCTTTTGACCAGTTGGGGCATTGCAGCCTTGTTCGGTGGCTTTACCAGGCCCCTGGCTCGTCTGTCTATTTATAAATGCGCGATGTTTTTCTGGACATCCTTTCCGTTCTGTGTGGTGATCGCCATTTTGGTCTACGCGTGTGTTTTTTGTGCGTGTCACACTACCACCATCTCCACCGTGCGCAGTGAGAATAGTAAAGTCTTTAGTTATGCCTTCCTCGAAGTCTTCGTTCGCAAGAGTCTCGTCCACGCATGCGTCGTCCTTATCTAAGGAATCATCTTGTCCTTCATCTTCCTCATACTGCTCTTCATCTTCCTCATACTGCTCTTCGTCTTCATCAAGTCGCTCTTCATTTTCGTCATCGTCCTCTTGGCTGTTATGATCGTCGTCTGAGTCATCCGAATCGGTCAATTCGGTTAACTTCAAGGGCTGAAATGCAGCGGCTGGAGGAGACTTTAGACGAAGTAAATTAGACTTAGGCGGTAATTTGATCCCCCGGGGATTCATCTCTTGCTCTGCTTTGACATATCGTGATCTGTCGCGATTGTTACTAACAGTTACTCCTCGAGGTATTGATCTCTGGTGTGGCCTGGCGTGCTCGTTTGCGATGATTGGGGGAGACTTGACGTGTTTGTATTTGCTGTAGCCCTCTGGCGTGATGTTCGCAACGGAAGAGTCCTCCTGTGTCAAGTCGATGAGGTCTGGGAGGCGAGGTGTCATTACGTCTGTATTGACCAATAGAGGGCAGAAAATGCTGAACAGCGGTGTTCTGAGGGAGTGATGAAAGGCAGACTGGGGCATGTTGCTGGACGCGTTCTCGATATTCGCGTTAGAATGGGGGCCACGGCCACGGCTGAATATTACGCCGGAATACAATGTCTGTGTGCGGGGCTGAAAGCGCGCCATCACATGATCGGTTTTCCCACCTGGCTTTCGTAACACGTCTTCTTCCATCTGCCCGCAATCCATGGACATCTCGACGGTAACGCGGAAATGCCTTCAAGGAATCAATTTCCTCCCATGATTTCCTTCTCTGGTCGTTGCAACCCTAAACCCGATGTTTATCAGCTAGCCCGGAGGCTAGACTTGATGACTCTTCAGAGAGGCTTGGGGAATGTCCAATACGTGTACACACCACTCAGCTCGAAATCCGCGACTTCCTCCACTCTCTCTTGTCATCTAAGGTGACTTTCAAAATGGAAGGGTATTAGGAAAGAGATCGGTATTCTACTGGCGCTCTCTCATTCTAGCAAGAGTTTGGGTAGATTGATTCCATCCAAGTCATGTTCCATCTTATGTGGTAATATACTGTACACACCATCTCAGCCTTACGTAGGCGTTCGCCTCTTCATTTTAACATTTTCCATATTGGAACCCCCGGACCCAATACAAACTCTACTAGAGACGAAGCACAGGAAGAGATGCAGGCATTCGCGTAACACCGTCTTTCTAGGCTTGGAATCTTTTGGCAAGGGCTATCGACTGCCCCGAAGGCTACACTGTTTGGCAGGTGCATGAAGCTGACCATCCCTACAGTACAAGGACATGTTCTCTCCACTGCTCTATTGTCTAATCTCATACAATTTTCTTTAGCTTCAGTTCTGCTGGCCCTCTCGACGTCTGGTCGAGACCGAATCTACAGTCGCGGTACACTCTACTCCTGCAGTGGCAACCGCCCGCAAAATTGGGAAAGCTTTCGCCTTAGTAACCTACCGTTGTGATTCTACCACCACCGGGCTTTTCGGATGCGGTTGGGCATCCCTGCGTCCATACTCTTCGGCTCAATGTCCTATAGTCTTAGCTTCGGAGACCCACGACAGGCGTTTTTGCAAGCACAACCGAGCTCACTGAACCAGCCATCATCCAGAATTTGTCCAAAATCCCTCCCTGTAGCGTTTATGCCCTCAGTAAGCGACCTCCGAGCGCCACACAATCGATGAAGGGTGATTTTCCATTGATACACCTTTACCGCTGGAGGATTGCAGATTTTTACGCCTCCGTCGATCGCCCAGCGGGGCCCCATTTTTTCATACTCCGAGTAATTCTGAGAACCCGGGATCGAAATGCCAAATTCCTGGAATGGTCGGCAGCTTCGCTGCATGTCTTATTCGTCGCTGGCAACGTCACCTCTTCGTCGTCAGAGTTTCAGAAGTTCTTCATTGTTGAATCCCTTTCTTCGCCCTAGCTCCAAAGCGTGGAGATGGTTGCCACCCTGAGAGGCTTCTTTTTCACACTTTCTCTTTGCCTCGTAATGGGAGGACGGGAATGAGCATCGGCATCTTGGTTCCCTCGCGGAAAGGTAAACCGCTACGAAAATAGAAACTGATGCTTTGATATTGGATTCAATGTATATTTCAAATCGTCTATCTCCTGACTTATCAGTTAGCTGGCTTCTCGGGTGGCCGATATGCTCCATTATGCCAAATCGGAACAGCATGAAGTCGCCTAGCGGAAACGCTTCCCTATTCGGGCTGCACAACAATTCTGTTAATATTCGCATTGCAAGATATTGCGTACAATGCAATAACACAAGACAAATCGATAGCCTTGGCCAGACTGATTACTCGTTCACCTCCGAATGAGGATTCGTAGTCTGATATACGCGACCTGGGCCCGAGCTGTCGGATCCCACCCTTGATCCTCGCTGAGCCGCAAGCTAATATCAAGGATAGCAATAATGGAACCGCAATATCCATCTCAGACGTCTCACCAGTCGTCGACAAATTACCTTGTCTCTTTACCACTGCTCGGCGGCACCACCGGTAAGGCTGACAACCCCGCACGCCAAATTGCCGTTTCCAAGCATTCGGCGAAATGCGCAGATTAGGGGAATAACGTGCAGATTACATACGAGGCGACGCCACATCCAGGTGGACTCGCTACCGTCGCTACCGACCGAACTCCTGGTGACCTCATATTTGACAGTATGAAGGTTTATGATGGAAGCTTCGGTGCGTTGATGAGGTCATTTGTTTTCCCAGGATTAAGGCAGGCTATGAATAGCACCTCATCTCAATGTGTAACCGGAAAAGGCGAAGTGGGAATATTTGTCCTCTCTCCATTCGCTTTGTACTCGGTCTGTCCGGTTTGTTTGTTTTCGCGTTGCGGGTTGGTCATATTGCTCTTGCCACCGAAACTCCCCCGAGAAATCGATACCATATGAAACCCATATTGCGCGCAAGGAAATGCATCCTATGTGTCGCATCGGAGTTCCCGATTTAGAAATCTAGCCCTACGCTCGATTCGGAAATTCTCGTAGTGGAACCCTTACATACCCACTTCGCCTCGTACTGCTCTCTCGTGGTCGGTCCCGCCGTTCGACGCATTCCAAATCCTACGAAAAGAGAAAGGATGAGAGCCTTCCAGAGTAAAGAATGCAATTACGGGTCTATCAAATTCATATCTGAGGGCTATAGAACAATATGTGTGGGACCTTGTGATAGTCTTGCACGGGCTTGAAGGGTCTTGGGACTTTGAATGATGTCAAGATTAGAAGCATTGGGCACCGAAGGGTTTGATCGAAAGATGAAGAGTATGGCCAGGATGAAGTATAAAAGGATGCCGATCTGGCCTTGAAAAAGAATCATCCACAAGCACCAACTCTTCGATCTACACTCGGTAATCCCCAGCTTCTCTCATCAATCTTTAACATATCCTTCTCAGCCATATTCATCACTATGAAGTACACTACCGCAATCCTCGCCCTCGCAGCCCTCGCCACAGCAGCTCCTGCTCCGGTCCCCGAGCCAATCCCGCAAGACAAGCCCTCAGGCCATGAAGTCGAGATCAGCGCCGTAACCTACGGCGGCACCGGGTGCCCCGACAAATCCGTGCAAGGCCTTCTCTCCGACGACAGGACCACCATCACACTTTCCTTCGACACATACACGGTGCAATCCGGCCCCAACATCCCAGCCACCGAGCGCCGGAAGTTTTGCCAGCTGCAACTAAAGCTAAAGTATCCGAGCGGGTTTCAATTCTCCATCTTTGGGGCTGATTTCCGCGGTTATGCGAGTTTGGAGAAGGGTGTTACTGGTGTCAGTCAGAGCACTTATTATTTCTCGGGGCAACAGAATCAGGTACACCATCTCCTTGACCCTCATCATTTCATCAAATCGAAAACTGCACACTCCAGCCCCTGCCCCCGACCTTTCTCTCCCTTCTCCATCCATCTCTTACACTTCAGCCGTACCAATCATTCAATCTCACACTAACATTCTCCAAGACCGTCGTCCCAACAACCTTCACCGGCCCCATGGAAGGTTCGTACCTGAAACACGATGAAATAAACGCCGGCAGCGCGGTCTGGTCCAAATGTGGTGAGCAAGGCATGCTTAATATCAAATCCGAAGTTCGCATCGTACCGATGTCATCCACATCCCTCAACCTGCTGACCGTCGATACCGTTGACGGCAAGTTCGAGCAGAAGTACTATGTCCAGTGGGAGAAATGTGATAAGAAAACTACGGGCGAGACTGGAGGAACCGGGTCAATCCGCGGACCGAATGGTGGGTTTGATCCATCCAACTTGGGACGGGAGGTTGATTTGACGGGCCGGGTTATTGGTAGCTAGAGGGGTTTGAGAGGGTTTGAGACTATGGCTAGAGCAAGTACTTTTGTTCTTCGGTTTACAATAGTTTCTTTTTTGCTTTGAGGCTCTGGGGATGCACGGACTGGATGGTCTGCATATCACGGCCTTATTTTGGATAGTTTCCCGAGGAATGAATTTGATAGGGGAGGAGATTTGTAATCCAGTCAGGTAGTTCTTATGTCTATATTCACGTTTATCCTTTGCTATTTGCTTTCTTGGTTCTCATATTTCCCTCCTTGCACAACCTACACATTTACTCATTGTCTTTCCCCTATGATTTGAGCTCCCATTCCTATACCAGACTCGAAACACCAATCCAGAGGGTCCAAATTCCAGCCTCACTTTTCGTCCTGGGAAATTCAAAACCTTTCCCCTTTCTTTCCCTCCCCACTCTCTCCATTTCCTTCTTTGCTGTGCTATAAGTCCCGGAAACTAACCTCCACCACCTCATTGCACCGGCACTCTTATTTCACTCATTTCTCCTCTTCGTGTGTGTCATCCTACCCTTCACAGAACCACCGCAATCCACAAATGATACTCCTTTCCACTCAACCATAAGAACTTCGCCTCGATTAAATTCCCATCCCTCTCTAGTCAAACCTCAAGAGGCTTATCCTGTCTGGCTCTTCTGTTTGGTGGTAGAATAGCCTTTGTCCGTGCTTGTGGTTGCTGTTCCTGCTGCGGTCGCTTTTTTTTGAAGATATATTAAAGAGAATGCCGCCGTTGAAAAGATGTGATAAGGTGTTGGCATTTCAGAGACGAATGAAAACTGCTATTGTGTGCTGCGAAGAGGGAAGCTGGGGGCGGTGTGGTGCATTGTCGGCGGTATCACAAGGATGATTGACGGGGATTAGTTCGTACTCTCTGTGTCAGCGTTAGTACCAGTCTCCTTCTCCATCCCCGTCTTCGTTGTTGTGTAGGGGAGCCACTATTTAAAACGTAATTTCGCCGTTTTAACCTACAGATGATTTAGATTGCGGAAGACCGTAATTGTAAGTTCCTACTACCTATTTCCTCACCTCCCAACTCACATTTCTGCCTCTTACTCTCCATTCCTTTTCGTCCCACTCCTCATCCCCCTTCCAAGCCCCAATTCAAGCACTATTCTGCTCCAACCCTACCTCAACAACAGCCATAAAGTCAAGTTTCCCAGCCGGTATCACGCCCAAGATATGTTCCACAACGTGATATTTGTGGATACGGAGATACTAAACTGCTATCCTTTCAACTCGAAATTGGTGTTGTTCCAGTGTCGAAAACGAGGTGTGGGGATTGGGGTATTTTATACAGTCGGCTAAAGGGTCGTTTTAAAGGCGAAGGTGTCGAGAGGGAGAGGGGTCCAGCCGTTTAGAGACATTGCAGTTGTACAGGCTGTCGTCCTGTCATGGCGCCTTTCTCTCTCCAGCCCACACCGTCAACCATCAGCCATACACCCTCATCCCCTCATCCGCAAACATCTCATATGCAATATTTGTATCCTCAGTTATTCTCCCTCTCCGCACGTTCGGCACTGCTAAGCCTCTGAGTTTTGTCGGAGAGTGGCGAGGCCTCATTTCGCGGGTTGCGGATTTTATTCCTGAAAGTGCAGCATGTGAGGAGAGTTCAGAGGTGGAGTAGAGTATGTAAGTGAGTGGGTGTGGAGATATAGTTGCGGTTTGGAATGGGCGATTGGATGGCTTCAAGTGGGGAGGGCTTCAAGCTAGTAGAATTAACGCCGAGGGAGAGAGTTTACCGTCAAGGAAGCTAGAGTAAGACACGGCATGGTTTATTTTGGTTGGGTTGAAAAGCCTCGAGTCTGGCAAGGGTGTGCATGATGGTAAAGCACGGCGATTGGTTGTTAAAATTTCAAAGATTTGGTGAACGGCCAGGGCTCAGGCACACTACCCACGTGACTGTACATTACGGAAACTACTTAGATAGGCACCTACGTATACCATTGTTTTCCAAAATCGCAAGGATCATGGAAGAGCATCTCATCAAGCAACTTGTCGAATCGTTTGCTTGCATTGCTTAAACTTATCACTGGCCGTTCCAGAGAAGTCTGATTATGAGTGCTTAGGGAGAAGCATAGCACGCCACACTACAATCAATGATTTTGAGCAATGATGCTTCAAGAGGATATGCAGTTTATTATGCTACGAAGATAGCCACTATTGTAACCTCCATGTAGCTGAGAAAGAGAGATGGCTTCAACCTCATCGACCTCCAAACGCTTCTAGGGTATGAGACCATGCATCCAATCCATTAACGAAGGAAATATGGTAATACAGGTACAACACCTAAGCAGCTTTCGGCTCCGCCTCAGCAACGCCTTCATCGCTACCGCCATCCGCAGCCTTGGATTGCACCGGATTCCCCGTGATGCTCTCACCACCCATATCCCAGTCCATAGCGAGGTCTTCGAGAGTGCGGCGCTTGGTTTCTGGAATGAGTAGCGTGGTAAAGATGCCCGCGAACATAAAGGCGGAGTAGATCTGCATGACGTGATTGAGCCAGGGGTTAGCCTTGTCCTTGGTTGCTCCGCGTGTTCGCAGAGGAGCGATGGCTGCCTGCGCAATGATGGAGCCGATTTTGCCAGAACCAGCGGAGATACCGTGGGATGTGGATCTGTAGCGCGTAGGGAAGCATTCCCCTGGGACAATGAAGGTGGTCATGTTTGGACCCCAGTTGAAGAAGAGCTGGACGAGGACGTAGAGACCAAGCATGGCATGTCCAGAGAGCTTGTGGTACGCAAAGCCCCAGACAATGAAGAGGATGGTCAAGAAGATAAAACCAATGAATTGAAGCGGCTTACGGCCAACAGTGTCGAGAGTAGCAACTGCAAGCCAGTAGCCGGGGATGGCACCAGCACAGACGAGAATGCAATTGCCGGCAGCGATGTTGAAGAGTTGCTTGTAAACAGTAGGACCCTTTCCGTAGCCGATGGCAGTGAGCACAGTGGATGAATTCAAGCCAAGACCGTAGAAAGCAACATCGAGGAGTAGCCTTTTATTGTTAGTACTGGTCCCTTTCTAGCAGGGTAGAACGATACACACCAGGACATGGCAGTTCCGAAGAGGATCTTGCCATTGCTCCACTTTCCATAGAAGGAGAAGAAGTCACCCCAAGAAGCCTTGGGGACATCAAGAGAGACGGAGGCACGGCGAGCGGTGGCTTGACTAATCTCGTCGGGATGGCCCTCACCCTTCTTGCCGGAAATGTAAGTTGAGACATCCGCGTTGGCCTTCTCGACATCCCGAGCAACATCGAAGGTATAACGGGGAGTCTCGGGAATGGTGAGACGGTAGTAGAGAGCGATGCAGGCGGGAACGATACCCATGCCTAGTAAAGGTTAGAATAAGCAACCCAGAAAGGAGCCCTGGAGCGAGCGGGAATGTCACGTGATTGTGTGACTTACCAATGAGTGCGCGCCACATCTTGTCGACAGCAATAACGCAGTTGCCAGTACAGCTCGCATAGTCCTTCGAAGTGCTGAGAGAACCCTTGAAGCCGGCGACGAGGCAAAGCATAACTAAGGCGCCGCCAAGCTGACCGAAGCCTTGCATGGCGAAAACGGCGCCCATCATGGCTCCACGCCATTTGGTAGTGGCGAATTCGGAAGTGATAATAGACGAAAGAGGGTAGTCACCACCAATGCCTGTGATTCGTTAGTCCAAGGAGCCGAGGACAGGGGGAGTGCAGCGAAAAATGCATACCAATTCCCATGAGCACGCGCCAGAAGATAATGAGGCCGACAACCGAAGTCCCAGGTCCAGGCCCGACGAGAGACTGAGCGAGAGTGGCAACGATAATGAGAATCAGCTCAAGTCCATACATCCTCTTGCGGCCGACGACATCTGCAAGAGCGCCGAACCCGACCTGGCCAAGAACGGTTCCGGCGGAAGTGGCGACCTTGATGGCGGTGTCCTGGGGAGTGGTGAGGGCTCCCTGATTGTCGTGCTTGTAGACGATACCCAACATGATAGTCAAAAGAGAGACGCAGAAGATGTCATAACTGTCGGTGAAGAAGCCAGTGCCGGCTACGAGACAGGCGCGCACATGGTACCAGCCAAACGGAGCCTTGTCGATTTCAGCAAGCGCAAGACGACGACGCTCATTAGGGTCCTCGATGTGTGCGAAATCGTTATGGAAGTTGTGGAAAGCAGCATTGCCGCCTGCTGTCTTCGGAGCCATGGCGGTAGGTTGTGGCTGTGAGCAAGCTTTTGCCAATGTTGGACCGAGAAAACTCAAGAGATTGACGAGAGGTGAGAAGCGAAAGAGTGCTGTCGGTATGCAGCAAATCTATATAAGAATTAATGAAGCCTCGTCCGAGTCCGAGCGGGCGCTTGGCGGGCTGAGAATCGAGTTAAAAGGGCGAATCAGGAGCCTGGGTTTCGGGAACGTGAAGGTGAGAGTCGCACTCGGAGTGGCCGTATACGAAAGCGCAAAGGGTAGTTGCAGCAAAATGCAGCCTGATCGAGGGGGTGCAGGCTGTGGGAAGGATAACTGGGGCTTTGGGGAGGGTGGTGGTGAAAGCGGTCCAATCACGGGCATGGAAACTCCACGTTCTTGCTTCACTGGCAATGGCTCCTTCCCCCGTGCACGAGCCCCTCCCCGTGTGAGGAAGGCGCCACCAGGTCCAACCATGACCTCCGCCGTACTGGAGACTCACTCGCTACTCATCATTCGCTGGCCAGCCTCTCAAATCTCTCAACTCCCTCCAAAATTGGGCGGGTTATGGCGTCCTTATCACGAACTACCAGGCCACCCTCACAAGCGTGGGCGGAAGACGCCAAGGCTATCTCCATCAGACGTTTGCCTCAACTCTGTCTTCAAAATCTGCGTCAGAGTCTGCATCAAAGTCTGCACATATCCCCACATGTGACAAATCCCCGTTGAACATCACACCTTCTAGAAGTTCCACGCGCCGGGAACGCTGGCAAGTCTGATGCAGCCATCAGGGATCTTGATCTTTCCAAAACATTTCCCCTCAGGCTCACGGACGGGGCCCTCTCCCTTCTCATCCGGTCTTCTTCAAGGCAGACTACCGGCAGTCAAGAGGCACAGCCAGATGCCTCGAGGTTGATTTGCGTGACTGGTGCAGTCTGGTCCTGCTATTAGTTAGTGTAATCCCGAACGCCTGATATTTGGCTGCAGAATCCTCTTCTACCTTCCCCATTGGGTAGTAACGGCTGTCGTACGGTGGCTTTGCCTTGACACGCCGTGGCGGACGCTGAGCAGCAAGTCTCACCAACAAATAGTGTACATTGTTTGTTTCCCTCAGGCAACTCGTATCAAAACTAGGTATAGTCCCCCCTCCATCGCAGCTTCGACACCACTCGCCCCTCTCTCATGACGACGATTTGAGTCCTCCAGATACCAAAAAGCAAATGCCCTACATAGTAGTTCCACCTCCAAAGCTTAATCCGGCCCAAGGCCACGGCAAATCGCTCGCCTGAGCTTGCATCGAATTCGTGTTTGCGCTATCGTCCACAACTCTCTTCCCAGCCGATGCCAACGCAGGCCCTAGCCTCTGATCTCTCTCCATTGGGAATCTGCTCAAATGTCCCGCATCTGATTTCGAACGCAGAGTCAGAATAGAACATCCTATTCCGATTGGGAGATGGAGACATCTCAGGTCCTGATGATTGGTCTGAGGGCTTGGCGAACAGTTTGCAGCCTATCGACCAGGCACGGTCTTTAGGTATTGATCCCTACTCACCTCACGCCCGGACTCTCCGTGGTCATCCGGATTCCTCAAAATCTCGAGGACGGGCTTGAAGAATTCGAATCACGATCTCAGACAACCAACCACCACTCTCGGCTTTGCAGTGACAGCTATCCAATCTCATTTACCTGTGTCCTCATTTACCCGACCCCAGGCGAACCACCCAGCTCAAACACTTTGAATGGAAACAAGTCCCGCAGGCATCTCTCCACCAGAAGGCTTCATTCCATATTTGCTTTGAGTTCTCACATGTCTACTGCAGCTTTTCAGCTAACGTGGAATATGGCAAAGGCAATGTAGGACGAGAATAGACACCCTGCTCGCGCTCTCCGTAAATTCTAGCAAGAAGTTTGATCGATCAGATCCGCCCTTCTACTTTTCCACGTTGGGTGTGAGCATACTATATTAACCCTGATCACGCAGACTATGCATTTTTATTTAAAATCTGCAGCTTCATTGACTCTATTATTTATGCTAGCAGAGAGAAGCGACTTTCAAGATGTCCTGTGATGGCATATCTTTTCCGTCTTCCACTCACTTATTCGCCACCACCCTGTCATCAACATTATTCCTCCAGCAGATCGGCTTTCGTACTACAGCCTGCACTTCTTCCATCCAGGATCGGGCACGACGAGCTAACTTTCGGCAATAGGCTCTAACACCCTTCTCACTTTCAGTGGCTTCGTCTCTGCGGCCTCCATCATCGGCTCCATCCTCACCATAGCCCTCTTTCACTCCACCAGAGAAATGGAGACACTCCAAATTCCATCCGCTTTCGTTTCTCTCCCGTTCTACAAGCGAGAACAGCCAACCTCCACTATTCCATTCTAATAGCTAGTCTCCCATATTTGCAAACTCTAATCCGTACGACTTCCGCAATCGACCATCTAGCAATATTTGTCTCCCGGACACACAAACGCTGCCGGCTTTAGCCTAGGAGTAATATCCAGTCCATGCCCCGGAGCGTTTCAGGGTGGACTCTTATTAAACCGGAATCCTCACTCAGACCAGTGTTCGGGGGCTGGACTAGTTGAATATCAAATGATTACCTCTGAACTTCGCAGTGTTTGGAAGAGCGTGTGTCGTTTCGGGGTTAAAGTCAAATTTCTGAGTCGTACCGCATAGCATCGGGTGTGCTTTCCCCAGTGCTACAAGGATGTCTATGATGTCGACCAGAGGGCTTGCGTCTTCAGGATCATGTGTTAGAGGAGGCTGTCGAACGTCTGGATCTGTCCCCGTTTTTCTTCTTCTTTCTTTCCTTTTCCTTCGGTGCCTTCTCTCATTCTAGGATGCTTTCAAGTTGGATACTAAGACTCACAGTGGCACCAAGCATCCATTTGACCGTGGTCTAAAACCTTTTTCGACAGCGCGATATTTTTGTCGGATACGTTAATCTTGAAGGGCCACTTCTGTAGCACAAGCCCAAGCCCAAGCTTATTCGACCGTTGATTCTTTGCTGGGCCTCCTTTCTGCCTCTTTGGCGATGGTTCTTGTTGCTCTAGTTACTCTTGTGGGCTCTCGTGCAAGGCCTTGTGCTCCTGCCCCTGGGGAGATTTAGATGGCGGCAAAGGTCGGGCAGTACGTAACATATAGCCATTGCTCTCTGAATGTGTGTTATCTCTGAATGTGTGTTAACAAGCTTTGAAGAGATGTGTGTTAACAAGCTTTGAAGAGAGGTGTTTTGGGGTGGCCTTTCCAGGTGCTTGGGTTAGATTCATTCCATGATAATAGGGGCAACTAGAGTCCTCGTGTTTCATATGGAAAAGCATTACTCATGAGAATTGTTCGCCCTGGCCTGAAGCACGTTTTAAATATACGGCTGCGCCTGATTTTACTGCGCGAAATTGAATCCTCAAGCATGTAACTTTTAGTTTTTATTTTTAGATAGCTAGGTACATGACGGAATTGTTCTTCCAGTACGAGATCGAACATCTATGGGCTTCATATGAGCTTTGAGTACTTGAAAGGTAGAGGGTCAAAGATATGAACGCACCACCAAAAATGAATGATATCAAGATGAATTGGAATGCGTCGCCAATGCGCATCCTCAAGAAAGGCTGGTATCTCAGGCCATGGGTTAAGATGCGATTGCAATCGAGGACTTGTGGTCGTGAATATTTTCCATGTCACAATTTTTATGATATTCAGTCAGCGAGTACCACAACTCTCGGGTTATAGCTTACCAGAAAAACTGTATTCCTCGACACATATCGTCCCGGAGACACAGAAGGGCGACGCTGCAGTAGCAATTAGTATCGTCTGTCTCCCTTACGCTTCTGGTGTTGTACAAAATGAATGCAGTAGCCACATCATATTGTGGGTTAACATGACAGAGTCTATGATCGCCGTTGGCACAGATTTCAATAAGTCCTTGGGTGGCAGAACCTGCAGTATGATGTTACCAAAGCAGAATGAGGAACTTACAGTACTTTTTGATCTACTTAGCCGCTGAATGGCCTTGTGTGGATATGCTTGCTGGCATAATTTCTAGGAGATCCTTCGGATATGCAGCGCCTGTCGTAGCCGCATACGATAGGCTGAATTCGCTATTCTGCGAGGCAGTTTATCAGACGATCCACTACCTCCTTCAGTTAGGGTTTTGTTTCTGCCATATGAATTCCACTTCTTTGTTCAAGATCTAGCTGCTTCTAGCAGGCAGCTCTTTGTCCAATCGTGTCCCACACGGACGCCTATGGCCGGGCGTCGAGCTGTTCGCGACAGCCAAAACGATTTTATTGCTCAAGGGGAATTTAGTGATGGTAGTTTTAATTACATTAACTAGTTTTCGAAATACTAGGTTCTCGCCACGTAAATACTACTGTTGTGGAAAGGTTGGATTGCATCAAAGACAAATCGAAGGCTGATGTGCGCCTGGGCAATGGAATGAATGCAGAGGCGAAGGGAGTAGGTGCACTTTTGATGACAAAGTTTTGTGATGAATCTGTTGGAGCGAGGGAGCTGTAGCAAGATTGCACTTTCTGTATGTATCGACGTGAAGTTTATTTGCACAACAACGCGGCAACAACCATATACTTTACTCACAGCGCATTCTCTATATCCCCTTGTGAGACCACTTATGGTGGTGATTGTCCATTTATCACTCTCACTATATTTATTTCAGACCAACCCAGCTCTTTACTTCTTCACCAACGACTCTCTCACCCCCCCTCCGCGGTATATTTTCAAGCCACAACCGCTTCTTGTAAGTTTCCAGACACTCAAACACCCAGGTTTACAAAGTACTCAGCTTAACTCGCTATGCCACGATAACCCAGATTAAAGCAGCGTATGTTGAGATTTTGACCCAGAACCACCCCCGATAAGACGGCAAATCTTCCTCCATTCGCGTGACCGCAAAACAATAAAGCCTGCAAGACTGTCATTCACGCGTGGAAGAACCTCTCTAGCACGGAGGCGGGCTGGGAATACAACAATACGCTCGACAACGATCCTCAGACCTCTCCACGGCCTGAAACCGAGGCTTTGGGCTCTTCAGAAAGCACAAACTCTTCCGAAATCGACGGAGGGATGGATGATTTGGAGATACCCACGACCGATGATCCGCAATTTCGCTACGCGTATGATGACGATGGAACTGAGATCCAGATCAAAGTCCGAGGCTGGAAAATGTCACTCTTCCTCTCCAACAAGTTCAAATTCATGAAGGATATCACTGATTTGACGTCGAAACTACCCCCATCGCAGATTTCGGGCACCGCACCGCGATGTATCAGCATGGAACTTCCGCTCAACCGTGACTCGTGGTCATCCGAATCACGAAGCCCAACTATTAACGAACTCACCATTAAAGTGACCAGCGTTCCGGCAAAGCTTCAGGTCACGGCTCTCCATTGCATGTTCAAGGAAATGGAGAATGCTTCCACGACGCTCACTCTCACCCTTCACGCAGAACAACAAAAGATATTCTGGCCAATGCCGTGGGAATACGGCTTTGAATTCGATATGAATTGGAAAGTGAAGGCTGACAAAGTCGCCACGTACCTCATATTCTCCGTCCCAGAGCCGCCAGTTCCAGAGCACCATCTAGGCTGGTTCCACCCTACTCCGGAACATAAACTCAAGCGTGACGAGGACTTGAAGACAGTAAACTTTGTGAACATGGGCGCGGAATATCGTCTGAAGATTCGGTATGGACATGTGACTATGTGGAGGTTGGTTGCAGTCGGATATAGAGGGCTGAATCCCGGGTTTGGTTGGAGCGATGCATATGGACCTGGGCCATTTGGGGTTGGAAGGTAAGATTGCAAGTATGTCTGGGATATCCTTTTCACCTGAACGCGGCTTACGACGAGTCGGTATTCCGTGATTGTAGTACAAAAGAGGAGAATATACGTTTTAGTAAGGAGATGGAAGGACTAAGGATTTGTAAAGTAAAGTTGGAAGTAGAAAGAAGTGCAAGAAAGATTAACAGAATACAGCATAAGCCAACTAGTGATAACTTGAACCTTAGAGCTCATTACTGAGTTTCAGCGTAAGGAAAAAATTAGATAACATGTTCAGTAAGAATTTCTAATTGTCAGCCGATTATATGAAAGCAACTACGACAGGTGTCCGTACGTAGCAGCAGCGTTACAGTCTGGATACTAGTTATCGCGCGAGAAGGATCACGTAACTATGTCACGTGATGTTTGTGCGCGAACCTCCGCCCACGAACATGTAGATATTCTCTTTTTCATCCGTACGCAAGAAAGAAGACAAGCAATGACCAGAAATATGTTGCCCACCCTACCTACTCCGTACGCTGTGCACACCGTACACTACTCTTACTCTTGCTACTTAAGTGCTCATACCATAAGCAGCTAGCTGAAAGAGCCCATTCAACAACAGGCGTCTTTGTTCCCTTCCATACCAGAATGAATTTCAACGTGCTCAAGCATTCTCTCAAGGGCCAACCCAATTGTATTGTTCAAAACTAACGCCAGTGTGTATGACAATGCTCTTTGATGTGTAAGGTGGTAGTTTAGGCCTTTGTTAGTATCACGCTATTGTAAAGAGTCATTTCCATTGTATGGTCGAGTGGAAATTGCAAATTCTGCAATTAAATGCAGGCTCCTTCCCCAGAATTAAGAATCCTCATTATACAACTCCAACGCAGCAGCCCTCAGCATTAAAATCCAAAAAAAATTCCAAAAACCTCGTTCACCATTTTCAAACGGATCATAGTTAAAGGACTCTGACTAATCATTCCGAAACCTTTCCACGGCAACTATGTCTGCTACAACCATTTTCCCTGGCATTGGAGCGCTGAAGTTCAGCCCCTTCCCGACTGTTCCCTCAAAATATGATGCCGAAAGTACGATCTTGGATATCGCCATCGCGGCTCCTGCTCCGTTCAACTTGCCTCTTGCTTTGTTACCCCTATACAAGATCGTGCATGGCCTGATCTGGAAGAAGAGGAAGTACGACATTTCAAGGGCCACATCCAAACTCATCCTCATTGGTAGTCTCGTAGTCAGTACGAAGCTGTTATGGGTTTGCGTCAAGCCATTCGTAATAGATAAGGTAACGTCAAGTGTGATCCTGAGGTGGGACCACCCTATGACGATACCTATTCAGGAGTGGTTAGCTTCCCATGGGAAAGGTAAAGTCGCACGGCACATACAGTTTGAGAATCCCGAATCCAAAAAACTGAATGATGAAAATAGCTTCTATGAATACGAGTACAAGACGGCTACAGACTCTGGTTTGTTTTGGTTCCGCGGCCACCCTCTCTACTTCAAACTTCATAAATCGGACAAGAAGGCCTTCAGGGGAGTAGATGAACGAGGAGGACATGAGGAAATAACTGCAGATACTATTTCAGTCACTGCCTGCTTATTTTCCGGCCAAATTCTATCCCAATTCTTTAGGGAGATTAAGGAGTTCTCTTGCCGGTTCGAAAGATCTTATACTACCATTATGGTTCAGGGAATATGTCCAAAAACATATGGTGGGAATGAAAAGGGCTGGAAGGTCTCCCGCCGTCCAACCCGACCTATTTCTACTATCGACTTAGACGAGGATATCAAGAAAGCCCTGGTCGAAGACGTCGAGAGGTACCTTAGCCCTGAACGCGCGCAGTGGTACGCTAATCGTGGTATCCCATATCGTCGAGGTTATTTGTTCCACGGGCCGCCTGGGACGGGAAAAAGCAGCATGTCATTAGCCTTAGCCGGGTTGTTCAACAAAGATCTGTATATGCTGAGTTTGAGTGATGTCGAGAGTGAAAGCGATTTGAAAGACCTGCTCGACACCGTCAAACAAACTCACAGCATTGTCCTCTTGGAGGACATCGACTCAGCAAGGATTGGCCGTGAGAACATGACCAAAAAGAAAGAAGAAGAAGAAGAAGCACACAAGAAGGGAGGCATTTCTCTTTCCGGATTGCTCAATGCCATCGATGGACCCAATGCACTTGATGGAACGGTCTTAATCATGACCACTAACAACCCTGAAACTTTGGACAAGGCCCTGATCCGTAATGGCCGAATCGATATGCAGGTTTACTTTGGTCCGGTTAGCCAAGTGGTCGCGGAGTCTATCTTCCTACGCATGTTCCAAAAGGAAAATGATAAGGAGCCCAATGAAGCGGTAGATGAGAATATCGCTCATCTTGCCCAGCAATTCTCCCTACAGATTCCGGATCGCAGTCTCACTCCAGCGGAAGTTCAGGGCTTTCTTATGACCCAAAATACCCCAGAGCAGGCCATCGAACGGGCGGCAAAGTGGGTCAGTGACATAGTAGCGGCAAAAGAGGCGGGAAAGAATATTATTGGTGGGGAGAACGCTCCTCCTGACGAAGAAGGGCAAAGCGATGACAAGGGAGAGGGGTCATCAATCCCTCCGAAGCCTCAGGGTGAGTGGAAGTTCCAGTACTGCTCTGCAAAGTATAGATTACCTATTAAATAGAAATGAATTTGAGTTGATTTTTTTTTAACTGTATGAAGGTGTGACATGATAATGTGGAAAGGGGTGGTTGTGGTGGAGGAAGAATCTTCGCTATCCACTTGCACGATTGCCGCCCTTACTAGGAGCGCTGATATAGGTCTGATCAACGCCTCAGACCTACCGGATAAGTCACATTGCTTATCCTTTGGGGTTTCACTTCAAAAGTTTCATTAATAGCGCAATACGTCGTGAGAAAAAGATATCACCAAGGAACCCCACATGGCTCGAAAATATTGCATGCGTCCGATCTGAACACGCAATGTACACTAAAATCAGCACCGAGGTGGCGATGTGACATCCTGCACACGGCTGTTACTGCGGTATTCTCTGTAAGGCTGTGCTGCTTTATCGAACCACTCAGCAGTACCTATGGCTCTTCTGTTGGCTCCTGCAACAGCCAGTAGTCCATCGGAAGTAGACCTCGGAGATCATTGCCCTGCTCCAATTTCTGAGCCCCCTTGGCGGTTTCTTCCTTTTAGTGATCTCCATAAAGTTCGTCTCCTGTTGCCGTGCGTTTTGCTTGGACTAGAAATACTAGATCTTGAACCAACTGTTCAAATCGCTCCAGCCTTTTGGAGTAGGGCTTCATTTGCGCCTGAGATGTGGCTAGTCTTTTAGTGGCCTTTTGTTAGTAGAATCTTCGAGGAATAATTGGCCAAGGTCTTTTTACTTTTTCCTTATCATGTTGGAAGGTGTTGGATAATCTGAATACATTCGATGCTCGCATAGCCAGTGTGTGATTTGGGATGCGTCCTATACTGGTGGGAAGTAATATTCCACAAATAATGAAACCCTTCATTATATTCCTAGGACTATGGGATATGATTGAAGGCCACACCTTTCTCGAATGGCTGCTCCTCGAGCTTCAGCATCATTGGAGGTCACAGCCCATCTGAACGGACTTACGTGGAAGCTATAGAAAGCTGCAAACAAACATTCCCCGGGCGCAGGCAGACGATGACCAATGTTATTGGAGGCCCGTCTGCGGTTTCTGAGACACCGCCAGCCATGTAGATCTCTGGCCGTGAATTTGTAGAGGCTTAGACTGAGATACTGACCACTTGGAGTTCATGTACAACGCCGGTCACCCCGGGTGTATAAATCTTGTTGGTATAGATGAATTCTCTTAACGCTCTGAAGGTTATAGTATAGTACCTACCCTACCTGGGCAGGGATGCGAGCCATGTTTCAAGATCAAAGAAAGGAAAAGTGGACTATTTGATAGAACAAGCTCGATCCGCTTCAGGGACCAAGAAATTGTTTAGAACATAAAAGAGACAGGCGGATATACAGAGAACTTCAAGGGTGCGGAGAACAACCGCCCAAAGGGAGATGTCTAGTAACTACATGACCAAAGTGTAAATACCTAGTCCCACCAGGGTTCACTCAGCTCAACAGCCACGTTAAGGGTCTAAGCGCGGAGTTACCCAAAACCAGCCACAACCCAAATCGACCTCCACACTCTCTTGGGAGATCCTAGTGAGCGATGGGGTATATCTCCACAATAGCCTTCTTGGTCCGAATGTGTCGTGAAAGGGAGTCGTTCCGCAAGTATTTGTTTCCACATGGATATTTGAATTGGATTTTTTGTAGACGATGCGCAGGGGTGGGAGCTTGACTGATTTCGGTCTAAATCTTTCGTATATGTGAAGCCCAGGCCGCAGGTGTTACATCTATTCGCCTGCCTGGCTTGGCTCTCGACCCGAAGCTTATGCTACCTATGTGGAGGTTAGCATTCATGTACAGATACACGTCGAGGGTTATGATACCTTCATTTTGGTTTTTATTCGCCGAATTCCCACTTTACCATCCCCTTGCACACCAGCAATGCCAGTGTAGATGTGATCGCCCACGCTCGAGCTCGATGGATTGTTAAGTTCAGTGGGGCAGGGGACTAAACCAGACGTAGAGGGGGTGCCGAATGCGTGCTCTTGCGAAATAGAGCTTAGAGGGCCCCTTTGTTTCGATTGATATCTTATTTGATGAATAAAGAGAACCATATTGTGTGCCAAAGCCAACGGTGTAAGGTTGGCTGATTCCTAGAGCCATTGATGAAAGAGATTCACGTCCAAGATCATCGAGGATCTCAGGGATAGATTGTCGTTCATTCTGGGGAGCCCATTTTGAAAAATCTAGTTCAGAATAAGGAAGTGATCAGATTTGGCAGCTCTAATCACGTCTAAACTCCTATTGCATCCACTGTTAGTTTCTCCGAGGTCGTGGTCAATGCATTCTGTCCACCAAGTGTGCTCCTGAGTGGTACTAAAACACGTGTTGTCACTTCCTACTCCTAAGAGCCAAATATCTAATATAGTAGTAGATGAAGGAGTAGTGGAACTCTCATAGTTATTGAGGGGCGGTACCTGATTATCGCTGTGGCTACGGTAAATATCCAGAACAGCCTGGTCAGGCCGTCTTCGCTGCTTTGGAGGGGATGATAGGTAGGGTGAATGAAAGCTGCAAACGTTAACACCAGGAGTGTTGTCTTTACGTGGCAAGATTACCTCAATAAGCACGATTCACAAGTGCTGTTTCAAACTGCAGTTATCTTGCAATGAACCCCGGTTTGGAGAAACTACTAGGTAGAGAATAGAGGCAGGAAGTTTGCTACGTTCTGGAGCCGCAAATGGAAAGTGGGCGTTGATTGAATGGAAAAAGCAACCAGGGCTTCCAACGGGCCGTACTACGGTCCGTACAAAGTGAACCGTAACGGTCACGTGAGCAGTACGAACGTACCGAGTTTGTGAGCCGTACCGTACGTTTAATGATGCCCTAGGTACGGTACGTAGTACGGACTGTATTACCCTTTTAGGAAGTTTGTATGGCGATTTTAGAGGAGTAGGACGGCTCTAGCAAAGAGCGGCCCTGCAGGAGCGTTTAGGAGGATTTCTAGAGCTCTAATTAGCTAAAAGTTTTGTAAGGACGCGTAAATCTCTTTCTAAGTCTTTTAATCTATCTATCTGCAGTCTGTTGTCTTAAAAATGCCTATTACTAACTATTTTCTATTGCAGGGCTATCCATCCACGCGCCTTGCTGCCTTACAGGCCTTATCTAGTTAATTAGATACCTCTGTCGCCCATTTTGCGCAGTCTTGCAGACTGCAGAAGTTAAGAGCCCTCTACACCGCGTCTCCTGCCTTATCCCGCAATAGTACACCGTCTGTGGCTGAAGATCAGTTGCAGCAGTTCCTAGAGGACTGCAATTGTAACGCTAGGGTTAAGTTTACAATTAACTAGAATAATATATAGATGTTAGACTTAAAACAGGCGTTGCCCTTAGCGCGATTAGGTTACTGCGTGAAGAACAAGACTACATTGCGAGGCAATTGTACGCTGTTAAAAGTATAGGCTTATAGCGCAGATTTAACGCTTATAGAGGAGTATGTAAAAAACAGGGTATACACTTCGCAATTAAGAGGTGTATTGACCAACAAGGGCGTGACTGTGACATAGGAGTACAATTAGTACCTGCCTAATTCCTAAGGCAATCCTCTGCTATCTAAAGAGGGCCTCTACAACTGGCTATATACTTCTCTAGAGAGCCAGGCACGGCAGCGCTGGTAGCGACAGATCTAGTATGCCGTAGGTCTAGTTTAAAGTATTACCTGTCTAGGATGCCCAGCTTTTTAGGCAAGGTAGGCATTATCTAGGAAGTGCAGGGTTAACAGCACAGTTTAGGAGTTATCTAGGACTGCCTAGTGCAGTCTAAGCTAGTCTACAACAGCCTAGGAAACACCTAAATAGCTAGTTATTATAAAGCCCTATTTTTTTTTAAGGCGCAACTTTATGCCTAAATCTAAGCTCTTTTTTAAGGTTTAGAAGTTATGTAATTTTATGTTACTTTAAATTTAATCTAAGGGGTTAAATACTTTTTACTAAGCTAAATCCTTTATTACACCTACACTCTACTCTGCGCTTTTAGTACATATTTTAAAGAGATTTTCTGCAGAAGCCCCTAGGCCTTCCTAGGGGTTTCTAGGGTGTTCTAGGGCCCCCCTAGGCTAGAGGACCCTATATAAAGCTCTGTCTGTTCTAGAGAGTTTCTATTCTAACTGCCTTTAGATTCTTTCTTAGCTAGCTACTCTAGCTAGCTATCCCCTGTCCTATTTTTAAGGCCTCTAGTTCTGTCTATTTTAATCTAGGCCCCCCTAGGCCCTCTAAGCCCTATTTTGCATATTTTACTACTAATAATGTCTTTCTTAGCTAGCAAGCAGTTAGATAGGATTACCTTAGCTATAAATAAAGCCCTAGCTACTATTAATCCTTACTTAACTTACCTTAATAAGATTATAGGCAGGATTATAGCGCATAAGCTAGGTGTAATTCTACTATGCTGTTTCCTTGTTAAGGAGGATTACAATGTCTAGACTTATAATACCTACATTTATTAAGGCTTGTTAAAGCTTAAGCGCACTAATAACTTCTTAAAGTGCAATAGCTACTATAAGGGTAGTAGAGACTGCTATTAAGTAGGTTATCCTAGGGCTGTTTATAGCTGTCTAGGGGTCTCTAAGGTGCCTTTTAGTTCTTTTTGCTAATTCTTAGGTTGTAGTGCCTAGAGGACTATTACTTAGTAATTATAACTATTATAAGCACTATCCTTAGTAGTTTTTTTTAGCTTAAGACTTAAATTAACTTTAGTAACACTTAAAAGTACTTACTAGACATTATTAAGGGTCTTTATAAAAAGGTTAATAAAGTTGTTATTTATTTTAATAAGTTTATAATTTTTAGCTACTTTTTAAACTTTTTTAGGTTTTTTTAAAAGTCTTTAGGGCTTTCTAGGGGTTTTTAGACTAATTCTTACTAGGCTTGTTTATAGCAAGATAGCTAGTAACGCTCTAACCCCTTTTTATGTTAGCAAGAAGGTGTTTAGAGACTTAGGTATTATTAGTCTTAGTAAGGCAAAAAAAAAAGCATTAGTAAAGTGTAAAAAAAGAATAGGTAATAATAATAGCTTAAGACCTCTTTCTTTAGTCTCTAAGCGTGTCTATACTATATGTTCTCTAACTTATACCTATCTAGGCTTTTTTAAAGCAGTCTAACTCTGTCTAGAGTACTTAGCTTTTTACTACTAATTTTAGTGTTTTTTAGGCTTAGGTTCTCTTCCTTACTAAGAAATTTTATAAAAGTAAGTAAAGCATATAGAAAACTAACTTTACTTATAATTTTAACACTTTTAACTCTAAGCAAAACATTTTTTAAGAATAAGGCAAGTTATCTGCCTTTATTTTTAGTCTTTTTAGCATTTTTTTTTCTTTATATTAGTCTAGCAGATCTAGGGGTCTCTAGGCCTGTTTAGGCTTTTTAGGATAAGTTTTACCTTTTCTAAGTTTTTACCTGCTATTTTTTTTTTTTTAGGATAGTTTAGTTTATTTTTGCATAGTAGTAGCTTTTTTAGAAATAGTTATAGCGCTTTATACTTTTTTTATATTTTCTTTAGTAGTTTACTTTTTTTTTAGGTTTTTTTAGTAAAGTTTAGGCTTTATAGTGCATTTATCTCTTTTTTTAGGGGTATCTAGGCTAGTCTAGGGGTAATCTAGACTAATCTAGTAGTATTTAAAAATAGGGATAGTAAAAAACAGGCTAAGTTTCTAAAGTTTATAGTGCTTAAAAGTTTTTTTTTAAATGTTTTAAGCTTTTATAGAGTTATTTAGTCTAAGTTTATTTCTTTTAGTCTAGTCTCTTTTAGCCTAATTTAGCTTTCCCTTTTTTTTTTTATTCTCTTTTATACTAGTAGTTCTACTTATCTTTAAAATTTATTTATAGCTTTTTTAGATATGTTTTTTGCTAAGAGTAGTTAGTTATTTTTTTTTCTAAACTCTTTTTAGTGTACTTTGTATAGCTATATTCCCTTATGCAGCTTTTAGTCTATAATGTAGTCTATGTTCTATATATCTGTTTCTACTTAGGGTATTACTGCCTTAGCTAAGAGTTGTTTGTAAGGTAATAAGTAACTTAAAAGTGCTAGCTTAAAAAGGCTAATATAGAATACTAGGTAGATCTAGAAGCTAGCTAGTAAGTCTAAGTAGTAAGATTAAGTTCTATGTATAGTAAAAACTTTTTAAAGGCTTATATATTTATTATCTAGCTTTTTTTTTAGCTAGAAGGTAGTAATGTTTTTAGTGCTAAAGTATACTTATGTCAGATTGAAGCACTGTTTCTGGGCTTCCTGAGATGAATGATGGGTTTGGATGTGATGTATGGATGATTGATTGATTTGTATTGATTGTGTTTATTTATCAATCCTTTTTCTGCTCTACTCGTGTTGCTCGGCTTTTTGTTCTGCCGATCCGAGTCCCTCGCGCACTAGCCCTATGCG